AATCGTAAGACACCGAGAGATAGACTGTTGCCTAAACTTATGCAAATTGCCAACATGCCTAAAGGTCTCATTAAACTGATTATACAGTGTATAAGCAATTGCATGTATTATATTGAGTTTCTCGGCGAGACGTGTATAAAATCACTAGTGTATCAGCGTAACTGATTATGCAAGAGGTTAATAAGGCATGATTAAGGCAGCGTCTTGACTTGTTGCAGTTTTATTATGATGTACATCGCTCATTGGTCTGCTTCTTTCATTGCGAAATCGCAATTAGCCTAAACTTGAGGGTAAGTGGCACAGTGCGTGCATTGTTTGTAATTCATGATGACGTGAAGAACTGTTCTTTGCCCAAAGTTGGCTGTTAATTCATCCACACCTCGCCGCATCAGTAAGCAAATTAGCAAACATCGTAGCTGAGCGGTTAGAGCGTGGAGCTACGGAGTGGAAGGTTTATTTTTAACTGGAAAAATCTCTCTGAGGACCCAACAGTAAAATGGGTACCTGATTCGTTCAGGGAAGGTAAGACGGTGAGAGGAGAGGACTGGGCCCCGCCACTCATATACCGCGCCCAAGACACAGTGGACCTCTAACATCCCACTGCCCCTACGGCCAGTAATGGCTATGGGATCTTTACCTTTTTACCCTTGATATGCAATGATGTAAATCTGTATTTCGCCACCCGCCACCTTTATGTTAAAATAAACCCCACTCAAATCGTTGCCAAAAATGCTTTGAAAATCATTCTTTTAGGAAAAAATCTCAAGAATAAAATTGCTTCTAGTATATTAACCGTGATGTTTTCACAATTTGGAAAGTAATGCATGCTCGTACCCTGCTCGGGGGATCGGACGCACCGTGAAACCCAGCCCTGTATATGTTCATTTCACAAAATGTATGCAGATTTCAGAGAACAATAAAGTATTGTTGCAGGCAGGCCCTGTGTAATCTCCTCGTAAAAAAAGTACAGAGGTTCTCGTTGGCAGTGCACTATATACGATTTCCCGTTCATAAATACTGTGGTGTTTCCTTACCATGCGCCTTCCAAATCTAGAGTGATCGGGTTTCTTAATTATATTTAGTGGGATTCAAAATGATCCGCAGAGAAACCAACAAACAACACCCATATCATCATGCAGGATACCATGTCCACTTATCATAAACGCGCGAGACTTTTGTGACCACAGGAAATTTAACCCGCCCAGGGGGGCGAATCTTTTTTCCCAAAAGACATCCGCTTTCTATCTTCTGATTGGTCTATTACATGCATATATAATGCCTTGGTCTCCATAACACAAACCCAAGATAGGCTTTACGTCTTGGTGAGAAATGTTCCTTCATCACTTTACTTATTTAAAAGGTAAAATGAGAAGAAGTGAAAAATGCTCACTGAGATTCGAACTCGGATCACCTGATTAGAAGCCAGGACGAAATTCGCAAGAATCGCGGCATCATGCTCGTTCCTGAAGAATCACCAACACACGTTGGACACTTCCAAACGTACTTTGAGTTGGCGGCTTCGCCAGATGACATGGGCGGGGAGGACAAAATGCCGTCATCCATAGCAAAGGAACTCGGGAAATGCCCACACTGCCCACATTACATGTTCTCATCAAAGGAAGACAAAAAGAGGCACTTCAACGTATTTCATTTCTAGACTTTAGGAACCATCAACTCAATTTTTTTTTATATTATTTTAGATACTATATGCATGTGCACTGCAGGTACACACAGAACTGAAACTGTTTGTTTTGCTGTCGGTGTATAGGCTAAATGGCCCGGATCTCACGCGAATAGCTAGCTGACAAATGTATTCGTGAATGTAAAGTCAATATATTTGTGCATTTCGAAAGAAATAGAAATGTTTGCAAATAAGATAAGCAATTGAATACGTTTACTTTAAAAAGAGAAACCGGTTGGTAAAGGGACACGCTTTGGGATAATATAAAGGAATTTTAAGACTATACATTCTTACCGTTTTACAATTTCATAACCTAAGTGTGTTTTTATCGCTTCAAAGCAAATTTAAGGATAATACAGTAATATCTCGTCGGCTTAGTTATCTTTTTAGATTTGTCTTTTCCATCTTTTTTTTGTAATGCTATATTAATTGTTTCAACGGAATGGACTTTATGTTTTATCATGAATATTCCAGCAATTCGGCGTATGGCTGCAACAGAATATGAATAAAACCGTTCAATTCCAAGTGTAATTCAACTCTTATCTCTATGTAGTTGCAAATATGGTGCTTTTAGTTAATAAATATTTAACGTCATAAAACCCCACAAGTGTGACCACTAATCCTGCAATCCCCTAATTATACAGGGTCGACTATCAATCTGCTTCTTTTGTTTGCAATAACATGGGTGGGCTGCGCTGAAGTTGACCCCGCACTGGAGGAGAATATTCATGAACGCATTATGGCGTCCAACCCCGAAAAGCCTCGAGGTTTACCGCGCGGTACCGCACGGTTTATTGCGGTTAACACAGAAGAACCGCCTGTTTAATTGTGAATCTGCCCCTAAATAGACTGCCATAGACCTTATAATTACGCGCACTTCCCAAAATTATTAAAAATGCTCACAACTCTCTGAGGTGTTCAAGACACGGATTAAATTAAAACTTATTTCATCATCTTTCGTTTTCTGTCCATTTTTTTGGAGGGAAATCATTTACTTTTGGGAGAAATTTTCATCTGAAAATGATCACCCTTAAAAATAGTCTCACTAAGCTCATCGCCCTCTTGAAAAACGATGTCAACGCTCCATTGCAAAATAGAGCGCTTTATAGGGCACAATTATTATTTCGTCCAAATTGTACAGAAGTACAATCTCACAGTCCGCTTCCACCCTATGTTTTTTTTTTACAAACTCTCAAGTTCATGGTCCACAAAATGCTCTAAGACCGAAGAATTTTATGGCATGCAAATCGTCATTTAGCCGGCGTAGGCCTACTGGTTTGGACCCCGAACACCCTATAGCATTAATAGCTATTGCAAATTAATAGTCTGACATTATTTCAGGAGATAAAATGCGGATAGTATTCCAGTAGGCCTAGTAATGGCAATAACGGGCCGGGAAGCTCGAAGGGGGGGGGGGGCATTCAGCTCTTGTATACCTGTACATAGGCTATGGCCCTTTGGCGCCAGTGTTCATCGAATTAAATCAGTCTTCATGAAATTATGTTGTTTTGTTTACACTGTCGCTTTCCGCGGAACGCTTTCATGAATAATTAAATAGTTGAGCATATACTGGCGATGCACAATGTGATCCTTTATCATGCTATTAGTGCAGGAACAGTGCAGTAGCCAGGATCATAGGGAGGCGGGGATGCTTATGGGGGCATCAAGGGCGGATCCACAACAAAATGTGCTCAAATTTTCAGGGGTCCAACTGGCCAGCCACTTGCTGCAAATTCGATGGGGGGGGGGGTTCCTTATTTTACGCTAGGGGACGCTTTATTACCCTTTTTCTTACCCGTGAAGGAAATTAGCATTGATTAAAAACCATTCGTCTACATTCCACTTAATACACTTCTTGGGCGAGAAGTTGGCTACGCCATTTATCAGGAAAACCATAATATTGTGCAAAATGTAGTTTCATGGGTTATTGGTTCAATGTTTGGAAAGGATAAATTGATAGTTGGGTGATTGAAAATAGCGCCGCTTTGGTCCTTTATGGTACCAATCTTCAAGACCCTGTGCATTTGGATAGTGATACTTCGCGGTAGCAGACCGCGTGCTTACGTTGTAAACAAACTGTAGCCGCGCCGGCCAGCTGGTACGTGTGAGTGGTGCTGATCATTCGCGATTAGTTCTGTTATGTGACACCAGATTTGATTTGGTTAGCAATATCAGTTTTTGCACCGGAAACTGTTCCTGCAATTCCAGACATATGATTCCATCACACTGTGTATGCTGATTGGCATTAGGCCCTATATACTTTAATTACGTTGCGTGGCGTATCGATACATCGTGTACAAATGTATGTGGGCCGCGGCGTCTACCTCCATGATGTGATTGTGATATTGAGGAAGTTTGTGTCCAATGTAGCCTACCTCCATGTTATATAAAAATCCTGACATGGAGGAAAAGGACGTTTTCAACTTGGAAGAGCTAGAAGAATCCGACCTCTCTGATTATGAATTTGAGCTGTATGATGACCGTGAAAAGCTTGTAAGTTGAAGTTTATAACTGTTGAAGTTGAATCAGCTCCAGTGCTCATCAGGAATTCGACATATAGAGCTGGAGCTAAAACTATGTTACAGAAACTAGATCGTAAGAGTCCCTAAAAACTGGACCCTGTATCGTATGCCCAATGATCACAAAAATGGTCCATTTTCCCTCTATTTTTTATCACAACCCAGATTCCAATAGACATACCGGTACCTCATTCACGAAGCTAATGATCGACTTAAAACAGAACAAAATTGACTATAATATGAGAAATATTGATGATTTCCTTTGGTTTTTCCAGGAAAAAAATGTGTACTACGGCTGTCTTGCGTGCATGTTGTGTACGTGTGACGCCGTTGTGTACAAGCGTCACGTGATCACAATTGCCGTTTTCCCAACCCCGGCTTCGGTCCATCTCTGCTCCATTCATGCAGGTTGCAAAATGGGGCTGGACCCGGATACGGAGCCTTAACCGGGGTTTGCCACGTGCGCCTTGACTCAAGTTCATACTTGTGTAATCGATTGCAAACAAAATGCGGACTAACTAAATACGGTAAATTGGGGCAGTAGGCCCTATTTGGAAAAAAGCCAGTTTTTTTCCAACGCTGGTCGGCTGACCAGTTTTGTTTTGTTGATGTTTGCAAATGTTGTTTACTCCCTTTAAACTGAATAATTTTCTTCTATCTCTTTTAGGTTTTCACAGGCTTCGAAGCTCTGCTGCCTGCATACTTTCTAGGAACTCTTGGATTTATTCCCAGAAGGAATTCAACTGAATTGAAACCAAAGTGGTGTAACTGGTATTTTAATCTTCTTTCTGTATTTACAGTTGAATGAGGAAGATGATGGCAGCAAAGTCAAGCTGCAGAGGCAGATCTCGCTGCTGAGTGGTGTAGCTATCAATGTGGGCACCATCATCGGATCAGGGATCTTTGTGTCCCCGAAAGGTAAAGTTCAACCGAAAGTTTCCACGTTTTACCAACTCTCTTGTTTTTGGCAAGGGAGGGATACAGATTCGAATTAAGACCAAAAAAAAAAAAGTTCTGCTTCCGATTACTTGGCATTCGAAAATAGGGTAGGTAGGTAGGGAATTTTTTTTTTTTTTTGCCAATTTTTTTTGTGTACGATCATATGGAGGCGTCTGCATGTAGTCAAGGGTAGAAATTGATGGTTTTGGGCATTTTTTCCTCATTTTTCCAATAAAAAATAGGGTAGGTAGGGTCCTGAAAAGCAGTGAATAAATCTGTGTTGAGGGTGTTCTATGTGTGGTTTCCTGGTCGACTAAACTCGCCTATAGTAAGCTGCAGGGAGTAGTTCCTTGTCCACACAAGTCACGCATAGTAAGGAAAGGGTTATTAATAAAGAAAGAGAAAATATCACCTTTGGGGTGCCCTGGCCCCTTGTGTTCCCCCTCCCCTCCCTACCCCCCACCTCCCTACCTCCCCTAAGCCCGGTTCATACTCCATGCGAATGCGAAGCGAATGTGACGTCATGAAACATTCGCTGCAAAATTTGCCGGAGTTGAAATATGTCCAACTTTTGTGAATTTGCAGCGCGAATACTTGCCGTGACATCACAAATTCGCTTTCGCGCCGAGTATGAACCGGGCTCTAGTGTTGTTGGTGAGCCTCATGAGAAGGGATATGGGGAAACTGATGTGTATTACTGCAATATGCTTGGGAAAAAAAATCCTTAGTTTTGCTTGACGTCTTGTTCCAGCCTAGTTTTAACTGTTACTTAAAAAAGTTATCCTTTTCACCATACCGTTCTGCAGGTGTTCTCCTAGGAGTGAGTTCCGTCGGAATGACCCTAGTGGTATGGGTCCTGTGCGGTATCATTTCCCTCTTGGGAGCGCTCTGCTTTGCCGAGCTGGGCACCATGCTGCCCTCCTCAGGGGGCTTCTACTTCTACCTGCGGTCCATCTACGGCGAGTTTGCGGCCTTCCTGTACCTCTGGGTCTCCCTGATCATGCAGGTGCCGGCCTCCTGTGCCGTGGTGGCCATCACCTTTGGCCGATATGCTGTCCAGCCATTCTTCCCATCGGCAGACTGCGGGCCTCCCATCATTGCTATTCAGCTTCTGGCTCTGAACTCAGTGTGTGAGTATTGAGAAATTTGCTTAAATACCCAAACCGTTACCTTTCCGAATTCTTCAAAATCAATCACAAGGTTATGGGGATTAAAACATGGAGCTTGATTCTCCTAGAAAGTTGCAACATTAATATTGCGCCATATGGCAGTGTATGGTTTACTGCACTGTGGAGGATTTTGACAATTTATAAACCATCGTTTACATTATTGACAATTAGCGCTCTGCAAGTAAAGACTTTAACTAATCGAAAGGCAGCTAAAATTACTAATTTGGTGGAGTTTTGCTACAAGTATGCTTTTCCAGATGTTAAAAGTTCAAAATTCACTCCAGTCAATTTTGACAATATGCATTGGTCTGTAATAAAAAGTGTTGTTGCTTTTCAATTGTGAAAGTGATGGGTTGGAAGAGGGTTCAACCCCCCATGACAAACAAAAAGTTGCGAAGAAAATAAGTGGTCCGCATATATATAACAGTAGAAGATGCCGGGAAGGTTCTAAAATGCTACTATGAGAATGCCTCCAGTAATGTTGTGCAAACCTGACCTGAAACCAAAACTAACCTGATCCGAAACAAACGTCGGGTTGGTTTTTCCATCATTTCAGTCTTGTCGGGTTGTTTTGGGTTTTGCGTTTGCGATTTTTCAGGTCGGGTTAGGTCGGTTAAGCCATCGTTTGAAAACCCCCAAATAAACCGAAACAAACTGAAATCAACCAAATTCACGCGGTGCAGTGTTATTGCAGAGTTTCTGTGCCTGGTAAGACCAACGTCAACCGACTGTGCAAATGTGCATGTGGCTTACGGTCTTCACGCACAGTCTATATAACATGTAGGCCTACTGGTGGGTCACATTATGAGTCTTCTCTGTATGCCTTACGGTATGATTCTGTTGTAAGAGAGGACAATTTTCACGTGACGCGGATAAGTTCAGGCACAAAAATGTGGACACAGTTGCCAAGCAAGATATAATTTCTTTTTTCGGGTCGGTTGGTTTCTGGTCGGTTCGAGTCAGTTTTGCTTAAATTTGGGTCGGGTCGGATTTGGGGAGTTCCGATCGGTTTCGGTTATGATTCGGTTTATATTTGAATGTTTCGGGTCGGTTTGGCCTGGTCAACCCAATCAGATGCACAACATTAGCCTCCATTGTCCAATGATACCCCCCCCCAACCGGGGATAGGACATTGACAAAGTAGTTCCCTTGGCCTCGCCTCGTGATCTATATGCAGTTTTTGAATTTCCAATACCCTAGGAAATAAACTTGACTATCTACCTTCAAACCATTTCATATTTGTTTATGCTCTTATTCTTACAGTGCTGTGTGGCTTCTTCAACATATTCAGCGTTCGCTGAATTATATATAGGGGTTAATATATACGCTACTTTTTGCAGCTTTTTCGAGAACCACTCGCCCAAACAACTTTAAACTTGGCACGAGCAGGTCTCAAAAACTCTGCAAGCATGCAACCAATACCAGCGGCAAAGCAATTTGCACTTCCCGAACATGCACATTTTAGACGGGCACTGCACTAGTTATTGACAATTAGCGCTCTGCAAGTAAAGTCTTTAACAAATTGAGAGGCAGCTAAAGTAACTGGTGGAGTTTTGTTACATGTATGCTTTTCCAGATGTTGCAAGTTCAAAATTCACTCCAGTCAATTTTGACAATATGCATTGGTCTGTAATAAAAAGTGTTGTTGCTTTTCAATTGTGATAGTGATGGGTTGGAAGAGGGTTCAGCCCCCCATGACAAACAAAAAGTTGCGAAGAAAATAAGTGGTCTGCATAAAACAGTAGAAGATGCCCGGGAAGGGTCTAAAATGCCACTATGAGAATGCCTCCAGTAATGTTGTGCAAACCTGACCTGAAACCAAAACTAACCTGATCCGAAACAAACGTCAGGTCGGGTTGGTTTTTCCATCATTTCAGTCTGGTCGGGTTGTTTTTGGTTTTGCGTTTGCGATTTTTCAGGTCGGGTCGGGTCGGTTAAGCCATCTTGTGAAAAACCCCAAATATACCGAAATCAACTGAAATCAACCAAAACAGTTGGGACAATTCACGCGGTGCAATGTTATTGCAGAGTTACTGTGCCTGGTATGACCAACGTCAACCGACTGCAAATGTGATGCAATCAAGCTACATGAGTCATTTGTCATTATTACAGATTTGAACAGAGCACAATCTCATCATTGCTGCTGTGAAAACTGCATGCTGGTACCATCTTTAGTTCAAAAATTATGGAAGTCGGAACACAAACAGATGTGATGAAGTGATGAGATGAAGTGGCCCTTTTTGGCCTGTATCTCCAAATGAAAATTCCCGACAAACAACTCATTTAGCTTGATCGCATCACAAATGTGCATGTGGCTTACGGTCTTAACGCACAGTCTATATAACATGTAGGCCTACTGGTGGGTCACATTATGAGTCTTCACTGTATGCCGCACGGTATGATTCTGTTATAAGAGACGACAATTTTCACGCGACGCTGGTAAGTACAGGCACAAAAAAGTGGACACAGTTGCCAAGCCAGATATTATTTTTTCGGGTCGGTTGGTTTCTGGTCGGTTCAGGTCAGTTTTGCTTGAATTTTTTTCAGGTCGGGTTGGATTTGGGGAGTTCAGATTGGTTTCGGTTCTGATTCGGTTTATATTTTAATGTTTCAGGTCGGTTTGGCCTGGTCAACCCAATCAGATGCACAACATTAGCCTCCATTGTCCAATGATGCCCCCCCCCCCAACCGGGGATAGGACATTGACAAAGTAGATCCCTTGGCCTCGCCTCGTGATCTATGCAGTTTTTGAATTTCCAATACCCTAGGAAATAAACTTGACTATCTACCTTTAAACCATTTCATATTTGTTTATGCTCTGTGGAGGATTTTGACAATTTATAAACCATAATTTACATTATTGACAATTAGCGCTCTGCAGGTAAAGACTTTAACTAATCGAAAGGCAGCTAAAATTACTAATTTGGTGGAGTTTTGTTACATGTATGCTTTTCCAGATGTTGAAAGTTCAAAATTCACTCCAGTCAATTTTGACAATATGCATTGGTCTGTAATAAAAAGTGTTTTTTCAATTGTGATAGTGATGGGTTGGAAGGGGGTTCAACCCCCCATGACAAACAAAAAGTTGCGAAGAAAATATGTGGTCCGCATAAAACAGTAGCAGATGCCCGGAAAGGGTCTAAAATGCCACTATGAGAATGCCTCCAGTAATGTTGTGCAAACCTGACCTGAAACCAAAACTAACCTGATCCGAAACCAACATCGGGTCGGGTTGGTTTTTCCATCATTTCAGTCTGGTCGGGTTGTTTTTGGTTTTGCGTTTGCAATTTTTCAGGTCGGGTCGGGTCGGTTAAGCCATCTTGTGAAAAACCCCAAATATACCGAAATCAACTGAAATCAACCAAAACAGTTGGGACAATTCACGCGGTGCAATGTTATTGCAGAGTTACTGTGCCTGGTACGACCAACGTCAACCGACTGCAAATGTGATGCAATCAAGCTACATGAGTCGTTTGTCGACCCTGGTCAACAATTTTTTTATTACAGATTTGAACAGAGCACAATCTCATCATTGCTGCTGTGAAAACTGCATGCTGGTACCATCTTTAGTTCAAAAATTATGGAAGTCGGAACACAAACGTGATGAAGTGATGAGATGAAGTGGCCCTATTTTGGCCTGCATCTCCAAATGAAAATTCCCGACAAACGACTCATTTAGCTTGATCGCATCACAAATGTGCATGTGGCTTACGGTCTTCACGCACAGTCTATATAACATGTAGGCCTACTGGTGGGTCACATTATGAGTCTTCACTGTATGCCGTACGGTGTGATTCTGTTATAAGAGAGGACAATTTTCACGCGACGCGGGTAAGTTTAGGCACAAGAAAGTGGACACAGTTGCCAAGCCAGATATAATTTTTTTTTCGGGTCGGTTGGTCTCTGGTCGGTTCGAGTCAGTTTTGCTTAAATTTGGGTCGGGTCGGATTTGGGGAGTTCAGATCGGTTTCGGTTATGATTCGGTTTATATTTGAATGTTTCGGGTCGGTTTGGCCTGGTCAACCCAATCAGATGCACAACATTAGCCTCCATTGTCCAATGATACCCCCCCCCCCCCCAACCGGGGATAGGACATGGACAAAGTAGATCCCTTGGCCTCGCCTCGTGATCTATATGCAGTTTTTGAATTTCCAATACCCTAGGAAATAAACTTGACTATCTACCTTCAAACCATTTCATATTTGTTTATGCTCTGTGGAGGATTTTGACAATTTATAAACCATGGTTTACATTATTGACAATTAGCGCTCTGCAGGTAAAGACTTTAACTAATTGAAAGGCAGCTAAAATTACTAATTCGGTGGATTTTTGTTAATACATGTATGCTTTCCCAGATGTTGGAAGTTCGAAATTCACTCCAGTCAATTTTGACAATATGCATTGGTCTGTAATAAAAAGTGTTTTTTCAATTGTGATAGTGATGGGTTGGAAGGGGGTTCAACCCCCCATGACAAACAAATAGTTGCGAAGAAAATAAGTGGTCCGCATAAAACAGTAGCAGATGCCCGGAAAGGGTCTAAAATGCCACTATGAGAATGCCTCCAGTAATGTTGTGCAAACCTGACCTGAAACCAAAACTAACCTGATCCGAAACCAACATCGGGTCGGGTTGGTTTTTCCATCATTTCAGTCTGGTCGGGTTGTTTTTGGTTTTGCGTTTGCGATTTTTCAGGTCGGGTCGGGTCGGTTAAGCCATCTTGTGAAAAACCCCAAATATACCGAAATCAACTGAAATCAACCAAAACAGTTGGGACAATTCACGCGGTGCAATGTTATTGCTGAGTTACTGTGCCTGGTACGACCAACGTCAACCGACTGCAAATGTGATGCAATCAAGCTACATGAGTCGTTTGTCGACCCTGGTCAAAAATTTTTTTATTACAGATTTGAAAAGAGCACAATCTCATCATTGCTGCTGTGAAAACTGCATGCTGGTACCATCTTTAGTTCAAAAATTATGGAAGTCGGAACACAAACATGTGATGAAGTGATGAGATGAAGTGGCCCTATTTTGGCCTGCATCTCCAAATGAAAATTCCCGACAAACGACTCATTTAGCTTGATCGCATCACAAATGTGCATGTGGCTTACGGTCTTCACGCACAGTCTATATAACATGTAGGCCTACTGGTGGGTCACATCATGAGTCTTCTCTGTATGCCGTACGGTATGATTCTGTTATAAGAGAGGACAATTTTCACGCGACGCGGGTAAGTTCAGGCACAAGAAAGTGGACACAGCTGCCAAGCCAGATATTATTTCTTTTTTCAGGTCGGTTGGTTTCTGGTTGGTTGGGGTCAGTTTTGCTTGAATTTTTGTCGGGTCGGGTCGGATTTGGGGAGTTCAGATCGGTTTCGGTTCTGATTCGGTTTATATTTGAATGTTTCGGGTCGGTTTGGCCTGGTCAACCCAATCAGATGCACAACATTAGCCTCCATTGTCCAATGATGCCCCCCCTCCCCCCCCCCCCCCCCCCTTGGGGATAGGACATGGACAAAGTAGTTCCCTTGTCCTCGCCTCGTGATTTATATGCAGTTTTTGAATTTCCAATACCCTAGGAAATAAACTTGACTATCTACCTTCAAACCATTTCATATTTGTTTATGCTCTGTGGAGGATTTTGACAATTTATAAACCATGGTTTACATTATTGACAATTAGCGCTCTGCAGGAAAAGACTTTAACTAATTGAAAGGCAGCTAAAATGACTAATTTGGTGGAGTTTTGTAACATGTATGCTTTTCCAGATGTTGGAAGTTCAAAATTCACTCCAGTCAATTTTGACAATATGCATTGGTCTGTAATAAAAAGTGTTGTTGCTTTTCAATTGTGATAGTGATGGGTTATGACAAACAAAAAGTTGCAAAGAAAATAAGTGGTCCGCATAAAACAGTAGAAGGGTCTAAAATGCCACTATGAGAATGCCTCCAGTAATGTTGTGCAAACCTGACCTGAAACCAAAACCTGATCCAAAACCAACGTCGGGTCGGGTTGGTTTTTCCATCATTTCAGTCTGGTCGGGTTGTTTTTGGTTTTGCGTTTGCGATTTTTCAGGTCTGGTCGGGTCAGTTAAGCCATCTTGTGAAAAACCCCAAATAAACCGAAATAAACTGAAATCAACCAAAACAGTTGGGGAAATTCACGCGGTGCAATGTTATTGCTGAGTTACTGTGAGTAAGATTTGAGGCTTTGCATGGTGGAGATACTAAATAATGAAAGGTTTGCGGAAACACCATGTGCGAATAATTTCTCAACTAAGAGAATGGTTCTGAAAAGAACCAGAGGTATAAACACTTTAGGCACTCTCCTGAAGGTCAGAGCGTACTGACCGGAACGTCGAGTTTATACCTCTGGTTCTTTTCAGAACCATTCTCTTAGTTGAGAAATTATTCGCACATGGTGTTTCCGCAAACCTTTCATTATTGAGTTACTGTGCCTGGTAAGACCAACGTCAACCGACTGCAAATGTGCATGTGGCTTACGGTCTTCACGCACAGTCTATATAACATGTAGGCCTACTGGTGGGTCACATTATGAGTCTTCACTGTATGCCGTACGGTATAATTCTGTTATAAGAGACAACAATTTTCACGCGACGCAGGTAAGTTTAGGCACAAGAAAGTGGACACAGTTGCCAAATCAGATATAATTTTTTTTTCGGGTCGGTTGGTCTCTGGTCGGTTCGAGTCAGTTTTGCTTAAATTTGGGTCGGGTCGGATTTGGGGAGTTCAGATCGGTTTCGGTTATGATTCGGTTTATATTTGAATGTTTTGGGTCGGTTTGGCCTGGTCAACTGCACAACATTGCATTTGCGATTTTTCAGGTCGGGTCTGGTCGGTTATGCCATCTTGTGAAAAACCCCAAATAAACTGAAATAAACTGAAATCAATCAAAACAGTTGGGACAATTCACGCGGTCCATGTCCTATTCCCCCCCCCCCCCCCCCCCCCCCCCCCCCCCCCCCCCCCCCCCCCCGGGATAGGACATGGACAAAGTAGTCCCCTTGTCTTCGCCTCGTGATCTATAAGCAGTTTTTGAATTTCCAATACCTAGGAAATAAACTTGACTATCTACCTTCAAACCATTTTATATTTGTGTATGCTCTTATTCGTACAGTGCTGTGTGGCTTCTTCAACATATTCAGCGTTCGCTTAACGACCACCGTGCAGAACGTCTTCACTGTGTTCAAGATGCTAGCGTTGACCATTATCATAGTTATGGGTTGTGTGCAGCTGTTCAGAGGTAAGTTCAATGAACCCATCATGTGACAAAACAAATACACTTTTCTATGGTGCGGTTGGAGTGCAGCATTTAAAATTATTTGAATTATGCAATTGTTCTATATATACACATGTCCATGGAATGGATATCTCAGGAAGCTTAAAAAGTACTGTATATAGATATGGATATCTCAGGAAGCTAAAAAAGCACTGTAGTCATGAGGATTGTTTTGAGGACTGAAATAAATCTGAAAGGGTCATACAATGGATTTTCTGAGGAACGTATTCTGTGCAACTCTCGTCCTCTTGTATAAAAATGTATGAAAACTATATGACATCCTTTTTTGGTTAATTTTATTGAAAAGTGCACTTCTTTAAACTTTTTAATTTTCCATGCGTTTCTGAACAATTGAGGGCGCTGTTTCTGCGATGTCATTTCAGGAAACACTTTTCAGTTTAGGGAGTTTGTGTTCAAAATGTGAACCCAAATATTTACTCATGGAAAACATTTGTGAGAAAAGTTTGTTCATTGGCTTAATACTGCGATGTATTGGCACAACGAATTACCAGAGGATAGAAAAAGCAAAACATCAAAAATTCTGGCAACTTGTGGTGAAATAGCAACTTTGAGATTTCTGCCTGAAATGACACTTTCGCTCATGAATATGTAAACATTAGCATAACAACCAAAAAGGCACTAAATTACCCTTGAAAATGGCAAAACGAATAGTAAAAACAAGGTTAAATGGGACACAAAGGTGCATTTTCAAGGATTGCATTAAACAAATTGTTTTTTACCTTTATTTGCATGATTGACAAATATTCTCGGTTTTTGTTTTTTATGAAAGGGGAAACGGCAAGTTTTGAAAATTCATTTGAAGGAACAACATACACTGGGCTTGGTAATGCTCTGTATTCTGGTTTGTTCTCATATGCAGGCTGGTAAGTTCATGCTAAGGTTTGATATAATGATTGTAGACATTTTTTTTTTTAAGTTTAATGTTGTAATTTGTTAGTCTATAGAAGTTACTCATTCAAAAATCTTTGTTAAAGGGAATATACAACATTTGCAAACATCAAAAAATAAAACTACCAAGTTTTTACGAAATACTTTATTAGGATGTTGGTAAATGACAGTATAAAGCATCCTGTAAAATTATGGCACCTGGTGTCAAGTCATTTTCAAGAAAATAGTATTTTTGTATACATTTCCAACGGTGGTCGGCCAACCACCGTTGGAAAACCTAACTTTTTTTCAACTACTGATCCAGATTTACCATTTTTTTAAGTCAAAATTTTGTTTGCTATTGGTTACATGTTCATGAACGGGTGCAGGCAGGCTAGACTGGTTCCCTCACCTTACAATTTTCCGGCATCTATAAATATTGATCTATTTCATCTTTAGTGGAGCCAGGGAACCAGACTGCTTGAACATTTTTGATATTCTTGGTTTTTCCAGCATTTTCAAACACAAAACTTCAAATATGTTAGTGTAACAATATTTGTTCTATTATACTAACCCCTCAAATAGTTCAATTCTGAAAATTACAGCAAAAGCCAATGATGAACATTCCCTTTAAGGAAATACGTTAATGACAGACAAATTAGATATTTTTTTGGCACTTTCAATTTTTCGTTCCATCAGATTTTAATTATTCTTAAGCTGAATGAAGGAACTTTATTGCCATATTTACTTTCCAAAATGTTTGAGTTGAACTTATATTTTTCTCTTTAGGGTTTTCTTTATATTAATGTTGCATGTATTCATTTCCTCAGTCACAGAGATGAAAAAATTTGCTTGTTTTCCTAAAGCTTTCAAATTGGATTAATTATTCATTTAAACCAAGTTTTATGCTGCATTCGCCAGTTGCACTTACCTGGTTTCTTTCTGTGTTACACAGGTACAACTTGAACAACGTTGTTGAGGAACTGCGAAATCCATACAAGTAAGTTCCGAAATTCTATGGACTGCTTTATAGTTGATGTGATTGGTGGGTGCACACAGTGATTTATGGTTAGAGGAAGACATGAACTGGAATATGTAACTATGTATAAAACCTGTGTTGGGACATGACATATTAAACTACATGAAAGCTTTGGGGAAAAAAAGGCCCTGACACCAATTAGTACATTTCAAACTCAACCCAGAATACAAATTTTGGAGGTAGACTTGAATTCTGTGCTTTCAAATTGTTCAGATATCTGTATTCTTGGGTACTGTAATTTCATTGGTCTATAGGATGGCCATGTGTCTGGACAATAAAAATGCATGTCACACACTGAGGATGATATCGCATTGCGTTCATTGCGCGCATTACGCGCGATAAAGGAACCTGCCGGCGCGCTATAGTTTTGCGCAATGAGAACTGCAAAGTCAAACGCTCAGTCTCATGTCCAGCAGAACATCAAAACCTTCAGTTATCAAAGGTTACATCGCAGTGATTTAATTTATTTCTCACACAGTAAGTTACAACCATTTATCTTTTTTGATTTATGGGCATGATATAACAAAACAATTGTTGACTGCTATAATGTGGGATATGCCCTTTTTAACCACGTCGGGGCGCATGCGCCCCACGTATGTTAAAAATGTGAATATCCCTTATCACAGCAGTCAACAATTGCTAAATGTCATATCTACAGGAATCTACCTCGTGCTATCTACATCACCATGGCCATTGTGACTGTCTTCTACGTACTGGCCAACGTTGCCTACTTCACGGCCATGTCGCCTACGGAACTACTGGCGTCTGATGCTGTTGCTGTGGTAAGGCATTGATTGGATGAAATGCTGTACCTCACAGTTGATGCACTGTATGACTGCCAATACTGACCCATCCAAAGGCCTCAAACTCTGCTTCTTTAGTACTTATTGAAGTAAATGCTGATGGTGATCAGAAAAGCAGTATACAATTACACAATTTTGACCAGATATTGGACACTTGTGCCCTTAAGCAAGGCACTTAACCATTATTGCTTCGTCCATCGGATGGGACGTAAAGCCGGAGGTCCCGTGTGTTGTGTAATGCAATGCACGTAAAAGAACCCAAACACTTATCGCTAAGAGAAGGGGTTTGCCCTGTGTTTCTGGCCTCCTAGTTATACTCCCTTGTGGAATTCCTACAGGAGAAGAACCAACCAAGTACATGTACCAAGTAAAATGGGCTTTTGCTTTGAGGTCCCCAAAATTTCTTTGCTTCAAATGTTATTACATGTACATGCATGGACGATACAAATTTGTTTAGCATTAGAAAAGTACAGCATTTCGACTCCTCCCCCTCTTTGTGTCAATAAAAATGTAGCAGTCAATCCATGAATACTAAAAATACTAGCACTCTCATTTGGCAAAACGCATGTAGAGAGTCTGAAGGTATAGTAAATACTCTACTCAGTGGTCTTTATCTCATATCACTTGGACACCCCAGTCCAGAGATAAAGCTAATTCAATTAAATGACTTGAACTCCAAGTTTGGCCACTTTTCAGATTATCTGGTATCTAATGAAAGGCATTCACATACCAAGAAGGTGTGTGAATGCCTTTCATTAGATACCAGCTAATCTGAAATGTGGCCCAAACAGATTTTGAGAGTTTTTACATAAACTTAGCTTTGCCGTAACTTTTAAACAAAAGGTCCAAATCACACAGAACAAAAATCCTGTCAAGGGTGAAGAAACACTCAATCATATCATAGTAATTTTTTTTTACCCCCCCCCCCCCAAAACCAAAAAAAATGATTTAATTTCCTCAGAAAAAAAGTTATTTGACTGCTACATATTTTTTTGAGACACGCTGTATTACTACTTACAAGAGACAATCAGTTAAAGATATAGTCCATCATTTGTAATTTGTGCACTTTGTTCATTTGAAGCAACAAAAGTGTTCAAAATCTAATGAAGGATACTGAACAACTAACTTGATGAAGTTTCAGCTAAACTTCAGCTGTATATTCCGAGAAAAACAGCATTCTAGGATCTCAATTTCAAATCAAAAGGTAACTGAATCGTGGTTTGAATTGTTTTGAATTGCTGCTATACGCGATGTCGCGCACTGATCCGACGAATTATAGCAACCACGCGCGCGTGTGCGTCGTGCCAATGCTTGCGCACGCTTCGCCGAATAACAAAACGAACTACTAATTTAAATTTTCCTACGGTGCGTCTTAAGACGCACTTTTGGAAAGGCCTTCTTTCGTTGATTACTTCAAAATGACAGCTTCCCAGAAAGAATATTTCACAGGGAGTTTAGTTCCCTTACTATCTTTCAACCAAGTTTGTTTTTCAACAATAATTACACCAGTTACTTTTCGGATGGCTGCAAATGATGGACTATAGCTTTAATATACGGGTACTAGTATTTTTATAAAGTTAACTCCGAAATGTTACACGTAGCTGATTATACCGTCATGTCCGTGCAACAAGGTCGGATCTCCTAAAATGGGCCGTACGTGAAACGCAAGTTTCAGAATGTTAAAAGGTCGTATCTTACTTAAAATAACCCGGATGTACACACAGAGTCAATGGACGTCGAGATACGACCTTGTTGCACGAGCTATTTGCGCGAGATACGACTTTGTTGCAGAACGGAGTTACGACCTAGTGGTTGATTTGTGACGTACCTTACGCCTGCGCACTGATAGCAACGTGCGAACATCTCTAGTCAAACGCTGGTCAAAATGTCATCGCAAAACTTCTGGATCCTGGCTCTCTGCTAGCGTTATGAATGCGCGCAGCTATTGGTTACCAGCGAAGCAACCAACCCCAGTAGGCTGGTTCCAAATAGTCGACTAGCGTAGTCAACCACCGTTGACTAGACAGAGTTCGGGCAAACGTTAGTTAACCATTGGTCAACTATAGTCCTTGCGCGAACTTCACCCTTGTTGCACTGACACAACGATATTAAACAACCACTCCTTGGGAAAAGAAATTGTGAATGTTTCGCAGGCAGACTGGTTTGTCAATATATACATGACGTTTTTCTTGGCAATTGTTCCCCCTCGTTGCTAAATAATATCCTACCAGAATTACGGCATCAAGCTCCTAGGAGTAATTGCATGGATAATGCCGGTATCGGTGGCCATGTCAACACACGGCTCCAATAACGGCAACTTCCTTGCATTTTCAAGGTACAAATTACTCATCACATAAGGGTCTGAAGTACTTCATTTTTTTTGTCAATTCAGCATGTCTTATAGCTTGTTATCACACCAGAGGACTAAACATGTCGTCTGATCGCTTTTATTGCTTTCGTTTGAAAGTTGTCCTTGAGACTTTTTGAAAATCTGCATGTGCAGAGGGAATTTCCCAAGTTTTGTGGCAATCAAATTAAAATAAACAGATCTTCCAACTCCACCAGGTAATTTTGCAGTATTTTGCAGGATTTTAGGGAAGTGGAGCCCATCCACTATAAGTTCAAAAGTTTAAATACAAAGAATATGTAATTTTAACAGCGGAGGATTTTGGAGGAATTATATGTATTACTTGCAAATAAAGAAAGGGACTTATTAGGCTGGTCCATAAAGTTGTCAAGTAAAGTCTGTCACGCTCCAATGTGGCCCATCAGGCCGGCATTTATCTCCGGTTTCAGTAGCATGAAACCACTGAGAATATTTCTACTCCCCCTGGATGGGATGCTAATCCATCAGAGGTTACTCCATAGCTAATGCTGGTACCCATTTATACTCCTGGGTGGAGAGAGGCAAGTGGGGGTGAAGTGGCTTGCCCAAGAAAACAGCACGTGGCCAGCAGCTGGATTTGAACCCCTGACCCTCTGATCATGAGTCATGAACCCTAACCACTAGGCCACACTCCCCATACTTCACGCAAAAGCAAAAGCAACAATTGCAACTTTCATTGTGGCGTTCGCTGTTACCAAAACAAATTCGCTTCGTACTGAAATTCACGTAAAGTATGTGGACTGACCTTAGGATTTCATAAGTTTGTTGAGGATTTCAAAAGTTCGTGTCGACCAGAAACACAAGTTTTCTCTGCACATACCCATCCAGACCAACATTAACAGAAATGGACAACGATAGGGCCGAACATTTTGTTTTTCCAAAACCATTTCAGGGAATTATTACATCGCAGCATGTTTCACTTGCATTACTTATTTTCCCCAATCATTTATTTTTTTTTCCATTCAGACATTTGGTATCAAGTTGCTTGGGGTTGTTGCATGGTGTATGCCGATTTTCGTCGCCATGTCGACGTTTGGTTCAAACAATGGAAGTCTGCTTGGCCTTTCTAGGTAATTATTACATGTATAATGTTAACTATCATATATCAACATCCACTTGTTTTTTGTTTGTTTTTGTATTTGACATTGGTTATATTTTTTTCCCCCTCATTTACAATCATGATCTCCATTAATTTGCCCTTTTCAGATTTACTCTGTTACGGTAGGTCTCAATCGCACTTATTTTGTTGATTGTTGAAAACTCTTAAACAGTTCGCGCTGGAGGCCATGATAACATGCACTGGCTGCTTTTGTACCCAGGCACGGCCGACGGATTAAGACGTCAAGATTGCCTCGACTCACTCCGGGCGACGTCTAAACATGCTAATCCCTCGTGCTTTTTGTACACACACACAAAGTCTGTGAAGTCTGTGGAGTCGGACCGTTTGTTGATCATGAATTGGCTGTTGTGCACGGCCTATTGTTGTACAATTTACGCTCCAGTGCACACCCCGGAGTATAGAAACATATGAGGTTTCGGCAAGAAATATCGTACAAATACTGTTGAAATGACTCATTGCGAATCAGTATTCGTGGTGTTTGGCTGGTTATCAGAAGTTGGCTGGGAAATTTTGCCTTGCATACATGTAATATGACTGGATTGCGTCAAATGATTAAGGTTATATTTTCACTTCTACGTCATTCAATTACATCAGCTCTTCTTTCATATTTGTTACTCACTTTGGCATGTACTTATATGAATATGCATATTGCAACATTTGCAGGTACATTGTTTTCGCTGTGAATGTTTCATCCAGTTTTAAAGGGGGATGTTGTTTGTGCAAAGAGGGTTCCACAGTTTTCCAAGATAAATATTTTCCTGTGGTTTTGTTTAACCCTGAACAAGCAAAAATGAAGAAGTACAGTGGGCCCAGACCCTTTGAAGATACTTATAGATTTTGTGCTGTGCAAACTGTCCCATAATACAGCACAGTACACATATACCTACTTTGCACATTTGTGACCTGTTCTGTCAAAATCAGACTTTTCTGGGCATAAGGTCGAAAATGATATTTTTACATTTCGTTAACATATGTTCTTTTTCCTTTTAATAGGTGGTTTAATTTTTGAAACCGGTCATTCCTGGGCAGAGTTATGCTATTTTTAAGTTCATTGTGTCGAAAAGTAGAAAACGGAGAAAATGGCCATGAACGTCACAAAACAGTTATTTCTTTAACTGAAATACCTTATCAAAATCATCAAAAATAGTACATGTGGAGTTCAAATTAGGGTTTCAAACTTTAATAATATATTTTAGACATGTTCAGGATTACAAATATGCAAAAATTTGAAAATCGATAAAAATCACCCCAACAGCATTTTTTGGCCCTATCTCAATTTCAACCTCTGCCCAGAAGCGTCTGCTTTGACAGAACAGGTCACATTTATGGTTGCAGCTTGGCAGCCACATGTTTCATTGCAAGATTCTGTGGTCTTGATAAGAGGACTGGAAAAAGTGTTCCAAGTGTAATACTGGAGTTTACTGCATTCTGTAGCTTCCCCTCTATGCTGTTATTCATTTACATATATTTGGATTAGTCATGGTTTTGTGCATGATTTGGGGTTTGTGTATGTCGTGTAGTCACTCCTGCTTTTGATATTACCACAGAATGTTCTTTGTGGGGGCAAGAGACAGACAGTTGCCAAATTTCCTTGCCATGATTGACATCAAGAGGAAAACACCAATGCCCGCCTTGCTGCTTGTGGTGAGTGACAAGAAGACATGAGAGGATATCACAGAAATGAAGACATACGTGTACATGACCTGTCAGGACGAAAATGAACCTGTATTCGTTAATTGCCATTTTTCGGTTTTTTCGGATACCGAAAAATCCTCTATACAAGGTGGATAAAAAAAACCCGAAACCGACATTTTATTGCTAATTGAATTGCTTTGAATTCTCCAGACCAAAGACACTGTTGCTAATCACATGACTCGGGGCAAGCTCTTGCATATATACATAAGAGACACTCGGCACCAATACATTGTTCACAATGGTGAGAATGGCACAACGACACCAGACCATTCTGGAGCGGGGGATGCTAGCACTTCCCCTGACTCACATGATATAGTAACAGTCTCTTTGGTCGGGAGAATGCAAAGTTAAGCGTTCCAGCTTTCATTCAAATTTAACTCGCAAATGGCTTATTGTTGTGTACCTTGATGTTTCACACAATGTATCTGATAGATGTAGTCCACTTGAGATATACACATACAGCAATCTTCAGTTTCCATTTGTTCTTGTTATTTCTCCCCCTTTGGGATCTAGACATTCCTGACGTGTGTGTACGTGTTTGCCAGGGACGTATACACACTCATCAACTACTTCAACTTTGTACTGTGGACCTCTGCCGGGGCTATCTCAGCTGGGCTAGTCTATTTGCGCTGGAAGCAACCAGACATGCCAAGGCCGTACAAGGTAATTACGTTGCTTCGTCTTCTTTCCATTTCACCCTATCTCTAGTTTGGCCTTATTTACAGCTTCTTCCTATTTGCTAGAGGGTTCAAATGAACCCCCGTTTACTGGTGCGAGTTCCATATGAACGGGTATATTGTTCTCATGCTCGAACTTCAGGAACAGTCTACGGTCATAAGGTCATGCAGTCATACAGAATTTAGGACTGGTTAGTGTCATGGCCTAGCGGTTAAGAGCGGTTAAGAGCACCGACTCATGCTCTGGTGTTTCAGAGGCAACAGTGGAGTGGGTTCGAGCCCGGGCCCGCACACTTGTGCCCTTGAGCAAGGCACTTAACCATTATTGCGGATGGGACGTTAAGCCGGAGGTCCCGTGTGTTGTATTTAGGCCTAACGCACGTAAAAGAACCCAGTAACACTTATCGCTAAGAGAAGGGGTTTGCCCCGGTGTTTCTGGCCTCCTAGTTATACATGTTATACTCCCTTGTGGAAGTCCTTAGGAGAAGAACCAACCAAGTACCAACCAAGTCTCGTAAAACTTTGTTTAGGGGATACAACAAAGTAAAGAATGCGTGGTGTTATTTTGTCTCGGGCCTATTGGGTTGGCCCCTTAGACCAACTATCCCGTTGATTTACATGTATCAACTTCTTACAAGCCTAATTTTATTTACACTTTACAATTTTTTCCTTTTTTTCCCCCTTATCGTTGATGACAGATTAACATCTGCCTTCCCATCTTCTTCACCTTGGCCTCCGCTGCTCTGGTGATCCTAGGCACTGTCTCAGCTCCCATGGACACCCTGATAGGCATAGCCATCACGCTCACCGGCATTCCCTTCTACTTTATCTTGGTCAGACCGGCCAAGATACCAGCTATCCTCCACAAAGTTGACGGTAGGTGCAAAAGGACTGTTCCTGATGTGGCTACAAGCCCCACATACACACATTGCACATGGTCAACATGAAAGAAGCCAAGCGCAAGTGCACAATAAGCTCTGGCCTGGTTTGGGAATGCCCCAATTCATATGCAAAATAGACGCGCATGCGAATTGATGAAAACAAAGCCAGTCTTCTGAAAACTTTTGGCAAGAGTGCATTTATATGACCATGGCGTGGCATTTGGTCAATTTTTGGTCAAATATTTTTGGCCAATTTTCGGGGACAGACAGACAGACAGACAGACCGACCAACCAACTACCAAGTGACATATAGAGGTTCCTGCCAGAGCTTGAAAAAGCCTGTACATATCTCAAGTCTCTCATGATCAGGTTTGACAGGTTTTGAACATTCATAAAAAATCTACCTTTGTATTTCGAGTTTATGTGAGTACATGTACGGCTGTACACCCTTTCCTGCTCTACTTGTCTATTTCAATCCGAGGGAGAATTTGAGGAGGAATTGGAAGTGGTACAAAGAAAACCAAGGTCTCCGAAATTCTCAAATTTAAAAAAAAAAAACCTGGTTTATTCATAAAGGTAATAAAGATTAACTGGAGCAAATCTGCAGTCAAGTGTAAAACCGTATTGTTCAATTTGTCTTAAAGCCAGTGCCGTTGAACAACTGTAATATTCTTGTCATTGTCCCTTTTTGGTCTCCAGTTGCCGTCACTCATTGGTGCCAGAAGCTGTTCTTAGTGACCAGCGAGGAGGGGAAGAAGGCAAAAAACAAGGCAACCAGTGGGGATTCGACCAACGAAGATAAAGAGTTATGAAACAATATGGAGTGGAAAATGTCACGCACAAATCCAAAATGGAACCACTGGATCACCACATATCGGCTGGGTTGGTTCGACAAGTATTCCAGGAAACTGCATGCTTGTTGCATGGTTTTATAATGTATTTGGACATTGTCCTGAAAAAAAAACACATCCAAAAAGTAACTGGCGTAATTATTGTTGAAAAACATACTTGGTTGAAAGATAGTAAGGGAACTAAAGTCCCTGTGAAATTATTCTTTCTGGCAAGCTGTCATTTTGAAGTAATCAACGAAAGAAGGCCTTTCCTACGGTGCGTCTTAAGACGCACCGTAGGAAAATTTAAATTAGTAGTTCGTTCTGTTATTCGGCGAAGCGCGCGCAAGCATTGGCACGATGCACACGCGCGCGCGGTTGCTATAATTCGTCGGATCAGTGTGTGACATCGCGTAGCTGCAATCCGCTCAGTGAGAATGTGTTTCGGACGCTGAATTCAGGCCCAATTCAAAACATGATTCAGCAACTTTTGATTTGAAATTGAGATCCTAGAATGCTGTTTTTCTCGGAATATACAGCTAAAGCTGAGCTGAAACTTCATCAGGTTAGTTGTTCAGTATCCTTCAATAGATTTTGAACACTTTTGTTGCTTCAAACGAACAAAATGCACAAATTACAAATGATGGAGTATATCTTTAAAACATTGGTGTCCATTTAACTGCACTTCCTTGTCCATCCCAAGTCAATCGCAAGTACGGTCACAATTAACAGGAGATGAACAATGACAAATAAATGACTTTATCACAGTTAAATTGAATTGGCTGGTGGCCTGGAGACTGAAGAACTTGTGATTGACTTGTGAGGATACGACTTAAGTAATGCTGCGTAAAGGGAACATGGCCAGTTTTATGCTAACTTTGCAACAATAGTGCTAGCTTAGAGTGTAAGAGAAAGTTCTTTTACCAATTTAATCCAACTACATGAGTGTACGGCCAGTTGAATCAAACAACACTTGCCTGATATTAAAAAAAGTGTATACTAATTAAACAAACTTTATAGTCAGTGGGCCATGAGGACGGCCCCCGTGTACCCCTCCTTGAGTGCGTTCGATTACTTCCCCCGCGCTGACTCGTGCAAGCCGGACAGCGTTCGATTTACCTCTCACGTGACTTCTCGCGCTTACTAGAGCCTGGCCCAAGTAACCGACTCGCTGAGCCGGTTACTTGGATAAGTATCCCATAAGGCCATGCAGTAAACATGGCTGCCAATGTGACGTCCGGCGGGTGTCTCAGGCCGGCCGTGTCCGAAACGGGCAGAAACAATGTTGCAACCTGACGCCACTTTTTTTCTTCATATATCATCTCAATGAAGGTCATTCATTGCAAAAATGACGATAAGACGTGAATCTGGGACTGAGAAACATTTCTAATTTTGTTAGGAAATACTTAGAAAAGTTTATTGACTCTCCATAGACTTTGTACACAAACCGCTGAAGTGGCGTCAGGTTGCAACATTCTTTTCCGAAACGGGCTTCCAGAGCTAGCTACGGCTACGTCTATTGTCAGCGCGTCCCCGCGTATTTTCAATGGGCGTGGACCTAGACCTAGTTCTAGACAGTTGATTCGGAAACATCCTGTGTCATGTCAAAGTTCAACTTTCCAGCTCTTGCACGAAATTTTACCCGAAATTGTTCGTTTATTTAGCTCCACTGCGCATGTCTGTCATCACGCGAGGAGCCAGGCGCGAGTAAGCTGGGGGAAGTAATCAAACGCCCTCCTTGAAAACATGAGCATAGACAGCAGAATCAAGTAACTTCTATGAGTCTCCTGAGCAATTTCGGTTGGCGGCCATTTTGAAAAATTGCTGGAACACGTATACATGTAGTGCATTCCAACAGTTTCACTGGTAAAATGTGGAATATCAATCAAACGGGTCTCCTGAACAAAATGGTCCATGGGGTGGGGGGGGGGGGGGAGTGAGTGCATAAGGGGCGGTGGCCTATTACCGGTCATAAAGGTAACGCTGGATTTTTTTATGGACCATGTATTATACATTTTTGAGGCCTTGCTTTTCTGTGTGGTCCTTAAAAATGGAATGCAAATATAGCATCCTAATAAAAGCTAATTTTCAATACTTAAGAATACATTATATAAAAGAATACATTATATAATGTATTTCCCCAGTAACGGTTTGGGGCATTATAAGAAGTAGCAGGCTGTGAGTTGGGGCGGTACAGAAACCAATGGGTTAATACTATTTGCATCAAGTATCTGTGAATACAGTGAAATAATTTTACATGATGAAAGCAACATTTCTGAGCATTTCCTAGCACAAACCTATTGCCTGCAGCACGCACAATTTACATGGCTATGCGCCATTTCAAGTGGTGTTTCACATTTTGTTGTGGTTTTGAGCATTATCATTGTAATCAGTGATCAGGGTTTCAGAGATGTTTATGCATTACAATAATTCACTATGGATGCTGGTCATTACATTGTTTTTTTGGTGTGAAGCTGGCATTCCAAATAACAGTCACTAGGGCAAGTCAAATTATGGGGAAACTTTCTGCTGGTCCTGTGATGATGGCATTTGCGGCCAAACAGTATTAATAAAGCAGTGTGGTTTATAACTTGCATGCCTACGTGCGCATCATGCTGGTGTGAAAATGATTTTGTTTGGAACAGTCTGCTTTGTCAATCAGTGTTGCATTTCAGGGCCCAGGCTATGTAAAAAAAAAAATTTGTAACGATATCCCCTAAATTGTACCTTTGTGTCCCTATTATCAATTTATGTATTGACATTTTGGTGCCATTGGTTTTTATGCTAATGCAAATTTCCATATTCATGAGCTAACTGTGGCGTCATTACGACCAGAAACTTCAATGTTACAGCTATTTTAGCACAAAAAAATTGCTAGAATTTGGCTATGCTGTCATAAGTAAATATTATTATCTTGGGTGATTCTTTGTTGTGTAAGTACATGAGCATTCCTTTCTCAGGCTTTCAGTGAGCAAATTTTGGGTTCACAATTTGAACGGAAAACCCCTAACATGCCTAAACTCAACAGTGCCTTCCCGAAATGACATCACAGCAACAGCACCCTCAGTTGTCCGGAAAAAGCATGGACAATTTTAAATGCTTGAAGAAGTGCACTTTTCAATAAAATTAACCAAAAAGGGATGTCAAGTAGATCTGATACACTGTAAACTCTGGAGACGTGTGTACATTAGGGAACAAAAGATTGTGTATGTCTCCACAGGGCAATTTCTATAGATGAATACGTCTCCACAAGGTTTTCACGAAATAGATATATGGATTTTACTAAAAAACTAGGCATTTCCAAGCTATGTTGATCTGTCGCAAATGGAAGAGTTTTAGAAGAGGGATATTAAGTCCAAATTTCAGCCAAGGAAATTAATTCTGGTTAAAATAAGAGCATTTTTAAACTACACGAGAACAAAGGAATGTCTCCACAAGAATACAAATTCCAGTATGCGTGTTTTCATACATTTAAGAGGATCAGAAAGTCGCACAAAATGTGTTCCTAAGAAAAATCATTACTTAGCCCCAGTAATTTTAAATAGATTTAGAATGATTTGGTAATGACTTTTCTCTAATGTGCGAGGATTGGACTGCAACTCTGTTGCCAAGAGTTGTGAGATGACATCCCAATTTTGAAGTGCTACTGCCTTTTTACTAAATTTGCTGGGCGCCGAGTTAAAGTTCTTAAACTTCACAAGGCTGTAAATACATAACTTCTGTGTGTTTCATTGCAGTGGCTCTTTGAAATTGGAGTGTGGTCAAGTTGTGTACAAATATATTACCTTTAATATAATTCAAGAAATGTTATATGTGTGTGTCAAAGAGGGTTGTTTTTGTTCTGCTTATTTTAGAAAAAAAATATTGAAAAGTGAGATATCTTAGTATTAAAAAGCTGATCTTTTATCCAGACTTTTTTAAGACTAGTAATTTGTAAAATGAAGAAGAAATATATACATGTAATTTGATATTTTAACTATTTTATGACAATTTATCGAAATATAGTTTTTAATAATTGTCATGAAAATATGACGGCTGATATGTTACAGTTTTATCATGGGCAACATTTGTAATTTTTTCTCTTCTTTTTAAGAATCTTTTTAATGAGTTCTAGTAAAACTTGTGCCTTGTAGGCCATACTTTTGAAGAAATCTTGTGTACACATTTTTAATTGTCAGTTATGTCGATCAAATCTGTACAATGGGTGTGTTTTCCTTTAATTAATTTCCAAGTCCTTTTCTTTAGCATTTCCTTCTGTTTTTAAAAAATTAATTTGAGTTTTAAGGAATTTGTCTTGCTAGAAAAACTTGATAAATCCTCCAAAATACATCACTCAACAGCAAGTTGCTTTGTTATTTGCACTAAATACTGCTCCCACACCAACCGAAATGAGGTAGTGGATTGGCAAAACGTATGTATTTGTTCTCACTTCTTGTACAAAAATGATACTGAAATGATCTTAAACAAAAAAATTTCATTCAAAATTAGGTAAACATAATTTTGATGTATAGTTTATATATACATGTATTTGATTTGAAATTTCACCCCAAAACAAATGTTTTGGTGACAAAGAAAGGATTCCATTTTTATTTCCGTTCTTTTCGAAAACAAGCAAAAATGTGATTACACATTTTTCAGTGGCCTTATGTTTTCATCAGCAAAACTCTCGAAAACAAAAAAGCTGAAGTTATAGTGAATGTTTATCATACCTAACAAATGATGGGTCCTCTTGGTGAAAATGTTAATATCACATAGTTAAACCTTACTTTTCATTAGATTGTTGTGGGTTGTATCATTTTTAAGTATATACTTTTTTGGGCAGTTATCAGTTTGCTTCTAAATGTTTAAAAAAGTACTGCCCGAGTATCATTCCTAAATTTTATCAGTATTAATTTATGCTCTGTTGCCTAATTAAAAGAATAAACAATTTGGGAATGCAAATTTGTTTTTTTTTACTCCATTGAAATTTCTTCACAGTTGACTTATGCAATTACTCTGAGCCTTCCATGCAGAAGCATGATAAACCAGTGCATGGCCAAGTGGTAGATGTATAAACTAATACTCTTTTTTCCAAATTCTTTTACGGAGTAGAATTCTTGTTAAAGGGAATATACATCATTTGCTTTTGCTGTAATTTTCAGAAATGGATGGAATTGGGGGGTTGGAAATATTTATAGCAAATATAGTTACACTGACTTTTTTGAGGTTTTGGGCTCGAAAATGCTATAAAAACCAAGAAAAACAATCATTTTCCTGTAGTTTGGTTCCCTGACTCCATATAAGAAGAAACAGAGCACTTTAAATACATTGGGGAATTGTAAGGTCAGGGAACCAGTCTAGCTGGCTTGTACCCGTTCATAGGTGTGTAATCGATTGCAAACAAGTGTGATGGTCAATTGGGGCCAGTATTTGAAAAAAGCCAGTTTTTTCCAACGCTGGTCGGCCAACCAGCGTTGGAAATTGATACAAAATTACCGCTTTTCTTGAAAATGACAGTATTCCAGGTGCCATGATTTTACAGGATGCTTTACACTGTCATTCACTAACAGTCCAGCAAGGTATTTCAAAATGATTTGGTAGTTTTATTTTTTGATGTTTGCAAATGTTGTATTTTCCTTTAAACAAATGGCTAGTATTCACACAAACTGAGAATTCATGTTCCTTAAAATGACTTTACACGGTCAGGTTAATTCATACATGTGTAATACCTACCTGTAAAAAAAATCATGTCATGCCTGACTTCATTAGCACCAGATCAATACACCAGAACACATGCCCACATACAATTAGCAGTGAGAAACCAGCCCTCATTGCTATGCGAGCTTCATGATAAAGTACACAATGTATACTACACGTACATATCTATGGAACAAGCGAAATAATGTCATGCATCTGTGGCTGCAGGTTGTTTTAAGAATTTACATTTCCACCGTTTGAAGTGTCCGAGCTTACTGATTTAAACATGAAACTCTTGTGTTTGACCCTAACTCCCTAGGCATTTTTACCAGGATGCAACCTCAATCCTGCAAAATCCTCCAACTGCCTCCATGTCAAAATTGCAGACAGCCTCAATCCCGCGAAATCCTCTGTTACTTCTTGAATGTGGTCCTTTGAGGGGTGACCATGCCTCAATCCTGCAAAATCCTCCGGCGATCACTCAATATATTGAGGCAGAGCCAGTGACATTCTGGAGAAGTGCGGGTGATTTCAAGTATAATCCAGGCCTAACTTTATGCACTGTTGAGCATAAACAACACAAGGTCCGGCCCAAGACCTTGACAGTGCATCCTCCAAAATCAGCCACACATGTTTGCCATATTGCCTAAATCCTGTAAACTCCACCATTTTGCAAAGCAGATTTTGGAGGATTTTGGAATGTTAGGGTTAATAAACCGACTGGAGGTTACAAAAACACAGATAAAACATTTACCATCTGTATGAATGGTAATTCCCTGTGCAAAATATTCTGTGTGGACAACCAATGTTTCGTGACAAATCAACGTGACAATACATGACCGACACATGACTGATGTCATCTTTGGATTAATACTTTATTTTAGACATTTAATTCAATTTAAATAATCGTAAAAGTTCTTGGGATGTCTTCTATACATGCACTTATTTTACTCTGTGTGCATCATAGAGTCAATCTTTTTTTCACATCTTAAATTGGCTTCTCTGTAACTGATGAAAATTTGAACACTTTGTTTTTTTAATAATATTTTACATGTTAATATAAAGACAAGCATGATTTAGGATAAAATTGTGGTTTGAGTATACATGCAGTTAAAACAACTCTGCATAATTGCTGCAAATATTACAAACGTCTCTTAACACACCAATCATTCGAACTGATTAAGTGTTAACGGTTTCTGCCTGATTATGTTAACTTTGCGCAAGATCCAAATCACCTTGCCAATGTAACAGGTTAAGGCCCTCGGTACACACGGTACAGGGTTTAGCACTGCACTAAACCAAGTTAAGCTGCTTGAACCCATTTAGCTTGAGTAAATGTAACTTGGTTATTACTGCTTACATTAACTATCCAACTGTACATGTAAATGTAGCAGTAATTACAAATAGCACTCGGCCAGTTTTCACCAGTTGCTGTATTTACATACATGTACATGTACATGTGTTACCATTCTGTACTCCAGATGGACAAACTCTAGTTTACTGTCCACTTGATAGCACTGCACTAAACCAAGTTAAGCTGCTTGAACGGATTTAGCTTGAGTAAATGTAACTTGGTTATTACTGCTTACATTAACTATCCAACTGTACATGTAAATGTAGCAGTAATTACAAATAGCACTCTGCCAGTTTTCACCAGTTGCTGTATTTACATACATGTACATGTACATGTGTTACCATTCTGTACTCCAGATGGACAAACTCTAGTTTACTGTCCACTTGATAACACAATGTCTGAGGTTCCCTGGATGCCCTTGAACTTGCTGCAACTATCAGCTAGTTTTCCCATGCATTCTTAATTTGGCAAAAAAAATGATTAATTTTGGTGAATCGTACAGAAGTCATCTTCTTGCCTGCTGTTTGGGACTGTAGATTAAATGCGTACACAATACGTGTTGATAATTACTCATTAACTATACAAAACAATGAAGCAAATCAAAAGCCAATTTGGCTGAATACTATTCAAATGTAAGAAATCATTTTTTTTCAGCACCTCCTTCAAGAACATTTCAAAGCTTTGCACATCCAAATGAGAAAATAAAACCAGAGGTTCATAATACATGTAGATATATATACCACCAATTGCTAGTTTTTCTTGTGTAAAGTTTCTTAACCAGTTCGCGGCGGACGACGTGTATACACGCAAAAGTTTTGCGGTATTGAGAGATGCAGGGAGCAAGGTCGGAAATATATCTGTCAGCGACCCGCTCGCAGTGAGCGAGGCCGGAAATATGAGTGTGCTGCCTGAGGGCGATGGCTTCCACCCACATGGCTTGAGGTTGAGGTCGAAAGAAATCCCGCGCCCATTTCGTTCTTGTCAAAATAATCCCGGCGCGAACTGGTTAAATGGACATCAAGAGTATCACTCCAGAATGATTTTCATTTAATCTTTCCCATCTGTATCTAATTGTACAACATAGCCCACAATTTTGCCATAGGATAGGGACTGCACACAAAATGGTGGTATAACCAAGAAGTTTTTTTTGTGAACCTATGAAGAAAATTGCGTGCAATTTCAAAATTTGAAATAAATATTTTCTTTGTGTTGACAAATCTCTGCTTTTCATTGTACACCAGAATTGGTAGTAATCTAACGAGACTTGCCACTATATTTGGATAATATACTCTATGAACTGTACACAAATGACAATTATAAATGAGGTGTATTTGTTTACATTTTACACACTTAGAATCTGGAATGATTTTATCTTCTATTCCTACCTTTATCCTTTGTTTATATGATGCTGACTACTACATGATAGGTGGACAATTTTATGATTTAATTTAAAAAAAAAAATATACAGAGTTTAACTTGAGAACACAAATCACACAAACCATCCTGGCAAGAATTTCAATTTCTCTCTGCCTTTTGAAAATGCTCTTTAGATACCAAGTGATTCTTGAAAATTGCAACTTCAGGTTGTTAGCATCTTCATTTTCAACAATCTGAAACGGAAGAAATTTTCTAAAACCTACCATCTTTTAATGCTGCGATAGCATTGCCTGATAATCCAAGAAAGTACAGAAATTACATTAATATTCTACCAAATGTTTTATTGCATTGAATCAACCTTTCAGTTGTGGGCCTATTAACCTATCACGATAGAATCGCGTCAATGCAGCTTGTGAAATAGTGTCCCATCACATGTACAAATGGATGTGGAACGCACAAAATCTGAGACAAACAAGGTACAACACTCAATAGGGTTGTCTAAGGGGCGTGGCTATCTCGCAAACGGCAATAGGTCAATTATATAGCTAAAGCATAAAAAAATAAGCGAGAATGCTCCATTTTCAAAAAAAAAAAATCTATTTTGTGCAAGGAAAGCTCTAAATGAATTCTGGGCTTGACTGATGTCTGATATCAATACCATCATCACAATCATATGAAAATAAACCAAAGAAATAATACAGTACACATTATGATTAAATACACATCTCACCACCCACATCACAATATTTAACATTTAAAGAGGTCCCACAACAGCGTAGAAGTAAAAAAAAAAAAAACATTAAAAATTCTTCAATTGAAAAAAAAAAAACGTATTGCATCTTCATATAACATGGCACTTCCAGTCAATTCCATGTGAACGAAACTAAACCAAAAAAAAATGTTTTAATTTTAAAGATTTTATGTTACATTATTGTATCTATAGTATACACATTGATTTCTCACTATGAATATTATAATGCAAACCAGCACATCTTGAAAAGTAGTGCAATTTGTAAATATTTAAAGTTATCAATTTCTAAATTTGTTCTGTTGAAGAATAGTTTCATGTGATCTTGTTATCAACATATCTTCATCCTCCAATGCATGCAGGCTGTTGGATTCAGCTAATTGTAAGGTGGAAAGCACATTAATGGCAAAATTATACAAATTTCAATCCTTGCAATTAAGTTCAAGGATAACTGCGTGGTTCCATGGCCGAAATTGTTCCAATAGCATGTCAATCTGGGAGAACACCTCGCTTTTCCCCCAACTATCAAAACAGCACAAACATATTCTTTGACGATGGAATTAAATGCGTTAAGGGAATAAATATGACTTGGGGCGGATATTTGGCTCAGGAAATTATCGGCAACCAGGCCCCAAGCCGGTATCACACGTACTCGTTTAATACCGGCCAAGCACATATTTATTCCCATTCATAAATACCTTTCGGTTAAAAATCAAAACACTTAAAATTATAACTTTCCAATGTTTTTGTTCAACAAGTTTACCTTTGGTTTTGTGAAACACCCATCTAGCTATGTTTATGGTATGTGGCTCTCGCAAGTAGTACTAAAAATCTCCTTATATGGAGATTGGCGTGCACTTGATGTGTACTGCGCAAGTGGCGCAGAACACAGCGGTGCCGGTGAAGTGTGAATTTAGGACTCTATGAAATAAGGACTCATCAGTAGTATTGGCATGCCTGAATGAAGATTGTGAACGTTCAACCAATAAAAGGATAAAAGGAACCAGATTTCGTAGGAGTACAAATTCATGTGACACTGGAAAAAAAGTGTTTAAAACCAGTTGGTGTTTTACCAACCGTTTTAAACCACCCACGTGATGGGCTCTCGACCAATAGGAATGGGTAAACTCTCTCGGATATTTATGATAGAAACTGAAGCAGTGTGCATTAGCGATCATCGCAAGCCACGACCATCTTGATCATGAAATATATATGTACACAGAGTTCAACAGAGTATCATAGCATCTTTTCTAATTAATGACCGACTTTTTCCCCCCCAGATAAATATCAGACCGTTGGATTGCATGCGTTACCTGTAGTTGCGCACATCGCAGCCTTTCTATCTTTGATTAAATCTATTTGAAGAGAAATTGAAAGAAGACAAGTGGCTTATCTCAAGCAGCAGGAGCCGGACGGCCGAGGGCAGATTACCGTAAATCCGGATCACCGCTGATGCTCTTCTTAATCCTGAGCAGAATCGTGGTCAGCCACTGGTCCAATCGTGAGATGGAATCATAATCCTTGACCTGGTCCAAGAAAAATCCAAACGGAGGGTCACGTTTTATATGGTAGATTATTTGTGCGTGTCTGGGCGATGTGAATTTAAGGTCGCGTCCAAATGACTTGGCTAGCGCTTTGAATGAGAAAAAGGTTTGTGATACAGACTGCAGTCGCTCAACTACTGACATAATATTGCAAACATTCAGGTACTTTTTATGAAAACATACAATATGCTGATTTATTTTTACCACTGTAAGCCTGAAATTAATAAGGGAATAAATGTGTGCTTTGGAGGTTTTAATAACTCTGTTTAAGGCCGCTTGGAGTCTGGGTTCTTCGGCTCGGGTATTTTTCAAACACTGAACACTCAACAAATCGATCACATTGGTGGAATTTACGTAGAGTGTGTGGCTTAACAATAAACTTTTCTATAAATATTGAAAACCTTGTGTTAATACTTCACTTACCGATTCAGTATAATTGTCAATATTCTGCTCCTCAACTGCGTCCATCAATTTCTGTAAGACAGTTATAAAGACAAAATGTAATGCATGTTAAAGAGACATTAAACATTTAGTACAGTGTGGCCATGATCCTAGCCACATAGCACAGTAAAACTGTCAGGCTTTCTGTCACCTCCATTAAAAAAAAAGACAAACTAGCTCAAAATCTTCTACATACATTGTATTTGGTAGGGTGCTGATATGGTGTAGTGAAGGATGTAGCTTCAAATCCTGATTCAGTCAAATCGGTCAAGGGGATTTTCTCCAGTCCAGCAATAATACATGGTTTGAAGGTTGATAGTTGATATTAGCTCCCCGAAGTATTAAAATTTGACAGAGTAGTTCTGGAGGCGAAGCCGAGGGAATTAGTCTGTCAACTTCCAACATTTGTTTCACTATACCTCATACATATTCACAAACATTTCTTGAAGTTATGCATACATTTTCTCAGCAAAATGTTAGGTGTGCCCCATGTTTTCCTATAGCTGCTGCATGCTGCAAGCTGGCGTGATGTTCGCACGTGTGCACTACCCCTGTGCGCTGGTTCCACGACTGCTTCGTAAAGCACATGTGTAGTAGACTAGCGCACTGGCACTGGTTACCAGTGTGCTAGTCTGATTAACCTGTGCTTAAAAGCTCGCGTGCGTACTTGGTAAACAGCAAAACTAGCGGCTGACACATGATGGTGAATGGACCAGTGAGAACTCAACTCTCGATCATGAATATGTATGAGGTATAGTAAAACTAACTTGCCTGCCAAACCTTCTAAACAGTGAGAATACATTAAAATGCTGCCATTTTGAGAAAATATACAAAGCATGAACACTTTCATTTTTTTTTATTAGGTACATGTAAAACAGCTCAAACACTCATTTAAAGTTAAGCCTCATTACCTTGGAAGTTTGGATGCACTGAACAGTCTCATGAACACATCTTAAATTTGTTGGCAATTTCCTAAGATGCTGACACCCGGTATATTTAAAATGTTTGGTCTTGGCATATGGGCTCCATGAAGAAGTACCCCCTCAACGGTAAGAACGGGGGAGTTTGGGGAGACCACTGGGAGAGACATTTGAAGTCATCACCGACGACGCCCGACACTCACACCAAGATGGGTTTGTGTGCATTTCAGAATGAAACTGGTCGTACATACGTTGCACTTTACGGGCGCGAACTAGTATGCTGATGCGGTTTTACCCGTCCACAGGGCTCTCAAAAGTGATAAAAAAGCGCCCTCTCCTGTTCGCGCACAGAGCCAATGGCCTTGTACATGTATGACAAAGATGTCACACAACTAGGCTGAACGTAATTCCCATGCACAGTATTTATTATACACAAAATGAGTGTTTATGAGTGCAATGGTAAGAATAATTTCTTGAGGTGCCAGATGGAATGTTCCATTCCAAAAGGCGAAACTGAGTGGAATGGAACGTTCCATCTGTCACCGCATAAAATGATTATTTTCCACTGCACGAATGCGAAACGTTAATTATTTGTTTCATTCAACGCCTGAATAAATCCCAGTCATCTGATTGGCAATAGTGTGAACATGCAATGGAACTTACCATGGAATAGAACTTCTATTTTGTGGCCACATGCATTACACTGTACATGTATGTTTCTCTTTTCACATCAAGATCCCTGGTCATAGAATCATGACAACAATGCATGTTCCTTTTGAGATTTTATCAAAAGTCACAAATTTTATAGAATTTTTTGGCTACTTACATTGAGGAGCTTGTGTTCTCTACTATCTGCAAAAGCTGGGAACATTTCGTCATATTTTGCGACCGCATGCTGTGCATTCAGGGCATCTACACACATGTGGCATAGGGCAGCCTGCACACAGGGAAAGATATCGACAGTGTCAAGATAATGCTGATGAACATATCCAAAAATTAAAAAGGAAAAACAAAATGGATGAAAGGTCTTGTTTTATTTCTAAGAACAAAGGCCTTGATCAACTCCCAAGTTTCAAACACAAAAAAACACCAAAGTTACTCCCTCCCTCTACCTAAGATATTTTGTCAGGAGATTTCACTAAAACCAGTACGTAATATTAAAGACGATTTTTGTTTTTGCATACTAAAAATTTGTCTTGTAAACGTGAATACACAATCACCATACATATTGCATGTGATGTTCGTTTTGAAATTTCGCCAAAAAGAAACAACATTTACATCATTAGATTTACCAAGATTGTACCTGCGTCAACGTTCACTCTTTAATAACTTGTGTTGTACTTTTTAACCAAACCACAACAGGCATTTCACAATCACATCCAAATATTATCTCTAGTTCCTCGAAAACCAGAAAAACCCAACCCCTAAAAGCACAATAGGTCGCCGGGACGCCATTTTTCCTGACGGAATTTGGGCAAGTATTTGTAACTGGGCCACCGTATCACGATATCCTAGGAACGTTCCGGTGTAACGCCCACTAGAATGCGTGTTCCCAACCAATCCGCTGGACCGTTCTTGCAAAGGAATTGTGCCATTTTGACGGAATGCTCCCTGTTCCCAACGGACACCAGAGCGTTCCAGTTTTGGAACACACCGTTCCAGTGAGAATGTTCCGAACATTCCGACTTTTGAGACGCTCCCTTACCTTGAAGAAGTACTCTTTGGCGCTGTATTTGAGCAATGGGTTGTCCATTGCCGTCTTGGCAACTTCCTCGTAGATTCCGGTGGCTTTGTTATACTCTTCTAACTGGGCTGCATACATGGCTACCTTTAATAAACACTTGTTGGCAGAGCTGCAAAAGAGGTGACATTGATATTTTTACCATTTGGTTCATGCAGACTCTGGAAATGTTATTTTTGATTATTTTACCGTTTATGTAAAGAAATTGACTGGAGCTGGTTTTGAGCCTACATGTATGTCCTACAGAACACCATACTGGCACTCTACCAGTTACCTAGCTCTAAAGGGCAACCTCACATTTAGTCTCCGTACATTTCACATTTTGTTTTTATAGGTAATATACAACATTTGCAAACATAAAAAAAACACTACCAAATTATTATGAAATACCTCACTTGACTGTAAGTGAATAATAGTCTGAAGCATTCTGTGGATTCCTGGTGTGCTGTCATTTTCAAGAAAAGTGGAGTTTTTGTATCAATTTCCAACAATGGTCAGCTGACCATCGTTTGGAAAAAAACTGCTTTTTTGTTCAAATACTGCCCCCAATTTACCAAACTTAGTTAGTCCGCATTTTGTTTGCAATCAGTTAGTCTGGTTCCCTGACCTGATAATTCCCTGACCAGCCTCGACTCCAGGGGCGTGTGCTCATTCCTTACAATAACCCCTGGCTGTGATGATGACATAAATGACGCTGATTGGCTATTCACAGCGTACTGCGCGTGCATTTCGAAGATTGCACGCCGGGCTCGCCCATAATGCGCTCGAGTGCTTTCCATGGAACGTCACGTATGAAAAAAAATTATGATTCAAAAGTCGCGATGCCTAGTACGATATGGATTATGTCAGCCGCGTTTTTTTGATAAAAAAAAAACTGTATCTGTGGTTGTAAAGGCACGAAAGGGGTACGTACACTTAATACAAATCTTTGCTAAATAACGCAACGTCTAAACGTTGTGTTTGAAAGGATTGATTCTTCAAAATGACAACTTTTAACATTTTAAAGATGGCGTCGGCGCGTAAACGGATAAACTGCAGCCCTAATTATAATGTGCCATATTTTGGCACATTTAAATTACACAAGTCCAGGGGTTACGATCGCGCAAGGCATGATGGGAAACAACATGGCGCTGCAAGATCGTACCCACGGGGCACGAGGTTGTTCCCTGACGTCTATAAATTGCTCTGTTTGTCTGGGTCAGGGAAGTAGGGTCTGGGAACCAGACTACAAGAACAGCAGTTTTTCCTTGGTTTTCCAGCATCTATAAACACAAAACTTTCCCTACTGAAAATTACAGCAAAAACAAACATTGTATATTGCCTTTAAGCAGCTTATTACCATGTCCATGTGGTAGTATATCTTTTACAGCAAAACGTTTACATTTCCCTGTCTTTACCCAATTGACGTAGATTTCATCCCCCCCCCCCCCAATCAGTATTCTCCAAACTTGCTTTCATTTCTCTTGAGGATATGCCTCAATTGCAGCAAAATGTCTTGCTCATGGACACAATAGATTTCACCCTCTGCTCACCTGTTGGACTCCTCCCCTTTGTAGTAGTCTGCTGCCCTCTCGTAGTTCTCCACAGCTTTCTCGAGGTCGATCATCTCGTTCTCGTAGATTTCTGCGATGGAGATGTGGTGTTTGGCCGCGATGGTAAACCGCCCCATGTCAATGTAGATCTCAATGGCTCTCTTCAGAACCTTCACAGCTTCTACAAGTTGGATGTAGTTAATTAAAGAATGAATACATGGGCAATTCATCTGGATGTCAAAGATGACATCCAGAAAAAAATGTGTTATCACTGTTATGTATGATAAACAAGACGCACAAAATTGGTTACTCACGTTACATTTTCGTAACGTGAGTAACCGATTTTGTGTGTCTTATTTATCATACATAACACATTTTTCTGGTGCTTAGGTAGGTCTAGGTCTACTCTATCTATCAGGGGAATAACAGTTGTTAAACCTTTTCAATAAGGTAATTACTGCCCAAGGAAACTCAAAAGTACATCAAAAATGTAAAGTGAGTAACCGTGGAATTGCCCACATGCAGGTTCAAGATGTTGAAGGTATGTAAGATGGATTTTTTTTCAAATCTTGTTTTTTTTTCTCTAGCTTCAGCTTCATCTTCATGCTTCTGAATCATTTAGATCCCTCCAAACAAATTTAATGGAGATCATGGTTCATTCTATAAATTTGGGGTCCACTTTTTTTCCTGTCCCTGTTACATCTGAAATCAATGACTACACTCCTTAGCCATAACCTTCCTCAATCCTCCAAAGTCCTCTGGGCGGATTTTGGAGGATTGAGGATGAATGCAACATACAATTGTGGAGGATTGTGGAGGATTGAGGGCACATGGACATTCAGTACCAATTGATTTTGGAGGATTGAGGATGAATGGTGTTTGAAAAAGAGGAGGATTTTGGAAGATCGAGGTTGAATGTATTTTGAGAGGCAGGGCTGTTATGGGATATTGAAGGATTGAGGCAGTGGGTATCCTTCATTTGAACATGTATCTGAGTGCGAAATTTTGGAAAATTTCGGAGGATTGAGAGTGGTTCCTAGCAAAAATGGCCTACGGGGTTAGGGAAAGCCCTAACAGTCCTGAATCCTCCAATTTTAATACAATTTTGCATACCCCCTAGGGAGTTAGGGTTAATGCAGTTTTCTTCCAAGAATGATTATGAATAGCAAACTACAGGTATCGGTACCTACAGGCTTCATAAATAGAAAATTGTTTTTAAGTCATTCTTAACGATAACTGAATGGCAAATTACAAAGTACCAAGGTAACAGGGACAGGAAAAATGTCACATTTTGGACCATAAATTTACAGAATGACCCAGCTTTTCTGTACTTTAATAGTCACATGGTACAGGAATTGATGTTGCTCTCCTCGGGCTAATTTTCAAACAATACAAGAGTTATTCACTTTTTAATGAGTCATCCAACAAAAAAATCCGCCCATGTTTAGTTATGGAATGTTTACTTTACAAACTTTTAATTATTTGCAGCTCGACTATAATTCAGCCTTTCAATTTGTGTGTCATGGGCGCAAAAGCTTCTGAAAATAAAAACCGTATTTTCGGAACGTTGTCCAAACTAGACAAAAAAGTAGCCCTTTCAGTTTAAATAAAACATGAACATTTACTGGGAGGAAACACACAAATATGTTGAAGAGCACAGGTAGATAGGGCAACTTGAAGCTGAATATAGACCTATACTGAGCCCGAGTCCCCCAGATTCAGACCTAAAATCTCTCCAAGCTGAGGCCAAAGCAAGAGATGTCTCACTCTTACAAACTGAGCTCTCAGCGTGCAACCTGTAAATATAACCTGGTGCCCCGCCATGCTTTCTGAGGCCCCCGCCAAGCTTTCTGAGGCCCCCGCCAAGCTTTCTGAGGCCCCCGCCAAGCTTTCTGAGGCACCCGCCAAGCTTCAAAAGCTGACGCCAACCTTAAAAAGTTGCCCGCCATGCTTAAAAAAAAGAAAAACAAGTGGGACAACCCTTACCCTCCAGGGTACATTTTGGCCAGAAACTCTGCCAAAAGCAGTAACATGGAACATTTGTCAAACTGACAAGCCTGCCCATTGTATCAAGTCAAAAGTCTCAAAGACAAACTGCCTCAGTGTCCCTGGTCACTGATGTGTTAAAAAAGATGATACTGAGCCAGTATTGTACTTAACTGTTAGTGTTACTGTGTTAGAAATGGCCTAAAAGCTGTTATCCGTACATAATGTACAAGTTCATCTGCAAATAGCGCCCCCTAGCATAAAGAAATGTATGACTGCAAATAGCGCACCTAACATAATTAAAGCACCCCCCCCCCCCTCCGCTTTTTGACTGCGCACCGACCTTTAATTTTCAAAGTTGGAGAACACTGAACATGTGCACTGTAGTTCTCTTGGACACCGCAACGTTCCACTGTTTTGTGAAAAATTCAGACTTAATCCTACATGAATAATGCTGCCATCATTGCCATAGTTTGTTATTGTACAGGTACCGGTAGTATTCTCTGGTGTGACTCTCACTTCGCCGATCCATACACAGCACCTACCTTGTGGGTTGCTCTTTTTGAAGCAGTTACCCGCGTCTACGTAGCTAGTGGCAGCTTCGTGTCTGCTCTCTAAACGCAGTCGGATCTCAGCACACTTACAGAATGCATTACCTGCCTCTGCACAAAGATACAGACATTGTACAGGTGTTAAAAACTGTCAGCATCAAAGGACAAGCACACTTAAAGGGCTTATGCAATTTAATTCTTTAAATGTAATCCTTGGACATGCAGCTACACCAACCTAATTTACATTTTGCTATTTTCTAGGGCATTTTGGTGCCTTTTTGGTTTTTATGCTTCACCATATTCAGCAAAAGTGTGATGTCATTTCAGGCAGAAACCTCAATGTTACAGTTAATTTGGCACCACAAGTTGCCAGAATTTAGGATGTTTTACAGGGGTCTGCTCATAAGTCCGACGCCTCATAGGTCCGACAGAATCGCATCCCCTAACCAAATAAAGGCCCATAGGTCCGACGCCTCAAAGGTCCGACGCTTCATAAGTCCGACGCCTCATACATGTAGGTCCGACGCCTCATAGCTCCGACGCTTCGTGAGTCCGACAAATTAAACGCCTCGTTTTTCCGTTGTCGGACTTATGAGGCGTCGGACTTATGAGGCGTCGGACCTATGAGGCGGAATAAATAAATTTTATGCCTCATAAGTCCGACGCCTCATAAGTCCGAAATTTCGGACTTATGAGGCGTCGGACCTATGAGGCGTCGGACTTATGATACGGCCCCGTTTTACAGTCGTGAATTTTCTTTTCTTTGGTGATTCTTGGTTATTGAAAGTTTCCTGACCAGTATCCTTTATTTTACCAATTGGAAGGTGGCAGACTGACAGACAGTACACGGCCCAAAACAAGAAGAAGCAATTATGATGATGGACGGCTGGCTTGGATTTTCAAAAAAAATTGTGTATGTAAAAAAAAAAATAAACCGGATGATCAATTGATTAAACCCTAACTGAAAAGGGAATGATTTTTCATTCGACAAAAATAATTGTATACGTGAAAAACATTCCTAGAAAAATTGCTTAAGCCCAAGTCACACATTCACGGTTGGAGCTACGAATATCCACGGTTTACCAAGAATCAATTGATCACGATGAACCGTCGAGATTCGTGGAGAAATTGACTTTCTAAGAATGCACTAAGGTTTCAAGAAGGATAGCCACGACTGTCCTAAGGTTTCTCTACGAATACACCACGGTTTGTCAAGAATATAGACGGATTGTTGAAGAATATCGACGGTATTACTAAGAATAATGATTTTAATGCCACGGTTGTCTGCGATTGGGCCACGGATGACCAAGGTTCTCCTACGGCATATTCGTAGTACAACCTTAGCAGAACCCTAGCATATCCTGGCATATCCGTAGGACATTCGTAGCCAATTCGTAGAGATTTTTACCACGAATGAGCTATGAATCTCCAAGAATATGCACGAATAGCCACAAATAACACTACGAATAAATACTGTTGTCTTATGGATGTCCCACGGTTGCACTACGGATTAATTTTCATGACGGTTCACCACGGAAGTTATGAACAGTTTAAAGCTCCGTAGCCCCTCCACGAATACCCAACAAAGATGACGGATAACCACGGATGTACTAAGGATGAATACGATACTGCCACGGTTTATCAAGAATTTCAAACCGTGGAGATCCGTAGCTCCAAACCGTGAATGTGTGACTTGGGCTTTCGGGTTTTCGGGCTACTTGGTCAACTCAACAGAACAGCTTACCATTCCATTTCTTTGCCATTTTGAACATATTGGCTGCCCTGCTGTACAACTCACATGCATCTTCTTGTTTCTGAGTTCCTCTGAAAGGAGAAAAAATAAGAATAGTCATTCACTACATCAAAACACAAATATGATGGGGGCTCAATTGCAAACAGTGGAGGGGGGGGGGGGGGAACCCTTCTTTGCAGTTTGTAACTTGTGAGGCACATTCATGTTTGCATTTAACGGTAGATTATATCATTTGAAGCTATCCAAAACGTAACTGACCAAATTATTGTTGAAAAGTATACTTGGTTTAAAGATAGTAATGGCACTAAACTCTGTGTGAAATTATTCTTTCTGGCATGCTGTCGTTTTGAAGAAAACAATAAAACAAGGTCATTTCAAAATAAGCGTCCAATGACGCATTTTTGGAAATTTCCATTAGTAGTTTGTTTTTAATTCGGCGAAGCTGTGAATGGGTGCGCGCAAGCGTATGACACGGCGTACATGTATGCGTGCGCAGTTCCTATAATTCGCTGGTTCAGTGCAGTGCCGTAGCTGCAATCGGCTGAATGAGAACGCGGCCCAGATGCTGATTTCGGGTGTAATTCGACAACTTTTGAATTGAAATCGAGATCCTAGAATAGTTTTCTTGGAATATCAGCATTCACTGGGCTAAACCTTCATCAGGATAGTTGTTAAGCACCCTTCTTTAGATTTTGAGCACTTTTGTTGCTTCAAAAAAAAAGAAGGATAATACATTGCAGGCACATCTAATCTGTGGATGATCATTATGGTTCAGCACAGCCATTATTACAATTGGGCCCATATTAGCATGAACAATGAAGTTCTGGAGCCAAAGTTCATTGGCGTTGCTCAAGACATAAAGCTCAACCATGTAGTAGATGGCGATGTACTTTGGGACCCCCTCTAATTCGCGGTAGAATCGGGTCAACCCAGCTTGCGAAATATTGTCCAATTACATGATATACAAATGGAGGTGGAACGCGCAAAATGTGAGACAAACAAAACTTAACGCAGGGTTCGACTTTAGCGGTAGCCCGCAAGCCAAATGCTAGTCAAAACAGCAGGGGGCTTGTCAAACTATTCATTAATTAAAACTCCCTAGGCCTTTTTGCTAGGATGTAGCCTCAATCCTGCAAAATCCTCCAATTGGCCTCATGGAAAAATAGCATATAGCCTCAATCCTGCAAATTCCTCCACTATTTTCTTGAATATGGTCCATGTAGGGGTGACCACTGCCTGAATCCTGCAAAATCCTCCGGCTATGACTGTCAATAGGCTGAGGCAGTTGCAGTGACATCCTGGAGCAGTGCGGAGGATGTCAAGTATAATCAAGGACTAAATTTATGCACGGCTGAGCATACACAACACAAGGTCCGGCCCAAGACCTTGACACAGTGCGTACTCCGAAATCAGCAATGCACTTTTGCCATGTAACCTCAATCCTGCAAATTCCTCCAATTTGCAAAAAGGATTTTGGAGGATTCAGGGCGGTTAGGGTTAAGTAGCCTGGCTGGCGAGTCAAAAATTATCGGGATATGGCAAAGATGAAAGGACAGGAAGAAATAAATCATTAAACTCAGAAAGCAAACCTGTATCAATTTGTGTCTAATTTTATTAACTGTAAAGGGTTACATTATCTATTTATTAAAAACACTGACAAGATTGCCTCAGGATACATGCACATTGCTGTTTATGAGACACTCTATAAAAGAAAAACATGCGGACCAGTGAAAATGCCCGTGGGCAGTAGCCCGGTTGGCTAGTGAGAACAAAAGTTAAGGTCAAACCCTGCTTAGCGTACAGAGTTGCATAGGGTTGTCTATTTAAGGGGCGTGGCTAACTCGCAAACAGTGACGGGTCAATTAGTTAGTTCTTGCTAGTTCTTGAACAGTTTTTATCATTTCAAAACAACTTCTGTGACCTCGGGGTCACATTATATTTTAATTACCGGAATGGGCTACTGAACGGGTATCTACATGTATCATGCGAGATCTCGCGCGACGTCCAGATCTAAGGGTTTACATAGCCTCACGAAATTGAGAACCGGTACCGCACTGGATCTGAAGCCACTGCCTTACATTTATTTGAAATTTTCAACAGTAATTTCACACAAATGCACCTTTCTTACCCATTCTTCCATTTGATGGTGTATGAAACATGTATGTGAAACATGTATGTGAAACATTGCAGTTTTGTGCATTCCCCAATACCAAAACCCCACCCTCTTTTTAGGAAATTCCCACTGATTTTCGACATCTTTTACCACATTAGAAAATGTGTGAGGGTGCTGATCATTTGGTGACCCTTTTCTGAATAGGAAATTGTGAATCAAATTTTGATTTTTGCACATTCATACTACTGTCATGACTGTTCTATTTAATCAGAATTTTTGAAATCATGATTCATGATTGCCGTCTGCATTTAAATTTATAGTCCATCATTTGTAATTTGTGCATTTTGTTCGTTTGAAGCAACAGAAGTGCTCAAAATCTAAAGAAGGGTACTGAACAACTAACCTTCAGCTCAGCTTCAGCTGTATATTCTGACAAAAACAGCATTCTAGGATCTCAATTTCTAATCAAAAGTTGCTGAATCATGTTTTGAATTGCACCTGAATTCAGCGTCCGAGACACGTTCTCGCTGAGCCGAATGCAGCTACGCGATGTCGCGCACTGATCTGACGAATTATAGCAACCGGGGGTGCGTGTGCGTCGTGCCAATGCTTGCGCGCACTTCGCCGAATAACAAAACGAACTACTACTAATTTAAATTTTCCTACGGTGCGTCTTAAGAAGCACCGTTGGAAAGGCCTTCTTTCATTGATTACTTCAAAATGACCACGATGACAGCTTGCCAGAAAGAATAATTTCACAGGGAGTTTAGTCCCCTTACTATCTTTCAACCATGTATGTTTTTTCAACAATAATTACGCCAGCTACTTTTCGGATAGCTGCAAATGATGGACTATGTCTATAGCTTTAAATAAGCATGAATAAAGCCAAAGATTCTGAGAAAATTGACGTGTGGTACTGGCTCATCCATCGTATTTGTAACAAATGTACTGCATGAACTGTCAAAATGTAGTGGGTGGAAGAGCTAGCCTACTGCATAGCTGGCTGCAGTGCTACTGGTCATGCTGGTGCCAGTGCTACCGTGCTAGCTTTCTGTGCACTGCACTTGGTAGGCGTTCATTGAAACTACATAGGCCTAGGCCTTCATTGCATACGTACCCGAACATACTTCCGAAAAATCCCGTTGCTGATTTTAATTTTCTGTCCGCTTCATCCATCAAAGCTTTCCCCTTTCCTTCATTTTCCGCCATAATGGAGCCCAAGTAAACAAGGGGGATCCTAAGAAAATGCAGAAATATCAAAGAATTGCTTTAAAACCAGTGAAATTATCACGAATTATTATGTCCGCACACACAGAAATCGGCTGATGATGAGCTTCCACGTCCGACCTTTGACAGATGACGTCATCGATAGAATCAGAAAATAATGCATGACGGGAATGTAAACAGACGCACGTGACGATTGATGTTGCAAGTTGCGCTTGTTCTCGTGCGAACGCGAATTTTCATTGGTCATAAACTTGTGAATTAGCGCGGCGCGCACTTTGTCGATGTCTTGGCGCGGCACGCGACGTGTTTAAAAATAGCAGCTCAACATTATCTTCTTTCTTCGGAAAACAAAACGAGCGTTCGGCTCACTTAAAATAACTGCCCGTCAGTGCTATAATATTCTCTCACCGCGGTCTTTGAATTGACCAAAGATGGAGGCAGATGGACCAAGCGTCCCAAAAGCAGACAGGTTCGGTGAGATGGATGATATTTTGGGGCAGTCAAAGGGCCCCAACAGCTTGTCGTTTGTCAGGCATCATCTGAAACGTCAGCGCGAGCAGCAGCAACAGGCGAGGATGGCGCAACTCCCACTGCCCACAGAGAGCCTCAGGAAGACGGCTGCTGCCGCTGCAGCCGCTTCCTCAGCTTTAGGGTCCGTTTCGGAGAAACCAGACAAGGGATCAAAGGTGAGTCCGATCCTATTAATTTTATGTATGGTAGGCCTATACCGGTAGAAAATTAAAATTTTGGAACGAGTTTGGTGCAACTGTTTTTTAATGTTTTTTAATGATTTGAAACTAAATTATAGGCTAAGTAAAAAAGTACTAAATCGATTGCTCATGGTCCAAAACGTAATTGGGGTTACGGGTCATTGAAGTTGAAAAAAAATTGTGGACAAACGTGTGGGAATGTCCCCGGCTCCTAAGGTACCATTCCCCTTAATAACAATACGTAGTCCGTACGTTTTTTAAGGGACTCTTTTAATATCCAGGATGCCAGCACAGACTCCTTTCAGAGTGCTCACACCTTCGAGGCAGCGAACATCAACGACAAGGAAGCGTTGGATCTGCTGGCCCTGGAACAGCGCCGGCAGAAGGTACTAAGGTCGGCCGGAGCTTTTCGCCGTCACATGTACAACCTGACCGAGTCCATTGCCTTCAATGGTTTCATCCTATCAGTTATCCTGCTCAACACGGGCATAATGTGCGCTCTTACCTACGACATAGTGGCAGTCCGAGTAGGTATGGGGTTCTCTTTTTCTGGGAGGGGCGGGGCGGGAGGGGGCCCGGGAAAGAAATTTCGCAGCCTGTGAGACTCTACGAATATCGAACAGTGTCCAGCAACAAATATAATAATAATAATCGGCATTTAAGAATGCTCTTATTAGTAAACTAAATCACAGCGCTTAAAGTAATATTATTACCCCGATCATCGGGCCAATTAAACATTCCAAATACCATCTCAGCTCCCTGGGGAGTATACAGCTAGATGCTGCCTGTTAGGCGCAAGCAAGCTTATTCAATCACAATAACCATCTCTGCCCTCACACCAGGTACACATTTACTCCTGGGTGGAGAGAAGCAATGAGTGACAAAGTGCCTTGCTCAAGGGCACACGCACCATGACCCCGGCTGGACTCGAACCCACAACCCGCAGCTTTACCCACAGACCACGAATCCAGTGCCCAAATAACCACGAGGCCACAGCACTCCACATATATGTTAAATTCTGAAGCTACCCCTGCACGGTATTGTACTTGTAGGCCTACTCACCGTTTTTCGGCTTGACCTAGGTATAGAATTCGGAAAGATGTTGGAAGACGAGCCAATTAAGATGACCACCCATTGCAGCAAGAGAAACGAAATAATTTTGATGCTTCTGTCAAATTTGATGTCTTTGTTCATCCTGCAGTGAGGGTTTATTCTACAAATGATGCCAAAGAGGAGGGACACTTACATGCTATCTGTCTGTCTCGCAAGGTCAACGAGAGAAGGGATACGAAATCACCGTTCATTTTCCATGTTTCAATCAACAGGTTGGCACGCTGCAGTCTTGGATCACGTGTTTCTGGTCATTTATTTCATGGAATGCGTCCTAAAACTCTTTGTTTGGCGACTTGACTACTTCAAGGAACAATGGAATATAATTGGTTAGTTTTATGCAGTATTTTGTTACCATATCATCACAAAATCCTAGCTTTAAATGTTGACTTGAGTAACTTTTTTGGCGGGACGCTAAAAGTTAAATTTGTCATGAAAGCTTAAAGCCAGCTGTTTAATATGCCCGTAGTTTGAATAGGACTGAACATGAAATTCAGTCGCCTTTCAGTATGGTCACCATCGTTCACCAGTAACCAGAATAAAATGTTAGTTTCACATTTTTATAGGCGCAATTAAATAAAAAAAGTTTTGTGCTAGACTTTTGCGGTATTTGTTAATTTATTTTTTTTCGAAAAAAAAACCCTCGCACCCAAATTTTATCCAACGAGTCAAAAGCAGCCTAATGGATTTACCTGCAGGGCAATTGCTGTTTGGCCTACATATTCTTTAGTCTATGGAATAGCCGCTTGCATACAGGCGTCTATGATCGATATTCGCGCTGATTCGGCGGTTAATAATGCAAAACAAGACTGCGTTTTGACCTCGAGATTTTGACCATTCGGGCGCCTTCTATCGGGTCTTCCGTAACCCTTTTTTTTTTTTTTTTACAAAAACATGGCAGCCAAATTGACCAATCAAGAGCTTAGTCCAGCTTATTCCACGTGAACGTCAGATCCTCAGACTACATATTCTTATGATTAAGATTACATTGTACAGATTTACATTGTTTCCAGATTTTACCATCGTAATTGTCAATATTGCGGACTTCAGTGTGTCCACACTGGTGGGCAATGACGTCAATATTCTCAACTTTATTGGCATCTTCAGGGCGATGAGGGCGCTCCGAGCTCTGCGAGTACTCCGGACGGTCAGGTAAAATGATGGCACTTTAATGGAAATTGTTTCGCATGAAAAAATAAACAACTGTTTCGCTTTTGTGGGAAAAAATAGAAATTATAATGCAATCCCGTAAAAAAGTTCTGTTAAAAAAAATCACTTTACGTATGTTTCTTCGGGGCCACCGTAGCCAAAAAAAGAAGAAGCTTCACCGGAAAAAAGGGGGGGGGGGGGGGGACCGGACATGGGTGAATTTTAAAATCGGTGAGGTTTTCCTGACATGATCTAATTTTATCCTAAGCATAGATCTCAAAATTCTCAGGAAATCATCAGCTTTTCGACAAAAGTATAATCGAAATCCGAGTGCTCGAAAATAATACTAATAACAAACACCCTCCACTACACTTGTAACAAAATAATTCTCATCTTCTAACATACATGATGTAAGCAACAGGCATTACAAGTTCGAAAGATCAAAAAGCGACTGTTCTTATAATAATAATAATAATTGTGCTTATATAGCGCTTTCCATCGTGTCAACGATCTCAAAGCGCTTTACAATTATTACCCCGTTCATCAGGCCATGGGACCATGCGGCAGCCGATATCAGCGCTCAATCGGTCCTCGACCCTCACAGGTACCCATTTATACTCCTGGGTGGAGAGGGGCAATTGTAGTTAAGTGTCTTGCCCAAGGGCACAAACGCCATGTTCCTGGCCGGGTTCGAACCCACGCACCTTTGTACATGAGTCAAACACCGTAACCACTGGACCATGGCGTTCTTCAAGCGACCTCCGGGCATTTTTTTCCTACCCATCTCGAAACGTTTCTGGCTTTGTGGGCCTAAATTACAAGATCTGAACATTTCGTTGAAGCCGATATAGATGCTATAATGATTCGAGAACGTGTTTTTTCCCTTTTCAATATTCCTCATGAGAATTAGAAGGAATCTATTAAAAATCTTTTCTATTAATTTCGTAGCCTCGACGCAATGTAGAATGCCTTTGTAAACCCATTTCAATTTGTTTTGCACCCAAGATTTCTGAAGAGTCTTCAGGTCATTATGAATACATGTCTGCAGTCAGTACAATCCATGGGAGCCATTACTATGCTCATTTCTCTCTTCCTGTGTATCCTTTGAAAAACTTTTAGTCTGTTAGCCATGCAGCGTGATGAAATAAAAGAAAACATGAACACTTGATTAAGACTAAAATTAAGAGTCTATAAATTCGTAACACTGATAATATTTAATCTGCGTAATTTGAATTCATATGCCAAAGATCAATGTGATCTGTGCCGTGAATTTTTTTTTTAGCCGTTATATTTTTTTGGCCTACCGCGAATAAATATTAATACGCAAAGAAAAATAAAGAAAATTTTTCTCATTCGTTTTTCGCCTTTCTAAATATATACTTTGAAATTCGTTATGTGGTTGGAAGTTAAAAAAGCTGGATACAAGTGCATTACCAAAAAATGAGGTCCCACCGAGATTTGAACTCGGATCGCGAGATTCAGAGTCTCGAGTGCTAACCGTTACACCATGGGACCGTGACTGACTCAGCGGGCACAATAAACCCTATATAAACAATAGATATACACTGTGTGTACCCTCAACATGCGAAACTATTGAGGGCGCTACACACAGTAACGTTCATTACACGACGAATGCCGGTCACGAACGCGCGGCTGATTTCCACAAAACTAGTGCATGTACATGTATGTAGTGCTAACTTTCCAGTTAAAAAAATTGTGTAGGCCCTACTTGAATAAAAGGGCTAGCCTCCTAAATAGGGTTGGTGACCAATGAGTGCCTTTATGATATACATGTACATGTACTTCGACTCCCCCATAATTATATCCCATAGCACTATCGCAGTCGCAGCTTGCTCTCATCATAACAATTACTAGCATAGAATGATTGCAGTAGTATCGCGGTAAATTCAAGATTTACATTAGGCCTACTAGGACGGTCTCGATGCTTTTGGTCATTTAGAGTTTACGCCCAAACCAGGGTTTTCAGTGTAAAACCCCACTCAGGGATATGTAGAACTTGAATTTTGCTTCCTGTGAAATTAAAGATAAACCTTCATTCGGGCAAGGTGTTACATTTTACGAGAAAAAATCTGAAATCACTGAGCGCCACTTTGTAATTATGGGCCACAGACACTTGGTCGCAATGTGGTCGCACAATATTATGTTTGTGCCTTTTCACAAATATGCCAGTGTGCACCAATTATTACTTTGAAAAGCGATAAGTCGCACTACTTTGTCGCGTAATTAAGCAAATCTAAATAAATTGATGTGCGTTTATTTGTAACTTGCGACATATCGCGCGACAAAATCGCGTATATAGTTAGGGGACACGCCCCCCCCCCTTTATTGGTGGCCTGCGGGCGTGGCGCCCTTTCGACTGTATAGCCTTGATGCTGGAACAACGGTATTACCTAAACTTTCACACTATTTCATGCTTTAAACATTCTTGTTCATTAAGCTTGAGTTTACGTATACTATAGCTGTTACTAGTTAAGTATCTACTTTGGCGGCAGCGCAATTGTCCGATTTTATTAATTGAAGTGCGCACGGTGAACCGAGTTCTAGGGGAGGAAGGAACACATGCTTTTACTGGGTCCAAAAAGCGCCAGATAAACCGTAGTTGGTAGTGAGTGGAAACGATTATAGTAATGATATTAATATGTTCAGGTCACTGGGCCTGGGAACTTCCGATATTTGTTTCAGTGCGCCATGTTGGGGAGCACTCGGCCGATTTTGTGCCCCGGCCAATGTTTCAAGACACTAAAATTGTTCACAACTTGGTTCAACAGCAAGAATTATTCAAAAAAAATGAATTTTTAGGCCTAACAAACCATCCTCCATGATTTTAAACCATCCTCCATGATTTTAACTGAATGAATTTGAAGCATGCAACAAAGAGGTTTGGCAACACTGTGACTGTTTGAGAACAAAATTCGCCGGCGAAATTAACAGGCGCGCGCCACATACAGTGGACACGTTCCGGATGACAATAAGTCCAAATATCTCACAAGCAACAAGCATTCGTGGGCTTGACACAATTATTTCTGAAGAGCGCGGCTCACAAGACTGTGGACTCGGCCATAACGAAGTTTGTATCGGGAACGGCTGGCACGCGTTGTACGTCTTGCACCGGGGGTGGGTGTTTTTTTTTACAATAAAAAGTGCCACCGTTATTGTGCTGGGTTTAATATCACAACGATAGACCTATACATTAATTCAAACACAAGTTAAAAGAGCTTTTTAAGTTTTAGAACAGACGATACCAAGTATGAAAAAAATGACTGTTTATTAACTTGGACTATTAAAAAAAATGACTATAATTTTTGTCGAATTTGTGGTTGGTCGTTCGACCCCTAGTTCTATGATATGTGAGCAGATTCGCTGATTTTAATTAAAATTAGCAAGACAACAGCCTCTTGACCTCTAGATTTTGACCAATCAGCGGGCGCTTTCTATTTCGGGTCTTCGGTCATTCACCCGTTGCGCGTCATAGACAATGGATAAAAAACCCTGTCACGCGCTCTGTATCATGTTACGCGATATGCGCTCGGCTGTTGTATTACAAAACACTGCATTAGAATTGCCCAATCAAACCATTTAGTCCTGATTTGGGAATGAAATGACGTCAAGATTTAGTAAAGTCGACCCCGATTGGCTGGCGCGCGGCTTGCATATATCTGCATGTCTAGACATATCAGACGTTATACAGGACTTGGCTCCGTGGATAACGGGTGATACTCGGACTATTCGATAATTCGAAGACCTGAAGTCCACTTTATATGCGGTGGGCTTGTTTTTGAAATGCACATTTATTGGTAATTTCTGTCTTTTTTTTTCAAGTTTCATTTCAAAACATAATAGGCCCATTGAAAATGCCATTGAATGGCGTTCTCGATCGGAGATCATGAGCCTCTTAAGACCATCAACGGTACCACACTAAAGCTAGTGACGGATTTTAAATACTTGGGATCAAAGATGGAAAGCTCTGAGAAGGACATCAAAGTAAGAAAGGCTCTGGCGTGGAGAGCACTAAACGACATGGGAAAGATATGGGCATCTTCAATGCCCAAGCCCTTAAAGCTCAAATTCTTTCAAGCAACGGTGGAGACAATCCTCCTATATGGCTGTGAGGCATGGACTCTGACAAAAACCATGGTTAAGAAACTGGATGGCACATACACCCGCATGTTGAGGACGGTTCAGAACATTAGCTGGCAGGACCACGTCACCAATGTCCGGCTCTATGGAAAACTCCCTGCGCTCACGGAGAAGATCAAGGCGCGTAGGTTGCAGCTTGCTGGTCACTGCCACAGACACCCTGAGCTGCCTGCTAGTAAGCTCGTGGCTTGGGAACCAACGCATGGCAGACGAGAGCCTGGACGCCCAAGGACAACTATGTTAATGACGTTGATGCAGGATGCAGGAGTCGAGACGAAGGAGGAGTTGGCCAGTTGCATGGAGTCAAGGGAGGTGTGGCGCGTCAGGCATCGTTCCCGCCTCAAGACGGCCTCACGGCAACGTCTCGAGCCGACTTGATAGATAGATAGATAGAAAATGCCAACCGGGGGTGTCATTGTCCTTTTGGTTTGTCTTTACATTTTCTGACCGTGCTGAAGTTAGGTAGGCCTACATGCATAGTTCTTATAACATCTAAAAAAATCAAGGGCGGGGGAAAAATCAGGAAATTCTTGTCAACAATTTTCTTGGCGGGTAAATATTGTTGAATTTGAGTTTTTGAAGTCACAGGTAGTGCAATTTTTGGTGGAAAAATTCCTTAACCTAGCCGGTTGATATCAGACATGTTTGCAGTGATTGGCCGAGGTCTGTATGCAGACGTGGACCCCAAACGCTTCGGTAACCTGGGCTCTGCTATGTTCACACTGTTCCAGTTACTCACTTTGGACGACTGGTTTTACATCTACTCGGATGCGATGGCCAAAGATCCAGGTAGGTTTTTGGTTGACCGACGAAGCAGCTGCGTCTCCAGTATTTTCCAGAGGGGTACCGGGAGGGGTGGGGCGGGGAGGGGGGGGGGGGTAAGGTGTTGGCTGGGTTGTTGATATAAGTCTCGATTTTTCTTGGGCGTTGCATGCAGTCATAGCATAAAAAAGAACGAAGGCCTGAAGCAATGAATCGAGATTTTCAAATCATGTATTGAGGAGTGGTGCATGACCATGACCTTAAAGATATAGTCCATCATTTGTAATTTGTGCATTTTGTTCGTTTGAAGCAACAAAAGTGTTGAAAATCTAATGAAGGATACTGAACAACTAACATGATGAAGTTTCAGCTCAGCTTCAGCTGTATATTCCGAGAAAAACAGCATTCTAGGATCTCAATTTCAAATCAAAAGTTGCTGAATCATGTTTTGAATTGTTTTGAATTGCAGCTATACGCGATGTGGCGCACTGATCCGACGAATTATAGCAACCGCGCGCGCCTGTGCGTCGTGCCAATGCTTGCGCGCACTGCGCCGAATAACAAAACGAACTACTAATTTAAATTTTCCTACGGTGCGTCTTAAGACGCACCGTTGGAAAGGCCTTCTTTCGTTGATTACTTCAATATGATAGCTTGCCAGAAAGATTAATTTCACAGGGAGTTTAGTCCACTTACTATCTTTCAACCAAGTACGTTTTTCAACAATACTACGCCAGTTACTTGTTTTCGGATGGCTGCAAAATAATGATGGACTATAGCTTTAAGGATTTTTCCCAGCAGCCTTTGGTTGATGATGATGTATATCGGTCAGTTGGGGGTGGGGTGGGGTGGGTGGGGTGGCAAGTCACCCCAACTAGTCCCCAACTGGGGCCGCCCTTGTAAGACGTGGCCGACCTAATGGCAAAAGAAAAACATATACATGTATATGTGAACGACATCTCCATGGGTTTGGCTTCAGTTTTAATATTGGCATTCTATTGTTGTAAGGCCTACAGCCTAATGCTATTGTAGGCCTAGCATTATTTTTTACACTGGTGATTAAAAAAATGTTATTAATAAATGTCTGTCCGTATCCACAGAATTCTTTGTGCAGTATTTTACACTGTGACGATTTCGACAATGTAGGCTATGTCTGTATCCACATAATTCTTACGAAGCATGGGCACTATCGAATTTGTATGGCGAATTTTGGGATGCGAAAAGCACTAACATTACAAAACACGTCAATGTGTTCAACATGAAATAGGCTCTCTAAATGTCATTGAGCCAATTTCAATTACAAAATCTATATTTTTGTTGGATTCACCTTTTGCAATCACACATGGGTCACAAAATTTACGCCCTGTTGCCGCTACAGGCTGATTATGGAATGATCTGCTATTATTGACTATTTTGTCTTATCTTTTGGCAGGTTACTTTCATATCATCTTCTATCTGTTACTCTACATTGCCTTCGAGTATTTCATCTTTCTGAAGTACGTATGTCTAATTTGCAAATTAACCCACGCCAATACAGACGTGGGCCGTTTTGCACACAAAATGTGTCTTTTTGTGGGTACATACCTAGGCCCTATATGTTCTCCAATACCTATATGTTCCCCAATGTTCCCCAATTCCCCATAACCCTATTGGGGAACACACTGTTATTTCGGTTGTGTACCATTATGAACCTAGCAACCAGTTGTGTAAAAAAAAAATGCACTAGTTGCGTAATATTTTACACAAGTTTTGTAAACAACAGTTTACACAACAGGTTGCTAGGTTCATATAGGCCTAGTACACAACCGTTTGATTTTTACACAACCGAAATAACAGTGCACAGGTATTGGGGAACATAGATATTGGGGAACATAGGTATCGGGGAACATGGGTATTGGGGAACATTGGGGAACATCGGGTGGGCCCCTTTTATTTTGTTGATACAGGGTGAGTGCACGCTGTTATTTCGGTTGTGTACTATATGAACCTAGCAACCAGTTGTGTAAAATATTGAACAAGTTTTGTAATATTTTACACAAGTTGTGTAATATATTACACAAGTTGTGTAATATTTTACACAGGTTCATATAGTACACAGCGGTTTGATTTTTACACAACCGAAATAACAGTGCATGCATGGGCTGGGAATTCTTACGGGTTGTAAACAGTCACTTGATTGATTTTGACTGCAAGGACAACTTGGCACACATAATGTATGTTTGCATAGGATCGCAATCTCAACCGTATACTCGAAAATATAGCGATTGTATTTTAAAATATAGGCCTGTGCTTGATTTGTTGAAGTTCCACACATTTGCAATCACTTGCCGTGAAAGATGTGGCCAAACTTATTTTATTATAGAATTGCAGGATTAACTATTATGTCAACATATGCTAACAAGTATACCCCCCGCCAACTGCCTCCCCCCCCCCCAAAAAAAACCCCACACCAAACAATCAGGAAACAGGGCAAAGCTATTCTTGTAAAGAAACATACATGTTGCTGAACCCAGTTATTTCGAAATTTTGCCTCGGTATAGGTGCTCCTCCCAGGAACAAACAATTATTTGGCCTAGATTCTTCGAATTAGGTTTAAAAAAAGATTCGGACTTATCCACGAGATGAGTGGGTATAAGCTAATCCACATCGTCTGTCACTTAGGCCTAAGTGTACTTGGGAAGTCGGGGATGCATGAGACCTTCAAAAGTGATTCAGGCATTTTTTTTTTTAATTTTTTTTTGGTAGCTTGTTTGTGGCGGTGCTTGTGGATAATTTTCAACTGACACTAGAGGCGGCGGCAGCCAAAGAAGCCATACGTAAAGAAGCAATCGTGAGTTTGCTACAAAAACACCGAATAATGGACCATGTAACGATCTTCAAGATTATGGAAGCGAAAAAATTGCAAAACCCCAGAGTATAACTGCTTAACCCGACTATACTGTACTGCAATTTATGTGATTTTTCTTGGGGCAAGAAATGCATTTTAACAATGAGCAGCAGTGTCAGATGTCAACCCTAGGTTGTTTTACTTTACGAGCACATAACGTGTTTGTCCCAATAATAACCAATCCCAGACAGCCCAGCATCATTGATCCACCCGAACCCAAATTAACCTGGTCAATATCAAACCCAACCCAGCACAGTCCAAATCAATCCAAATTGATCCATGCAGCCCAAACAAGTCCAACTCGGTGCTCGGTCTGACTCTATCATAACCCAAACCAAATTAACCAAGCCCGGAATCTAACCTATAAATTAACCCAGCCCAAACAAATCCGCTCGATCGATCCTACCTAAACCACCCCAAATTAGTCCAGCTAAAGCCCAACCTATCCATGTTACTAAACTGACTGGATAATTCGCAGAAAGCGGAAGAGGAGGAGGTAGACGAAGATGTCAACGATCTACTTCAGACGAGTCGCGGTAAACCAAATTTCTTGATTGAAGCATCTTGTTATTATTACTCTCTAGCAGTCTCAAAAAAAAGTTCAGTATGGCCTACTTGCATGATCCTTAATTGCTATTAGAGATTGACTCACAGAATACAGACCCAAATTTAGTATTGTAATGAAGCCCGACGGCATAATCACCACTACTTGCATCTCTCCACCCTGAATGAAGTATAGCTACCGGTGTATGAAGAGATTATTAAAAAAAAAAACCTATATATAGTGGACTGTAGGCAAAGGGAACATCGGCTCCTAAATCGTTAAAACCTAGGGATGTATAGGTGACGGAGTAAATTTTGTTATTTCAAGTGTTAACAAGTCATTGGACCTTTCTTACTTCTCTTGAAATAGTATCTTCAATATCATCGGAAGGATTCTTCAAAAGCAAGAGGACAATCGAAGATTTTTATGCCGATGATGCTTACTCGGAAAGGTATACACTCTGTCCAAGGTCAAGAATATCATGGGCAGATTGAAGAGCAATAAAATGTTATCCTGGGATAAAAAAAAAGAAGAGAATATCATGCAAACATGAGGAATATCGCATTTTCCTGTTCGGGCTTAATAATATAATGTTCAGAAACTCTTATAGAAGTATCAGTAATATTCTTGTGTTTATGGTTAAACCACACACCTGTAAACAATCGTAATTATGCTTTGACAGAAAGATGCTCCATCAACTGGGTCCAGGGTAATTGCATTGAGCATTCCAAGGGTTATGCGACATTTAGTGAGCGTCGACAACACAGGGGCCATTTGAGGGGGCAATTTCGCTAGGTTCTGGCAAAAGCTTATTTTGTAGAGAAAAATAAACTAAACACCAGAATGACCGCCAAGTCTTGTCTTCAGTAAACATTCTGATGCGTCGAAATCAAGTAGAGCTTGCGTTAATATCGTAATGTGAATGCCGGTTTAAATCCAAGGGAAGTATCCCAATATACCATTGACTAATTTGAATACCTAAATTAGATTAAATAACACGAAGCAGAGAATGGTGAAGGGGAGGGGTTACCTTTTTGTACCAGTGACAATTAATAAAGAAAGGTAAGCGGAGGGTGTCATACAAAATTCCTAATACCTGTTTAATCTTGAGTTTGATATCTCTTTACTACTGCAGTGACAGACTGTATCTGGCACACTGTTTCCGCTTATTGGCAGCCATCGATTACAACGGAAACCTGTCCAGGAACCAAAAAGGAACGCTGGACAAAATAGTGGAAATTGTTCAAGAGGTATTTTCTACCCCGTTGCAATATACAGCCTGTCTCTCCCCCCCCCCAAAAAAAATGCTGCAAGCAGAAACGGGCTCTGCGTCCTTGGGATATTGAAAAATGTTTCATGATGTTTATATAATGTTAAACCTGGGATATTCAGCTTTCAAATGCTATTTGTTTTATCAATTTTGCTTTTGCCAAACCAGAGATATGGTCCGTTGAACACAAACACTCAAAAATCAATTTGTGCCACTTTCCGTAAGTTGATACTATAAACAGCAGTATTGTCAGTATTATACACATGTAAAATCGAGCAGAAAAACAATTAGTAATGAATAGGTGAAGAAACACTTTTGTTAAACATATTATAACTTTTTTTCATTATTTGTAACACACTCTCCAAATAATCACAATAAAAACATATCTTCTGGAATTGCGAACCTCAATTGAAGTGGGATTTGAACAGGTGCCATGTCTTGTCATGCCATTATTAGGCCTAACAATATAGAAAGTGGCACAAATTGATTTTTTGGATGTTTGTGTTCAACGGATCATATCTCTGGTTTGGCAAAAGCAAAATTGATAAAACAAATAGTATTTAAAAGCTGAATATCCCAGGATTAACATTATATAAGCATCATGAAATATTTATCAATATTCCAAGGACACAGAGCCCGTTTCTGCTTGCAGCATTTGTTTTGGGACAGGCTGTATATACAAGGCACTTGGGCCACACAATGAGTGCCGCATTCGTATAATATATGATTTGCAATCTGTATAAGGCAATGGCGCGCGAGTACAATTCAGTTGTGTTGGCATCGCTTGGTTTTTCGTGAAACACGTCCACGTTATTCGCAGTTCAATTTCCAAGTAAAAAAAGAATCGTTTCATTGAACAGAGACCTAACGGAAACTGGATTCCCCAAACCCCGTTGACCTATACTCTAATCATGTATTTAGACAGAATTTAGTAGGACTCCCACTTGTTATTAAATTTGTTCGGGGCATTGTATTCAGAAGCTGTGAAACCCAGTTACAATGCCGATCTTGATTATCACTTAATGAAAACGACTAAAATGAATTATTACCTAATCCCTCGACAATCTCCGATCGTAACTCAGGAACTCCTGAATACTTGATGTGCCTCGTCGCAGAACGCAAAGTAATCACTGCTACCCGTATAACGGTTCATATTTACAACGATCTGTGCAACTCCTAAAAATACTTGTTTCATTTTACCTGTGTCTCCTTGACTTAATGTTTTATGATGCCTGACCTTTATTACTGTTTCTTTTTATATTCTCCCCTCCATGTTATGTTTCAATTTACTCTTTCCATACGTGATGTCTGTCTTATGTAATATGTTTAGTTATTTACTTTTTTAAATTATGATTATCTAATGCTATCCCTCTGTTCAGCACTTTTAAGTCTCTGGGTTTTTGGTTTAAACCGTCTTTTTGATTTGTTTGCAGACGACCGATGACGCCTGAGCATTACGTAGCAAGTTTCCCCATGCTTTGAACGCTAAGGAAGCTGCCAAGCACGATACTGTGACTAGACAAGCAATCACAGAACATCAGTGACGTCACACGTTATAAATGCACTGAAGCATGTACTAAAAGTCTGAGGTCTCTCATTGGCTGATATCCGAAGAACTTTCAACCAATCACCTAACTGCAAAATATTGTAGACTCAAGTCAACGCATGATTTTCATTTCCTGCCAGCAAAACCTGCAGTAAGAATTTTTTTTTGACAAAACCAACATATAAAACATGAAAGGATTTTTTTTTGCATTGAGAAACACACCCATAAGGCCCTTAACAAAACAAAAATGTTATGCATTGTAGTTCATCAAAATTAGATTTCCCCCAAATTAATTGATTGAAAAGGCTATGGAACAACTTAAACTTAAACAGTCTCACAAACTGAAGAAGCAAACTTCCTTACTCTGAATGTACTTCTAATGTCGATCTTATTCTCCATATCTGCAAGTTCCAGATCCATGTTTGAAGGTACGGACGGGCTCTGGTCATTGGAGGATTTAGGATGGGATTTAGTATTTCTAATTGTGACGTTCTGAAGGAAAATAACAGTTTAAGAGTCCACGGGTCCAACTGTTATGCGACAGAGACTAGCAGCTGCGCCATGCTCATGAAACCAAATGGTAGTGAAAAAAAAGGTTTGACAGGTTAGGTTCAGAATTACAATGAAGTTAAGTATATGACATTTTTCAATCGCCATGTTGAACTCCTTACACTATTTTATTGAATTTTTCCCCATACATTAAACAACTGATCGCAACACTCTCAAAAATGGTATGAAGAGATAAAACAATGTCAAAACGAGTCTATCAACTGAACATCCAAACCAGCTAATGTAATGTAGGCTATATCAATGTGTAAAGTTCTCTTAATACTTTTAACACAACACTGTTAGGCCTACGTTTGAGCTTTTTCAGTTTTAGTTAATATATACATTTTAACACTCTTTTTCCAGTTAATTACAACTTCTGTGAAATATTACTCATGGCACTGCTGTAAGATGGCGTATGGTGTAATGGCGGTGATAATGGTGACTGTGGGGGTGATAATAAAATGGTGAAGATAGAATGGGGCATGGTGGTGAGAACAGTGATTGTTGAAATAATGATAGAGACTAGAGCGTTGATGATAATAGTGATGGCAGAAAGGTCGAAGAAGTGGTGGTGGTCATGATGAGGGCGAGTGATGATGCGATATGATGGTGGAAAGTGGTTGTGGTGAAGGTGATTGCGGTAGTGATGAGATTACACTGTTGATGTGAACTTTAGATGGAACTGAAGCTTAGAAAGAAAGAAATTGTAATGCTTATATAGCACTTTCCATCATATCAACAGTCTCAAAGCGCTTTACAATTATTCCCCCATTCATCAGGCCACCAGACCACACACGGCAGCCGACATCAGTGCACATTCGATCCTTTAGCCTCACACGCACCCATTCATACTCCTGGGTGGAGAGAGGTAATTGTTGTTACGTGCCCAAGGGCACAAACACCTGTTCCTTGCAGGGTTCGAACCCCCACACCATCGTACATGAGTCAAACACCATAACGACAGGACCATGGCATTCAAGCTTAGAAAGAAATTACTGCAGATGCCACAATCAATTGACCTATATAGCGGTAGAATCGCGTTAAAGTCGCGTCAACGAAGCTTGTGAAATATTGTCCAATTACATGATATACGAGCGGACGGGGAACACGCAAAATCTGAGACAAACAAAACTTAGTGTACAAAAACTCTATAGGGCTGTCTAAGGGGCGTGGCTAACTCGGCGATAGGTCAATTATTACAAAAATTTAAATTTCTACTTTTAAAATTAATTAATTACTTTAAAAAGTAATTAATTACTTTTCAAAAGTATTCCTTTAATGTTTGGTTTTAAACATGTCTTTTAACTTTCAGAAAAAAAACCCTAAAGATCATACGGCAAGACTTGACAATGGCTAAGATGCACATACATGTATATAATTTTCAGAAAATAATTCTTTTTAAATCATATTTTAGAATAATAAACTGTCAGCCGCATGAAAACCACCTTTCTGCAGAAAATCCTGTAATGGTTTTCATGTACTGATATCCTGTGAAAAAAAGGAGGATACTGTATTTTATACAATGTTATTGCTTGCATTCCATACAGCTAAAAAAATCTTTCAAAAAGGCAAATATTATTCTATTACAACAACGTCTGGTATCCACAGACCATCCACTCGACCTGTTCAATGCCCTATTTGGTTTATGCCTAACCAAAAGGTGAGAGAATGAAATTTCTGCTGCTAAAGTAAAAGTTGGTATTTCTGCACCATTTCTGTTAAAAAAAACACAATCGGGAAGAAACCTGAATGCAGAGGGAAAACTGTATTTTGAATAAAAATACAACAATTATTAAGTGTTGTACTCTATTTGGTCTTTATGAACACACAAAAAATCTGACATTATACATTCATTCCACTTTGAATTAAAAGATTTATGAAATCTGGTTACTTTAACACTGTCAGCTGATATTTTTGGTGTGACACCTCCAGGGAAGCCCAAAATGTTTGTAATGCTTAAAATTTGGGATTTGAAATTTCACTTCTCTGGGCAAGAACTTAATTAAGTAGATTTTACCTCTGCTTTGGGACCTAATACATCCTTCACGTCTACAGCTTCACATGTACTAGCTAATCTAAATTCAAACAGAGAACAAATAAAAAAGTTGGAATTTTTCTTGTATGAAGTTTTAAACTTGCCTTAAAGGTATAGTCCATCATTTGTAATTTGTGCATTTTTTTTCGTTTGAAGCAACAAACGTGCTCAAAATCTAAAGAAGGGTGATAAACAACTAACCTGATGAAGTTCCAGCTCAGCTTCATTTTTTGAGAAAAACAACATTTTCGGGTCTCGATTTCAAAACAAAAGTTGCTGAATCATGTTTTGAGTTGGGCCTGAATTCAGTGTCCGAGACACGTTCTTACCGAGCCGACTGCAGCTACGCGATGTCGCGCTCTGATCCGACAAATTTGAGCAACCACGCACGCGTGTGCATCCTGCGAATGCTTGCACGCGCTTCGCTGAATAAAAAAACACGAACTAAAGACGCACCGTTGGAAAGGCCTTCTTTCGTTGATTTCTTCAAAGTGACAGCATGCCAGAACAATTTCACAGGGAGTTTAGTTCCCTTACTATCTTTCAAACAAGTATGTTTTTCATCACTAATTATGCCAGTCATTTTCTGGATAGCTGCAAATGATGGACTGTAGCTTTAATCAATCAATCAATAAATGAATGTATAACCACAGATTTGAGGAAAGACAATTGAAAAGTGCCTTACCCGTGTCATAGTCAATGAGTTGCTGCTCCAACTTCTTGATGTGACCCTTGCGAAAGTACAGGTAGGATGTCAGCAAAAGGGCAAAGGTCACCAGGGCGAAAGTTCCCAAGGAAACCTGAGTCACTGGTTTTAGCTGCTCCTCAGCTGGATGACCGTAAACCAACACAGCAAACTTGGCTTGGAGACGGCAGAAACTGGGCGTGATATAGGTTGTGATGAAATAAGATGCAGAAAATCAGATGTCTTTCGGAGACATCAGGTTCAGGGGAATCAGGTTGACGTAGCAGTATAATTTCTTATCTGCCAATGCAGTGACCTGGGTTCAAATCCCGCCTGGGCCAACATTTGGATTTGGTTTATTCTGTCTCTATCAGATTCCGTACTAGTCTATGTAATGGACCACGGCGGATGCCGTGGTCTATTTCGCATGAACAGATTTGCTGATTAATTAGGCAAGACCCCGGCTCTTGACTTCTTAGAGTTGACCAATCAGTGGGCGCTTTCTATATATCGAGTATTTGGTCATTCACCCGTTGCACGTCACATAGACAATGGATTTTTTAAAAACGTGACACGTGCTCCGTATCATGTTACGCGATATGGGGCCGGTGGTTGTTGTATTACAAAGCACTGCATTCGAATTGACCAATAAAACCATTTAGTCCTGATTTAGGAATGAAATGACGTCACGATTTAGTAAAGTCGACTCGGATTGGCTGGTGCGCGGCTTGCATAAATTTGCATGTCAGGAGATGTCAGACGTTCTCCAGGATTTGGCTCCGTGGATAATGGGTGATACTCAGACTAATTCCGTACGTGGTTTCTCTGAAATGTCATTCAAGGCTTTTCCTCCTACCTCTAAACTTCCTCACCTTCTACCAAGAGACCCCACGGGAAATAAGTAAAACAACTTTCATGAAATCAGCTGCTAGTTGGGCCTAATTGGTAACTCACCTGTATCTTGGATCTACAACAGTGGCGGTGAATTGATAGATACTATTATTTCTCTCTGCATTCCATATCACCGATGCCACGCCGGTTCTATTCAAGACACTGTATCGCTGCCTATGCAGTGCGGCTGAGTCTTTGGTACCATTCAAGATGAAACAATCAAGGTAGCTCTACATAAAGGAGAAAAAGAAGGGCTTGAAAAAACTGCCAGACTGCTGGACTGAGTCCAATCATTGAGAGTTTATCTTGTGCCATCTATCACTAAAGTAGACCAGCAGTCCAGTTGTTTCTACACACTGCTGAGCATCATGAATCCTAGAGAGGCCTCAATTTTTTTGCCCAAAGTTGAAGAGGTTTGCCTTTTTTATGTAACATGTATATTAATAATTCAACCATTGTAAACAGGTATTGAGCGAGAGGTCAGACAAAGAACAGCGCCCTGTCCTCCAGGTTAGGGTTTAGGCGTGGGGCTAACAACTCCACCCCCCAAAAAAATCACTGTTACGGAAATTATGACGAACACAAAAACCACGGACCATATGGGCTCCGTGCACAAGTCCTTCAACAGCCAGAAAAGGAGAGTTGGGGGAGACCTAGACGTATTTCGAATGATCCAAAGTTATTGGGGGCAGGGATTAGTCTGGGAGACCATCGCAAGTTAAATTTGAACGTATTCGCGCGCCGATCGTCGCCTGACACTCACGCGCAAAGACGCTGTTGCGAATAGCTTTGGCACATTCAGGAAGTTGTGTGTACTTCGCACGCGAACCAGTACAGTACAGCATGCACACGCGTGTGTCCCATCCACAGGGCTCTCAAAAGTGGTAAACATGAACCCTCTTTTGTTGGCGCACGGAGCCAATAGCAGACTTGAACCATCATGAGCTGGCAGAATGACCACGTCTGATGAAAGCCTACACCAGGAAGTCATGGTTGTGAAAGATAGTCGCTTGACAAAGATCTACTTTGGGGCATGGAATGTCCGCACCACGTATGAGACGTCCAAGACAGCTCAGGTGATTAATGAGATAAAAAGATACCGCTTTCACATTCACAGGTTTAGCCCTGATAGTCTTAGAGCTATAGTCAATCATTTGCAGCCATCCGAAAAGTAACTGGCGTAATTATTGTTGAAAAACATACTTGATTGAAAGATAGTAAGTGGACTAAACTCCCTGTGAAATTATTCATTCTGGCAAGCTGTCATTTTGAACTAATCAACGAAAGAAGGCCTTCCCAACGGTGCGTCTTAAGACGCACCGTAGGAAAATTTAAATTAGTAGTTTGTTTTGTTATTCGGCGAAGCGTGCGCAAGCATTGGCATGACGCACACGCGGTTGCTATAATTTGTCGGATCAGTGCGCGACATCGCGTATAGCTGCAATTCAAAACAATTCAAAACATGATTCAGCAACTTTTGATTTGAAATTGAGATCCTAGAATGCGGTTTTTCTCGGAATATACAGCTGAAGCTGAGCTGAAACTTCATCAGGTTAGTTGTTCAGTATCCTTCATTAGATTTTGAACACGTTTGTTGGTTCAAACGAACAAAATGCACAAATTACAAATGATGGACTATATCTTTAAGCTAGCTGTTTCAAATCTAGCACAACATATGGGTACCACAAACAATGACTTTTGATAGAAGTTTACTTCAGTGAATGACAACACTATGATTTGTTTTCGCCCAATGCTTATCCAAAATGCTACTAAGAGCTTGCGAGTGCCACATGAATTATTTTTCTCACAGGCTTTTATACGGCAGTGAGAATAGTGCTTATAAAGAGCAAAATCCAATATAAAATAGACTTAAAGGGAAAATACAACATTTGCAAACATCAAGAAATAAAAGTACCAAATCATTTTGAAATACCTTGCTGGACTGTTAGTGAATGACAGTGTAAAGCATCCTGTAAAATCATGGCACCTGGTATACTGTCATTTTCAAGAAAAGTGGTATTTTGTATCAATTTCCAACGCTGATCGGCCGATCAGCGTTGGAAAAAACTGGCTTTTTTTCAAATACTGGCCCCAATTGACCATCGCACTTGTTTGCAATCGATTACACACCTATGAACAGGTACAAGCCAGCTAGACTGGTTCCCTGATCTTACTATTCCCGCCCCAATGTATGTAAACTGCTCTGTTTCTTCTTATATGGAGTCAGGGAACCAGACTACAGGAAAATGATTGTTTTTCTTGGTTTTTATAGCATTTTTGAATGCAAAACCTCAAAAAAGTCAGTGTAACTATATTTGCTATATATTTCCAACCCCCCAATTCCATCCATTTGTGAAAATTACAGCAAAAGCAAATGATGTATATTCCCTTTAAGTTAAAATTGGCCAAGTACTCATCCCATTGCTGAAGAAAACACTGAAGAGAAACATGAAATCGTCATTTATTTTTTAACGCTGTGCACAAGTATTTGGTGGCAAGTAGATAGAAGGTTAGGCAGACTATGCATGCCAAAAGTCATGCACCCACAAGAAGATGCCACAGGTTTATGCACAATGACAAAGTATTAATGAGTGCCTTGCGGCATATGGCGCAATAGTGCGCAAACACAAAGGACTCAGGAGTGGTCAAACAGCGCCATCTTCTGTTGATAAATATCATTACTTGTAATGAAATCAAAGTTGTCTACATACGTCTGTTGCAATTATCTCCTCGCTGCGATTAGTTATCAGTGTGGGAGCTAGTGTATGGCATCCAGCCTGCAAATTAATAAAAGATACATTAGATAATATAAGGAACAGGCTTATTCATAATTATAGGATCACATACCGCTATGTTACAGTCAGACACAAGACATTTACAACCAATCACCATGTTTATTGGAACAGATTTTGTACCACGTGCCAGGTTGTTTATGTCCAAGCATTTTTAAGCGTCACGTCACCCTCTGGAATTTGTTGCTTTTGATTCCAGAAACAATAGCAGGCAACCTCTAAAGCAGGATGTTAAAACTACTCTGTTCAAATTTAGGCTCAAGAGATATTAAAGCTATAGTCCGTCATTTGCAGCTATCCGAAAAGTAGCTGGCGTAATTCTTGTTGAAAAACATACTTGGTTGAAAGATAGTAAGGGGAGTAAACTCCCTGTGAAATTATTCTTTCTGGCTAGCTGTCATTTTTGAAGTAATCAACGAAAGAAGGCCTTTCCAACGGTGCTTCTTAAGACACACCATAGGAAAATTTAAATTAGTAGTTCGTTTTGTTATTCGGCGAAGCGCGCGCAAGCATTGGCACGACGCTCACGCACCCCCGGTTGCTGTAATTCGTCGGATCAGTGAGCGACATCGCGTAGCTGCAATCGGCTCAGCGAGAACGCATCTCGGACGCTGAATTCAGGCACAATTCAAAACATGATTCAGCAACTTTTGATTTGAAATTGAGATCCTAGAATGCTGTTTTTCTCGGAATATACAGCTGAAGCCGAGCTGAAACTTCATCAGGTTAGTTGTTCAGTACCCTTCTTTAGATTTTGAGCACTTTTGTTGCTTCAAATGAACAAAATGCACAAACTACAAATGATGGACTATATCTTTAAGTAATTGTGACAAAAGCATAATTTAAACTTCTGGCTTCCGAGTCCACAATGCCATATAGTGACGCACAATGCTCTGCCTGTGGAGGCCGACAAACATATATTTTTGATCCACTGGTGGGTGCTGGATGGAGTGGGGACTTGGATCCCATTGAACACCAAGGGACACTGATCATAATATGAACTGAGTTTTAGACGGGGTCAAAATTTTAGACAAGGTGAAATTTAAGATGCAAAAGGCCCTGGGGCCCAAGGAACACTTGAAACCCTGGCTGCTTGAATGAGTTGAATTGTTAGTGTCAGCGATATGAACTATTAAAACAATGTGCATTGTCAAATTAAAACTTTAATCACTGAAGACACTTGGATGTCAAAATTTTGGCCATATTAATTATAATGGAGTCCCTAACTTGGAGCACCTCGACTTTTTTTTTTAACTTCTTCAATTGCTGTGAAACATCAGTGTTGATGAGCTTTAAACTTATTCACTAAATATATGTACTTTTTACCACAATAAAACTTGCTCTTCAAATCCTGAGAAAAGTTATATCAGAATCTGTATTATCAATAAATCAACCCAATTGCATTTGGTAAAAATCAAGATAATGAATGCCCTTTAATTTGAACGAAAGAAGGTATGTTTTCTTGCAATGCACACAGGCAGGAGGCATAGGCTGATACGCTTTGAAAATACCATGATATGCTTGAAATTTGTTGAGAAGCTTAGAGTGTTCTGTACAAAAAAAAAGTACAGGTAAATGTTCTATTTTGTGCATTGAATGCTCCTTCACCATTCACTATTAACATCATTAAATAGAAAAAAGTTTACGTCATGCATGTTGTGTACGTTAACATTTTGCAGTGACATATAGCATATTTATTTTGAATTTGCAATTTATTGCATATGGTACTGAAATCAGTGAATTTACATATGTACCTGTTTGCCAATTAAAGGGAAGTACATGTATTTTAACCACCAACTCTTGTGTTGTCTTCTATTAATGTTTCTGAAATTATGGCAATGGTAAGGGCAACTTAATATCCAGCAATCGCTAAAGTGGATTTTTTTAATTCTAAGTATTATATTGCTAAAATAATCAAGATGTCACTGGTCATTACCTGCAGCATACTGGTATTGTAGGAGAAATCAGTACGACCCTGCTCTTCAGTAACTACATAGTTGGTGTTCACTTCAGCGACATATTCATCATGATCAAAACTGCAAAGGAATAACAGTTAGAACACTGCAGTCCTATTGACCTATCGCATTAGAATCACGTCAACGCAGCTTGTGAAATATTGTCCAATTACTTGATATACAAATGGAAGCGGAACGCGCAAAATCTGAGACAAACAAAATTTAGTGTACAAAAACTCCATAGGGTTGTCTAAGGGGCGTGGCTAACTCGCAATTAAATGGCGATAGGTCAATTACATAGGCTTGTACCCATTCTACACATCTTTGAATTCCACATTTAAATTTCAAGACAAAAGATATACATGTATATTTTTTTAAATTCTGTACATTTTAACCCTTTAGTCACTGTAGCGCCCGGAAACCATCCAAGCAGTCTATGCTTTAATTTATTATTCAGTGAATAAATACAATGTAATACACTGTAGTACAGGTGCTATTGACCCACAAAAACCCCAGCAAACATTAATATTGTGTTAATTTCTATCACAAATAAATTACACTTATTGTGGTAAATTTGAAGATGAAAGATTTCTTTTTAAAAAACGTTTAAAAATTTTTTTCAAGACCAATATATGTTATACAATCAATATATCTTCTTTTAAAACCACTACAACCCTCTTCAAAACGCAGCTGCTGTATTTTCCAAAGTTAAGATTACTTGAATACTTACAGATCAAGAAATGGTCTGAATGGCTGCTGATAATGGGCAATGATAGGACAAGTAAATGCAGACCAGTCATAATCAACCACCTGTACACAAACCCAAACAAAAACAAAGGAAAATAGAAAAACAAAATAAACACTGTTAGGGATTGACTATTTAACAAGTCTACAGCAGTTTTTTAGTGTAGGTTTTGACCATACAGCTATTTTAAATTACTAAAGCGTAACTTCATGTACAAAGTAATGCCTGCTGGGCGCATCCATGTTTGTGCACAAACCTATGGAGACCTAGAAATTTTGTACGGCTTTTGTACGGCTATTTGCATATCTGCGTTTGTATTCCATTACTGGTGCGTTATCGAAGCCAATACGCCCAAAACCGAAACGCACGATCAGCAAATGAGCGTGTGATTTTACTCTTCGCAAACAATGCAACAACGCGTGCGCATATTCGCTGCAGATGCTTTTTGCCGTCACATTTTTTTAAACCGTTAATGACGCGCTTAAGTTGTTTGCGTGTGTTCTACTTGCGCGTTGTATGTAGAGTACACTTTCAAAATTCAATCCATCTAATTTCATTATGTTCTACAAACACGCACATGAATTCAAAATGTCTGCGCCCAGGACGGCTTCAAAGCATCTCCGCGCGTAGAATGGCGACTTAGCACTCTAGTAATTTAATATAGCTCTATGGTTTAGACTGGTACAGTTGAAGAAGAGGTGGGTTGAAGAAACTAAAAGGTTAGTTTACAAGATGTATACAAAAGTCACTTCACACGACATATGAAAAAAGTAACTTCACATAACATCTGCAAACATCTCTCAAGTTGTAATCTCCCCCGTGCATGCAAAGCCTGAAATTGCATTCTGCTAATGATAAAGCGCATGGAAATTAATTTGTGCTAAATTGACAACCTGATTTGCCATTGCAAATACAATACTATCAAAATAAGTTTCTGGCAGATTATTAGACTACCATTTTTTTGGGGGGGGGGGGGTGAAAAGGGGTGATAGTTTTACCCTACAAGCCTGGCACATATAGTTATACCTTCACAAAAGTAGTCAACAACATATCAAAACACATAAAATAAGAAGCAATTAAAGTCGACACCAATTACCTTGATGTCTTGTGGAGCTGATCCATCAAACTCCAAATAGGCATTTCTGAAAATAAAGACAAAAGCTATAATCTTCATATCAGTGGGAAAAATCTTCTTAACTCTGCAACTTCCAAACCCACTCGAAAATTCTTCAAAATCCGCAAGAAGTTTTTGAAGCCAAGATTATTATCTTATTATGCCCCTGAAAATAAGTTCAAAGACTGTGCTCACAAATATCAAAAAATTATCGATTTATGGAAAAACAAATTTAAAAAGATATTGCAAAAAGAAAAGAAAAAAGAAGATATATTGCACAATGAGCCTGAGATGAAATGGAGTCATGGTAAAATTAAGTGTGGCATCATTTTGTCTATGGGCAATTATACCTTGGTATGGTGTAGTTACTGAAATGTAGACAGGTGTCTGGTTTCCTGACTCGGATGTGCCTTCCAGGAGGGCATCCAACTGATAAGTGTGCCACCTTGAAATCAGGAAAGAGCAATGATCATTACAGACAAGAACAGTAATTTTCAATCCCCTGTAGATTTTGGCTTCTGGTCTATTGGTTTCCATGAAAATCACGAGTGTGGTAGCGTTTTTCTCCGCCATACATATGACATTTTGAAAATGGGCATAAAGCATCTTTCACAGCCAAGTACTCACAAGGTGTAGAGGCTAGAAACTGGACCATACGGGTGAATCCATGTTTATAAAAGGTTGTTAAATCGCAATGCAGTAGGTTTCTAATCTATCCCTTTTAATTTTGGCTGACGGCTGCTATGGTAGAGCGCTGTGGTCCAATGGTTACGTACAGTGTTCGACTCGTTTGCCATGGTCAAGGGTTTGAACTCTGATGGGGAACATGGTGCTACTGTTCTGGGCAAGACACTTTATTACAATTGGCTCTCTCCACCCAGGAGTTTAAATGGGTACCTGGGAAGGCAGACACCAGAATGTGCTGATCTCGAGCTGCTGCATAAACTGGTCTCATGGCCTGATGATCAGGGATAATAATTGTGAAGCGCTTTGAGACGTTTGATATAAAATGCCATATAAGCACCACATTATTAATTCAATTCAGTTCATTTCAATTCAATTCAATTTATTATTCAATTTTATGTAAAAAAAACCATGAAAATTGTTTTCCAGTGTGCATCATACAATAAGAAGACAGATCTTTTATATATAAATGTATAAGTAAATAAAATGCTTTCCTGGACATTTTTCATTATTATTAATATTATTATTATCTCATTTCATAGATCAAGCAGGAAACAAAATGCAGCTGAGATTCAGGAACCAAAAGTAATGTATGCATACAACTGAAATGTCCAACTCACCATGCTTCCTTGCTCCTTGCAACCAAAGTCTTCCTGATCTGGTCCGACTTCCAACACAACGTCTCCGGTAAAACTGCTGAGTTTGAGGCTAGATTTTATCGTCAGTGTCTGAGAATTAAACAATTTAAATTAAATTGGAACTCTTCTCTTATAAATACAGTAACCTGCCGCCACTTGAATGAATTTGTAAACCAAATGTTGTCGGGTGCCTGGAAGAAGGTCGTTAGTGTAAAAAATGGGTCAAAAGGTCAAATTCGTTTTTTCGCCGGTAATTGATTAAGCTTGGAAATATCTTTCATTTGATATAAATATGGTCTCAAGGGGCTACGTCATTATGATGTAATTAACAGTAAACAAAAGAAGGAAGGAGGTTTTTCATTATTTGTGCCCGACAAAAGGTCGTAAGCGTGTAATTATAATTTAACAAAAAATGTTCTAAGCGCCCCAACGTCCCACTTGGGTACGCAAAGCCAAGTTTGTTCCTGGCAAAAGGACGTTAGGATTTAACACGATTTAACGCTTAAGCACACGTTCAATGCAGGGCGGATTCATGTTTAAGGCAGATGGAGTTCCAGGTAAAAGATCGTTAGCAGAAAAATTTAAATAACTTCAAAATTAAGTAATATTTTGAAATAAAAATGCACAATATGATTTCAATTATTAACGACATTCATGAGCCCAAATTTCAGCCTGATGTGATTTTTCATATAGAAATGGCAGCACAAAACTTTTCAACTCGATTATCTCCAATAGTGCTTTTTGCGTGCCGGAGCTGCTAACGTTCTTTTCCTTGGCACACGACGATGTATTCTGCACCATCTTTGTGGATAAAGAGCCTTGGGGAATAAGACAAAAACATCGCCAAGTTCCCAACGTACATGTATGTGAGCCTAACCAAAGGTCAAAGAATGAAGTTCGCGCGCCACAGAGTTGGGTTCAAACATTTTGCGCAGAGGTAGTTTGGAAGAGAGAAATACATTTTCCACCAATTTTGTATTGAAATTGAAGTTTATTTCAACTGTGTTCAGATTTAAATAATTTAAAATATTAGGCCTATATAACCAAGCAGAATCTGTGGGTGAAGTGTTATAAAACAAAGATTGATTGCTTTATCTCGTGGTGAAGTAAAACTAGCCTCCCTCGGTGATCCATGGAGCATTCTATTTTCCCTTGGCTTCCCCTCGGGAAAATAGAATGTCGATGGATAACCTGAGGCGGTTAGTTTTACTACACCACTCGAAGCATTCAATATTTGTATAATATTGCAATTTCGTTTTGATGTTGTCAGCAATCAGCGAAAAACAATTCTAGACCCAAAGGAAAGACGTCAGAAAATACAATAAAAAAGAGCTCTGAAAACATGTCTTTCAAATAGAATGTACTAAGAGCAAAGAGAAAGTGTCATGGCTGGCGGGCTGCAGGCCACTGTACAAAACTAAATCTTAGTGAATGGCTAGCATCTTCAAGGGAATAATGCGGATGTAGTAATGTCCTACGGGTAAAACGAGCACAGTAGAAAGGCTGAAATACTTGGTTTACAGTCTAATATACTTGGTTTCTTTGTACATTGTATACCTTGTTAACAGCCAGCCATCCAGGGTGATAGGCCCCCAGATCTTCCTCCAAGATATCCAGCAGGCCAGGTGAGCTGGACACAACCTGAAAGAACAAATGAACACAACTAAAAATCAACCAAATTTTAAATCGGACCGTTTCTCCATAAACGAAATGAAAGTATCATTTGCTTTTTTTTTACCTTAAAACAATCCTTCATTGAGATCTATGAAATCGCCTGGTTTCCCCAACCCATTTCAAACTTACATTGTAAAATAGTAACGAAAGTATTTGTACTGTACTGCCCTAAACTGCCCAGGCTGTTACTCCCTGTAAGCCCCGGACCACCCCAGCACTGTATGGTTTTATGGATTCAAGAGAATAAATGTTTATACAATGTAACAATTGTTATACAATGTAACACAATGTAACACAATTCAATGTTATACAATGTAACACAATGTGGTACAGGCGCTCATGGCTTTAAATTGTGAGGTCCTGACTACAACTCTGCTCCTCATTGATGCATCAGTAAAATACCTGCAATCTGATGTCATCATCACTGGGGTATGTCAAACATGCCCAGAGCTCTACCACATCTCCAATGTCGAGGTAGTACATGCTGGCAGGGTCTGTGTGTTGAAAGCGCCTAAACTGCAAATTTTAACAATTTATCAAAAAGACCAAATCAAAAACTGCATTAAACAACCATCTTGTGTAATATGAAAAGAAGTTTTGAAACTGGGCTTGACCATAAAATGATGCTCATTTCCTAATATAAAATCGTTACGTTCCTTTTTTTTTACACACACTTTAGTATACAAATAATGACTGCTCGAGTGGTGTGGTAAAATTAGTCTCCCGAGGTGATCTAACGAGTGTTCTGCTTTGAAATGGAATGCTCTGTAGGACCATCGAGGGAGGCTAGTCTTTTTTATAACACCTCACCCACAGATTCTGTGTCTTGATTGGCTGAGAGCGAGTCACATGATACTTTCTATTTTTGCTATCTTTCTGTGCACGGCCAAAAGTACTATACCCGTAGCAACCAAAGTACTATACCATTAGCAACCAAAGTACTATTTCCATGGCGCGGTATTTGTGTGTAAATGCATGCTGGTGTGTGCGTTGTGTATTGCACGTAGCACGTTTTGTTCCAAAGAGAGCGTGCCACAGAGTTGGGTTCAAACATTTCGCGAAGGGGTAGTTTGGAAGAGAGAAATACATTTTCCACCAAGTTTGTATTGAAATTGAAGTTTATTTCAACTGTGTTCAGATTTAAATAATTAAAAATATCAAAACCAAGCAGAATCTGTTGGTGAAGTGTTATAAAACAAATACTGAATGCTTTATCTCGTGGTGAAGTAAAACTAGCCTCCCTCGGTGATCCATGGAGCATTCTATTTTCCCTCGGCTTCGCCTCGGGAAAATAGAATGGCCATGGATCACCTTGGAAGGCTAGTTTTACTACACCACTCGAAGCATTCAATATTTGTATAATACTACACCACAAGTTAAAGCCATCAATATTTGTTTTATAACGCCTCAGCCACGGATTCTGCTTGATTTTAAGAGGTAACTGAATACATTAACCAAAAGCCAATTAAAATGGCGAACTTTATTAACTCACTGGACAGTAGATCTGCAAGTCATGCAGCATCCCTGCTACTTCAATATTCAGTGGGTACTGCCACCGCCGATAGAGAATGGATGAGCTACAAAAGCAAAGGGTCCAAAATTACCGGAGAGCCCCAGAGAGACCTTATATAGTCAGTTTTGCGAACAACAAGTACTTAGAAAAGCCAAGTCGATCGTAGCCAGTGAAAATCATGTGTTGTAAACCATGTTTGAGTTTCTTCCATTGGGACGCCGTCTAAGATGCCCTCCATGTAAAACCAACAGAAGGAAGTTCTCGTTCATCCCAGTGGCTATAAAACTTATAAACAACTGATAATTATTTGTATTTTCTTATGTTCATCATTGTATTTGTCATTTTTATATGCACCCATTAATCAGATGGAGGGTGAGGGTATCAGTATCAGTATCATTATCACGAGCTGTCATTACTCCAGTGGCCATTAGACCATACAATATCTGCATTTTATAGGTCCATCATTTTAAATTGATTTTTTTTTTTTTAAATAAACATTTTTTTTTTCATCATGAGTACATTAATCGTCTAAAGATATTATTATTTTTTGTTTTTAGATAAGATGAGATTTTACACCAATTTTAATTGAGATAAGAACATCTTGTTTGTGATTGATGTAAGTTTTATATATTTCTTTTTACTTGACTTGTAATTTACTAAGTGTCTTTAATGAGCTGTCCAACCATATGTAATTAATTGCCTTTTTAAGGATGAATAAAGTATTTTGAATTGAATTGAATTGAATTGAATTGAATTGAATTGAATTGAATTGAATTGAATTGAATTGAATTGAAAGGACAGCTTTAATGTGATGATACAAATGATGTAATACAGAGCTAATGGTATTTGTTAGGACCAAGAAGTATTTTCATTCAAAAGAATAACACTCAAAGTATTACTGGTAACATTAGTTCATCTGATGATATCACTTTTCTGGAACAACTTTAAATTGGTGTTTTTACTTAATTATGACCACGGCGCCTGCCGGGGGTCGGCTGGCTTGTTCAAGCTTGATGTAGCAGTGGGTACCGCAACCAAACTTTGTATGAGGTGGAATTTGTTTTGGCTTAAATTTTGCCCTTCGCCGAAATTTTTGTCCATGTCTTTTAATAAATTGACACTTTTAATTGTAAAGGCTGAGATCAAATTTAGTGCCATGAAATGACTGAAACACTTAGTGTTACTTACTTGTTGTTTTCACTATCTACGATGACGATGAAAAGATTACCAAGCTGATCAAATATGAGATTAGTCAGGGTTGCGGGGAGTTCAATCGCAGAGAGCTGACAGAGACCAAATTGAAATAAACAAACAAACAAACAAACCAAAAAATAAGACAAAAAATTCAATCTGTTTTCATGAAAAAAAATATCAGATTTGTAGAGTCCATCCCATGCCCCAATGCTCCTCATGGTTAGTTTTTTTCAATGAGGCTTTGCATCAAAAGTTGAGGTCCATTTCAAAATGGCAATTTAATTATTTTTTTTCTGCTTCATGTCATAGGAGAGGTTAACTGGCTGAAGTTATAACTGCTCAAGCACTCTATGGCTTTATGAATTAATAATAATAATAATAATAATAATCAGCATTTAAGAACGCTTTTTTTAATAAACTAAATCACAGCGCTTACAGTATTATTATTTCCCCTGATCATTGGGCCAATTAAACATTCCAATTACCATCTCAGCTCCCTGGGAAGTATACAGCTCGATGCTGCCTGTTAGGCGCAAGCAAGCTTATTCAATCACAATAACCATCTCTGCCCTCACAGGTACCCATTTACTCCTGGGTGGAGAGAAGCAATGAGTGACAAAGTGCCTTGCTCAAGGGCACACGCACCATGACCCCGGCTGGACTCAAACCCACAACCCGCAGCTTTACCCACAGACCACGAATCCAGTGCCCTTAACCACGAGGCCACAGCACTTCACAATTCTTCAGGGAATAAATTTAATATAATACTTGGTGCTAATAAATTAAGGTTTTTTTTCTGGGACTTACGTCTATAAGTGTGGCTTGACCAACTATACTGTAATGCAAACGATTGGATGAGAGAAGCACCACGATATCACCAGATGGGCTGATGGATACCTTACAAAAGTAGAAATTGGACATCAACTTAAACATACGACAATACAGCAATGCTTGATAATGAAAGCTACAATTCATTGCCGGGCAAGATGCAGTTGGTTATCTTTACCAAAGAATCAGGTGGAGACATATAATTACTAGAGCGCTAACTCGTCATTCTGCGCGCTGAGACGCTTTGAAGCCGTCCTGGGCGCAGACATTTTGAATCCATGTGCGTGTAGAACATAATGAAATTAGATGCATTGAATTTTGAAAGTGTACTCTAAATGCAACGCGCAAGTAGAAAAAAAACGTGACGGCAAGAAGCATCTGCAGCGAATTTTATTCGTGCACACGTTAAGCTGTTTGCGTAGAGCAAAATGGCATGCTCATTTGCTGATCGTACATTTCGGTTATGGGCGTATTGGCTTCGATAACGCACCGGTATGGAATACAAACACTGATATGCAAATAGCCGTACAAAAGCAGTACAAAATTTCTAGGTCTCCATAGGTTTGTGCACAAACATGGATGCGCCCAGCAGGCATTACTTTGTACACAAAGTTAGCGCTCTAGTAATTTAATATAGCTCTATGGGTAGAGATAAGGTGAGTTTAAAAACGATTTGGTTTGCCAGTTGCATTTAATACAAAGCCATATATTTTACCATCAGATGTATCAGTAAAAAAAAAACCTGTTTAATCTGACAACATGCCTTGGGATTTAAAACGAGCTTCTGTCTTAGCTTAGATCAATCCTAGCTTCCTAATCCCATTTTACTTAATGCCTACAATAGTTTTCAAGGCAAGAAACACATTTCATCTTGAAGTATAGATTACCTATTGAAACACTGATCTTCAATTTCAGCAGCACTTCACTAGAAGATACAGTGACTGCCCATGTATCTTCCCCTCAATGCATTTAAAGTTTGGCCGTACTTAAAAAACAGTTACACTCTTCCACACAAACCTGCCAAATAAACATGTGGAACTATTCCTACCTGTTTGATGAAATCACTGCTAGACGTAGTGAGCATTGTAGAATCACTTCCTCTTATAGTAAAGGCGCCATACTGACCTAGATATGAAGGAAACAAAAACGATGAAAGTTAACTCTCAAATTGTGAACAATATTGATCTGGTCTTTAGATCAGAGGTGAAATCACAGAGATAAATCACCTATTGATCATTTTGCCGCTTGTTGATGAAGTGTTGTGGCCTAATAATGTAGGGGATAATTGATACAAGAATGTGGGTTCAAAACGTATATGAGGCACTGAGTTCAAACATAATATGCCTCTCTTACATTTCTGCAAATCTTGTAATGCCTGAACATGCACATATGATGCAAATTTTACATTTACATAACTGTTTTCCAAACATTTACGTTACTGTTTTCCAAACACTTAGGTTGATTTTTACCTTCTGATTAAAGTTCTGGAAAGAGTTTACAGGATGAGAAACTGGTGACTACCCTAGAGGTGATTGGGAAACAAATCCCACAAAACAGACGTACGGAGGTTTCTACTAGCAAGTACTGAGGGTCTAGGTCCATGGGCATAGTCATTGCTGCTAGCCAGCCCACAAATAGGGGTGGTATTACATTCCAGGTGGGCGACGTGTTGAAAGTCACCGGCAGATGTCTGGTTCAGCCGTGAAGATCAGGCAGGCAGCTGAGCAGCCCGAAAAAAGTAGTAGCCACGGGAGATAGTCACCAGGTGGATAGTAGCCACGTGGAAGAAGTCTTGTGTCCATGTTGATCTTCTTTGTGGCCATAATGCGTTCGGCCTCTGCTTTCATCTAGGTCTGGAAACTGACCAGGCCCAGGGAAGAGCAGGGATTGCAAGCATTTGCATGCCTGGTCTGACGGGAAAAACAGCACAGGTGGAAAACCCGGAACCCAATCCCGACCGAAGCTAGTGGACGGAGGAACGCGAGTGGTTGTTGTCCTCAATTCTTTTCTCACATTCTGAATGTATAGACCTGTGGGCGCTTCCTGGACCGCAGTCTGCCTGATTGTCCGTTGCCAATGTTCGCTGCCTTGTTCAGGGACTAACAAGGGTCCTCGGAGGGGGCGGTGTGGCGTCGGTGCCGGCCGGCCAGCAGAGGGTGGAAGCACGGCGCCGCAGTGGATCCGTGCCGTGGAGCCCCTGCTGGTCGGCCGGGACGACCAGTTGCCGGGCGGCGCTGACTCAGTTTGGTTTTTCTTAGATAAAGCACATTGTGTTGTGAGTTGTATAAAAAAGAGAGCTTCGTGTAAGAAAGTGGAAAGAATAAACAGCCCAGAGCCAGAAGAACCCTGAAATATAGTGTCTGTAGATTCCTTCGTCTGGCGTGTGACAACCCAGAATTTGGTCGATGTTACAGTATTGTCCGAAGGGCATACTTTTCCACCAGTAAGCGTCAATATTGCCGGATTTAGTGAAAAAAGTGGGTGAAATTAGTAATGTACAAACATGTAAGACAATAAACGTCCACAAAACAGAGAAGGGGTCAACAAGGGGTTTAAGTTGCCCAGTGGCACGCGAGAGTCCAAACGTATACCCAGAAAGCACAGGTAGTAGCGGCAGTGGAGTAAATCCACATATATCTAGAATGCCAGGAAGAAACATTCCTGCCAAATCGCATCAAAATCACCTTTGGGCAATGAAGATCACTCAAAGATATCAAGAAGAAAGTAACAACTAAAAATATCTATAATGTCGTACAAATAATGGCTAAGAAAGATGACAAGAAAATAGCAAATTTTGTAGCACTGGCATAACTTGTCTGTCTGATGGCGCGCTATGAAAAAAGGACATGTCATGGTGGGCGGGCGGGCTGCAAGGTACTGTGAGAAATAAATCTAGCCAAAGGCTTGCCCCTTCTAGGGGAAAAGTGCATGTGGTAGTGTAATACGGGTAAGAAGTGCAAAGTAGAATCAATGCTTCAATCAGAATGGGGGTCAGACAAGTCGACCGTTGAGACAACTTGACTCGGGACAAGTCGACCGTTGAGACAACTCGACCGTTGAGACAACTCGACCGTATGTGCGATAAATGGAAAGACAAGTCGACCGTTGAGACAAGTCGACTCGCATGTTTGTGGGCCTAGTTTTGGGGATGGGAATTTTGACGGCGGCTGATCGCCGTTTGGTTGCATATAACAGAGCCGATATAGCGCAGCGTGCCTGTCCGTGCACATCGTTCGTTTTTGCCGGGCCTGTGCGCGCATCCCCGGTCAACCGGCCGTACCGTGCACGGTGGCATCGTTTTTGCCGGGCCTGTGCGCCCACTTATCCCATCCCCGGTCGGTCAACGTGGCCGTAACGTGCACGGTGACATCGTTTGTGCCGGGCCTGTGCTGTGCGCCCACTTGCCGCGCCGGTCGACGTGCCCGCGTGCCGGGCCGGGCCCGATCCTCGCGGGTGGGGCGCGCCGGCCCAACGCGACGGCCACCGGATCGGAGCGCTCCACGTGTATACATTTCCATTAAGTCGAGCTGTCTCAACGGTCGAGTTGTCCCGAGTCGAGTTGTCTCAACGGTCGAGTTGTCTCAACGGTCGACTTGTCCCGAGTCGAGTTGTCTCAATGGTCGACTTGTCTGACATTCAATCAGAACAAGCTGTGTTGTTTGTCCCCCCCACACACTTTTTTCGTCCCCGAATAAATATTGTAGCCTACATATGATTCTACATACATGTATAGCTCAGAATAGCTGACTCCAAACTCGAAAATGATGTTTAAATGATGATCTTTTGCTAAAAAAACAGATGGTTAAAGTGGTCATAAATTGCCTCAGATTGCACCACAGAGCACCTACATTCCAAAATTCCCGAACCCCATGCCCTTCGCGCTGGCACTGGCTCTGATCAAGGTTTGTCGCCCCCCCCCCCCACTTTTGAGTTGCGATTGACGCCCTTGAATGGATGAGTCTGAAATTATGAGCTCAACAAAGTAATTGACAAAGTAATTTTCGTGGAACCTACCATTTATGTCACTGAAATACAAGCGTTTGTAGTCCCAGAACAGGAAGCTTGCCTTTCCAGCCCCACTGGTGAACTGCATGGAGACGCTGCCTGTACAGTGTGGAGAGGAGAGATCATAGACAAGACAAATGAATGCCATAAATTTTTAACTATGAAAAGAGAAAAAAATAAAGCCTCACAACCCAGACTTTTTTCAGGGGTGGATATGGGGGGACGTTGGAGGGGCGTTGCAGGGGGGGGGGGGGGTTGTCGACTTGTAGAGGTTGTGCAATCCTCTACATTTGTGTTCTCATTAACAAACGATGATTCTCAGACCAAGATCGTTCATACCAGCACTAAGTTTTTGAAGACCCCGGTAATCTCTAAGCTGTAAAACTGAGGCAGTTGGTGCTGCCAGGAAACTTGGACAGACTACCGACCACGCTCTTTAATGGAGGAATGTGTGAATAACGTTGTTTGGTCAGCATCTTACAGAATTTGTAAGATTGGACAACTGAGTGGATATCTTGATTGTTAGTCAGTTGAATGATTAGTGCCCGCATTTGTGTCACCCCATTTGGATTTCTGTATCGTCTTCTTTATGGACTTCTGCACTCTGAGGTCCGCATATTAGAAATATTTCTACAGCCCATCTTCTGTTGCTCACACTAGCCACCTATTTGCCAACGAAGCAATTACAAGATACTGAAGATAGCACTCCTGGTGCTCAAGGATCTCAACAATATGACCCCACAACTACTTGCTGATCATAAGCAGTAAGTGCACTGCGAGTAATTTCTTTTTCCCCAACATCTCCTCGGTCATCGTAATCCAGACAGAAAGAACTTTTATGGAGATGGATTGTTTGCTGAATCATCTATCACAGTCTGGACAATTTGCCTGCAATCGTTCAATCTATCAGGCATCTTAGTGTTTTTGACAAAGCTTTGAAACAGCAAGAAAAAGAACCACTTCTCTCAACGCTGGTTAATTACCTGAAAACCAAAGTTCTTCACAAAGAATATTAATGCCATAGTGTATCTGCAAACTAAACTCTTTAGGCCAAAAAAAAAATAGTTTTGCTTCCGGTTACCCTACCTACCTTATTTGACAGCCCCTACCCTAATTTTTTGGGGGGAAAAATGAGGGAAATGCCCCCAAAATTATCAATTACTACCTTTTACCCTTGACTACACGCAGACACCTCCATATGATCGTACACACAAAAATTGGCCAAAAAAAAAAAAAAAACCGAACTACCTACCCGATTTTCAAATGCCATGTAATCGGAAGCAGAAATATTTTTTTGGGGCCGTATTAGTGAACTTAAGTTTCTGCTCCTTACAAACATAAAGATAACATATTCACCATTAATGTTCCTTGCATCCAGCCAGAATGGTTTGTGAGTCCATGAAGTTAAGGTGATATCGTACTGCAGGAAGACCAAGCTACTACGGGAGTTCTGTGTTACCATGACGGCAATACCAAGCGTATCAGAAAAGCTGTCCAATGCAACATCATGGATTTCAATCTGGAAGACAAATAATGAAATATGAACATTTAAGTTGCAAGAAAACAATGTTAGGTTAAGTGATTTTCACGACCATTTTGTTAAAGCCATCAATTATCTGCCTAATGATTGTATTTCTGGAATTAAATTGGTCACAGTCACATTTCAAAGCGGAATTTGACTTGTAATTCTCAGCATTTACCAAGATGCACTTAACCAGTAGAAGTGCCAAAAGCAAAAAATGTATGAGTTGCTAAACCCTCCCTCTATCAAACAAATTTCAATGTAACATTTAAAGTACATGTGAGTAATGTGTATAGTCTGTCAGTGTTTTTAAGTGGTCCACACAATACCTTTATGATTTTTATGTATGTATGCAAATCTTGACGTCTAAAAGAGGATTACACTAGGTTCAACCATGCCAAACGGTTATTAGCGAGAGGCCAGAAAGAAAGTAAAACAGCCTACCGTCAGGTCTGTCATAAAACCAAGCAACTGGAAGACTGACAGTGGTAGAGTAATCTCCTGTGAGAAGAGATGGTGGTCGTTCAAACTCATGGTGCTTATCAGGAACAGACTGGAAGTGTTAAAGGATACAGCTAGGTGGCTCTAAAAACAAAGAAAAAAACCATCCAGTGGATAAAATGAAGTTCATCTTAATAACCTTTTTTCTAAAACTTTTTAATTCAATATGATGGATATTGCCCTGCAAACATATTATGAATAAACACAATGAAATAGCCCTAACTTCACTCTGCACTTTTGTTCAGTTATTTCAATTTCTTTTGTTTTCATTATGTTCCGCCTGAGGAGATTGATACAGCGGATACTCCTTATTCAAGATATATATATAAAAAAAACTTACATACGAAGTTTTGTGAATTATGTTTTATTATTAATTTGTTTTTTGGTGTTAAGTTTCATAAGAAGCTTATAAGCAAATTTTTAGAGAACTAGCAATTCTTTTTAAGACTTATTTTTCAGGGTCACGAAAATCAACACAAACACACTCATACATTTAATGAATAAACAGTTTAAAACAAACACCTACCAAGTTATTGTGTGAGAAGTGCACTGTTTCTCCATTGTACAGGGTGCCCCCCCCCCCATAAAAAAACCCCCAAAGCACCCTCTTTGTCACAGCTTTTTAAATATACATCAGAAATATTGATGCATGTTTGAAAAGTATAGTTCATCAGCTTTTTAGCAACAAACAAATCTTTCCAACTGGGAAAATATTTATTGAGTTATGACCAATTCAAGAAAGTGTTGCTTTTTCATTTTGTCCATGGTCTTTATAAATGTCATTTATTAGGAATGTTATGGATTTGGGGTGAGGGTAGTTTTGCTTTCTTTGATGTTTTTAATCTTTCTTTCTTTATTTGGTGTGTTTTTTTTTTGGGAACAATGGTCATTTCCTCTTTTTGGAAGGAATGGTAGGTCTAGTCCTGAAAAAGACTGTTTTGTTAAATGATTTCTAAGATGTTTACTGTTCTGCTCTGCTCTCTACTTTGTTGTTTCATGGATGCAAGTTTCGGACCTTGTTCTCATTGCAGCAGTCAAACATCGGACGCCGTAAAAAAATTGAAAAAGCAATATCTTTGTTTAATAAAGCACAACTCAACAAGTCTTGAACCGATTGAAATTATGTTTTCGGTATATTAAAGCTGATAAAATAACTTTGACTTATGCTTTATAAAGCTGTTAAAGAGGGCACTTTGAGTTTGTTTTGGTGGATACACTGCGCAAACTACATACAATTTTTTTGAAATAGCAGTGTACCATAACCTGAGTCCCCTGGCATGTTTCCTAGAAACCTTCCTGAATCCTCCAAAATCCATCAGTGTGCAGGAACCCAATGAGGCTTTAATGTACTTCCAATCTTTCGAGGGCCATCAAGTACCATATAGTGACTTTGCTATGTATTTCCTTTATCCAGCAAATCCTTCAAACCTCCTTAGATATGACTTTGAAGAATCTTAAATGTACCATTAGCTTCCTGCACCATGGAGAACTTTGAAGAATTCAAGACTGGTCCAAGTACAAATGGAAAAATTGCTTATGCCGCAGAAAAGAAAATACATTGAGAACACACAGGAAGTGTCCTTAAAGCTTACCCTATGTAGAGTTGGAGGGATGCACCAATCTCTGCCTTTCACAACAGACTGCCCTGTGAGCCCTAATACAAAAGAAGAATTCCAGTTATTCCCCATAATGTTAAATATTTCAGAAAAAGATTTCAATTATTGTCATATTGCAAACCCTAACATTATTTTGTGATCTACTATCCAACAGCAAGATGTAAGTTACAAATTTCTGGTATCAAAATAAAGCTTTCTTTATTTCTTTTGGTATGGAGCTTGCCCAAAAAGTGGTGCGGCGACGAGGCTTTTTTTTTTTTACCTGTTTTTTTTTTGCTTCAAATGTCGGCTGATGACTGCAAATAATACCCGACTAAACTTAGTGCAAATATATGGGAGTACAGACTCTGGTCTCCAGAGAGGCCACATAAAGCTTATTCTCAATCATAACCCCATCTAAAAACACGTTAATATTGTGCAGCAGCAGGATTCCAGTCAAACCAGTGAGTTTGGCAGTTTTGAGACATCATCTTTTATTGAAAAAAAAACTTTTTCATTTTGCCGACGCGCATGGCTACGGCGACGCGCGCGCATACCAGAAACCGGAGACTTTTTTTTTTGGGCCTAAGACAAGGGGACAGTACAGTATCATACCAACTGACTTGTACATTCAAAAGTTTTGCTCAACACAAACAGGCCACCAGCCAAAATGTTATGTGATGAAGCCTGCTTGTGATGGTACCAATTTCATGGATTCGGTGCTTAATCCTCCTGCTAAAGTGCTATTTGAACAGTCACAGACAGTCCAAATTTCCATCCACTTCCCCTGCTGTACTTTTAACACAGGCTTGTCACCAGCAGTCAGATCATATGTCAAGCAAGCACTGTGACTAGTCAAAGTCAGTCAACAGACCACGAACCGACAAAGCAGGCAAGTTGTGGGCACAGCTGGCTTATCAATCTCCCACAGTCAAAGCAAAGCTGTATCAAGTGACATAAACCATCACGGCCAGTCAATCCAGCTTATTGTAGGCTGGGAATTCTTAACTGTTGAAAACAGTCACTTGATCAATTTTGACCGAAAGGACAACTTGGCACAGAGTGTATGTTTGCATAGGAGGGTTAATAGTCATCATTCTTTGCTTACAGTGCTTGTGCAGAAGTTCTGCGCTAATCTCATAATCAAGGCATCTTCAGTTTGTGGATACTTTTGTTGGGTAAACATTTTGTACTAATTTGCCCCAAATGCAACCACTTTTTTCTGCTTAAGATAGCAAAGGATTATTGGCTTTTACCAATCCAAAATTACTGTTTTTGCAGAAACAGAGTGAATCTGATGATTCTGATCCTGAAGGTGCATACAATGTATTTGAAAACATTCCTTGCCAGTTTTAAAATGTATACTCACCAGCAATCAGGGTCAAGTTTTCCATCGTCCTGTGCAAACCATACACGTTGGAGTCTATCAGCAGTAGGAGGTGTGTGGGTGTGAAGGCAACACTCTGCACCTCAAGACTGAGATTCTGTCAAATATGAGATCACTGCATTATCTGTGTGCATTACATTAGAGATCTGATGCGGTCACTTGAGTCACTGTGTCACGCGCAATGTGGGAATCTGGGTAAATTCGGAATTCGCCCAGGGCAAAGTGGGAATTCCAACACTAGTACTGCGCGGCAAAGTGGGAATGTTGCCTTTGCGCTACTAATCAACCTGAGCAAAGTGGGAATTTTGATCAATCTCCTACATGAAACATTAGTAATATTTCCACACTGCCTTACTATACAGAACCTGGGCAAAAATGAAGTGGGAATTTAGGTCTATTATGATTTAATTTTGCTGTAGATAAGGGCTGTTCAAAGTGCCCGTTGGTAATATTCCCACTTTGCCCGGTTTCGGTGGTAGCGCAATGTGGGAATCTTACCCATGGGTAAATTCCACACCAATTACCTGTAGAAAAGTACATCAAATTAACAAAATTCCCACTTTGCCCAGGTTTAGTAGTAGCGCAATGTAGGAAGAGTAATTTCAACACCCCTTGACTATAGCAGTTACATTTTTGACGGAAATTCCCACTTTGCCGAGGTTCAGTAGCAGCGCAATGTAGGAATATTAACAATGGTTAATTTTAACACCCCTTCCCGATTTATGGCAAGTAAAATCACAATTTTAACCGGCACAGTATGCTTCTGTGTTAATGACAATCATCAAAGTACATTGAAAACTTCGTACAATTGTCAATATGTATAAAGTTTTGGATGCATTCCTACTTTGCTGGGCAGTATTGGAATTCCCACTTTGCCCAGCATGAGGCTGCGATCCAGCCAGGCAATTTGTGGGCCCAATTACACTGTCTGCGCACTAGCCATGGAAGGCATCAGGCTTTTCCCCATCAAATACGGTTGCAGGCAAATGATAATCGTGGTTATGGTTGTACAGAAATTACAGAATCAGAAACTGGCTTTGTGGAGCTACATGTAACCTTGGTTCTCAATGCATTGTTCGCGTAAGGGTATAAATGTGTGCCCTTTTCATTTTGTACCTTAATCAGGGTTAATTGTTCTACTCATGCGAACATTATATTGTATATTAGCATTAGTGACACACGTACAAGGCTCATCAAGACTTCTTCAAAAAAATAAAAAATAAAGATCTACTTTTGTAGATTTATCCTGTTTATGCACTTTAACCCGCCTTCTATTTAAACAGTCACAGACATGTGGTCCAAATTTCCATCCACTTCCCCTGCTATACTTTTAACACAGGCTAGTCACCAACAGTCAGATCATATGTGTTAAGCAAGCACTGTGACTAATCAAATTCAGTTAACAGACCATGAACAGGCTTGTTGTGGGCACAGCTGGCTTATTCATCACCCACAGTCAAAGCAAAGCTGTAACATTAGCTACATAAACTGTCACAGCCAGTCAATCCTGCTTTATGTAGGCTCGGAATTCTTCACTGTTGAAAACATACAGTCACTTGATTGATTTTGACTGAAAGGACAACTTGGCACAGAATGTATGTTTGCATAGGAGGGTTGATATTCCCAAAGCTCTGTTTGGAAACAAAATATGCTGAACCCCTTCATTTCTGACCAATGCCAATGTTTACCCTCAATGCAATTTTTAACTGTACAAAACAGGGTGAGAAAAAAAATATGAAAGCCTAATTCATAAGCTATCTTTTAGTATAAGAATAATTTGAATCACTCATGTACTTTTCAAGTTACAGAAATTTAAACACAACCACCGTTTTAAGGTTCTATGCATGGATCACAAAAAGGGTTCAGTGTTCTTTCAACAAAACGAAAACAAATCACATAGGGATGTGTGTGAATTGTTTTCGTTTTGCTGAAAGGACGCACACTTTCTTTTGTGATCCGTGGACAGAACTTTAAAACGGTGGTTGTGTTTAGAATTCAATAACTTGAGAAGTACATAAGTGATTTGAATGATTCTTGTACTAAAAGAAAGCTTATGAATTGGGCTTTTATGTCCTCGATTTTGAAAGTGCTACATGAAGAACTTCAATTAAACAACAGTCCCGACATTTGGGTGTTGTTTTTTTTTTAGCTCACCCTGTATTGTCCACTTCTGAATACATGTACTTGTTTATTGACAGACTTCCTTTGAATTTGTGCCACAAGATCCTTAACTATTGTCTCCCTGGAATCTTAAAGTTTGATGTAAATTAGTATTATTTGCTATACATGAAGCTCATGCGTGATTATTTAATTTGCCATTGAATAAAGGATTAATATTGCTAATCTCACCAGGCTGGTCACTCATGTTAAGAGACCTACCTACCTACCTGTGCTAGATGAAGTGGTAAAGTGAGATTCCTTGAAGTCAAGAATCCATCCTCTGTAAGGAGCAATAAATTCCTATGTAACAGAAAGAAAGAGGTGACTGAGTACAAAGAGAGCATTTTTTTCTTATCTTCCCTTTTATCTTAAATGGGAGGGGGAGACAGCAGCTTCTATTACAGAAACAATGCTACAATGACAAAATGTATTCTTCAAATGGAAATCCATGATAATTACAACTGCAAAGCTGTAGTCCAATTGAGCAAGGGCTTTGTAATCACTGTCAAAAAGACTCTTTACCAGTTGATCAAGAAATAAGTTAAAACCGACCTGAAACGACCCGAACCCGAACTGACCCGAAAAAACCCCGAATACCTGGCTCGGACAAAGTGATCGCTTTTTTGTGCCTGCCCTTACCCACGTGGCATGAATTCTTTTGCAAAACCATCGTCTCTCTACACTCAGTGGGCTGATCAAGAGCAACTGGGCTTATTGAACAAACGCATGGTATCACCACGCAGTATCATGAAAACTGTTACAATCTATCTATTTCACTGTCAGTCCTGATCTGACTGGAGACATTAATACCATGGGAACTTGATAGTACGCACGTTGGCCACACCACAATGGGCTGCGGTCACAGTGACTGTCAATAATATTGCATCACTTGAATTTCTCAACTGTTTTGGTTTATTTGGGTTTATTTCGGTTTTTTTCCAAAAGATGGCTAAACCAACCCGATCCGACCCGACCCGAAAATGTAAATACAAAACCGAAACCAACCCGACCTGACTGAAAAGATGGACCAATCGACCCGATCCGACCCGAAGTCCGTTTTGGGTCGGGTCGGTTTCGGGTCGGGTTTGCACATCATTCATCCACACTACAATCTGTGATTGAGCTGTTATTTTTTGAGCACTTTTTGCCCAAGCCTGTGGATAATAACAAATTAACAGTCTGGCACCCTACAATAAATGTTCAAACTTTCAAATTTCAGGAGAGATTAAAAGTGTAAGTCTGAATGGAACTTTCACAGCAAATCTGCCAAAAAACTACTGATAAGCTTGTCTTGAAGAAAAAAAAGGGACAGTGATATTGAAAGAGAATCTGCTTCCCCCACCATCTCATGATACCTGAAAGTCTAATCAACTTTTCTTAAAGTTGTGTATAAAATACACTTTGCTGAAATCAATCTACACCAAATCAAAATATTTGCCATCTTGCCTTTTAATTTTAACCTTTGACTTACTGAGATAAGAGAATGGCAACGTGACTAGCACAGGGATCTTGAACAACTCTTGTTGGATACCCAGCGAAGTGATGGAGCTGAGCAGTCTGGCCTTGGATTGCCACAGACAACCAGTTGTTTGTTAGCAACACAGTGGTGTCACTGCATATAGGGAGCAAATATTGAAAAAGATGACTTTTGGTTTATGCACAAATGGCAGGAATCAACACATTTTATATGTAATTTTATTCATAAGATGGAACTTTGCGTCGGGGTGATGTACATTAGATTTGAACCAGCCAACCGATCCCGTTAGCTCAGTGGTCGAGTGGTAAGACATCTGCACTAGAAAGCAGGAGGTCGTTGGTTCGAGTCCCACCCGAGTGACTTTTTCCAACTTTCACTCGGGAGGTAACACACTGAGTATACAGTGTTAACATACGTTCGTGAAGGGCAAAACCTAATTTGATATGTAATTTTCTTTGCACTACGCAATTACAGGTACAGGTCTAATGTCATTTTGACAAAGCTCTACAATTAAGCATGCTTCTGTACACATTCTCAATGGCCTGAGATGATGTTTGGACATTTTTCGCTAAGATTTATTTCCCACAATCCCCCTGCAGCCCACCCACAACGACACATCCTTCAGCGTACAGACGCTTGAATGAACACCATTATAGACTCCATGCATGTACAAGAGATGGTGCTTTCTGACCATGCACATTTGAGAGCCCTCGTTTGGGTGGGGCAGGGCGGGGCGGGGCGGGACAGGACGGGGCGGGGTGGATGCACCACATGCGCATACTGGTCTGTGCGCTGTGGCGCAGAGGACGCAAGGCCAATTTTATGCAAGTGAACAAGAGAAGTGAATGAGATGGTCAAAAGCTTTGCAGAGAGAACATTTCCTGATCAAGCTGGGGTTGCTCTCATATGGCACAAAGCAGTGAAAGGCAAGGAGTGCACGAATTGCCATTTTCTTAAAAAGGGATTGTACATGTAGGAATTGCTGAGATTGAGCAAGTGTCCCTCTGCTTGACAAAGCGGTAGAGGCAAAGATCGGCATTGGTTGATGCCACACAGGCAGCAGCACCGCTCATCTCCAAATGGGGAGTGAACAAATTGCCAAGTTGGGGCAAGTGTAACCGTTGTCAACAAAGGAGACCACTCCAAAAACATTGGAGAAAACGCCGTGGTAACTACAAAGCAAAGCGTACCTGAATGGATATAGAGTCGACTGAAAAAGACTGAACAAAACAAGAGGCCAAGACGGAGCTAAGAAATTAAATCACATATTTTACGACTGCATGCTTAGTCTTGAGTCAAGACATTGTTGATAAACCACTTTGTCAATAACCTGCCCAGTGAGAGGGCGTTATAATGACGACGAACCGCTATCACCCCCGAACCACCAGAAACAATGTCTTGGGAATTTTGTAGCAGTTGTGTAATGCATGTGCACCTGTTTGGCCTAATATATGGAGGGTGCATGCATTCAAAATCTTTAATGGTAGTTCTGAACCAAACTCTTAAATTTCTTTAAGTAGCATACAAGATGCAGCAATACTTTTTTGCAACTTGGTAAGTCTTTTGTGGTGTTCTTTTAATAGTATGAATGGGACTGAAAATAGACCGTAATTTCCTACAGAGCTGGCGCACAAGTTTCCCCCCATTTTTCGGGGGAGATTTTACAAGAATTCCTAGGTGTTGTTGGTGGCGGTTCGTGGTGATAGCAGTTTGTCGTGAAAGCGCCCTCTCGCAGCAGCGAGTTATCGCAGCGTCAGGTTATGGCTTATCAAACCACAACAACATCTTGCACCTGGACTACTGTATGCTCAGAGCAACGAGAACTTGTCATGGTGGGGGGCATGGGAAATATATTTTAGGGAATAGCTTGCGCCCTTTAGGGGATATTGCCTATGTAGAAATGCTCCACAGGGTGGTTAAAAAAAAGGAAACCCACTTTTGACAGCAATTTTCACCTACGTACTGAACTTATTTCAAATATTTTTTCACATAGTAGTAAAGTATGGGCCTTTAACCATGCACTGTGAAAAAGCTTAGTAAAAAGTCGCAAAAACAGTGATATTATGCTAATTTGAATACAAGTCACCAAAATCAGTCTTGTCCACGTTTTTTTTTTTAAATAACATTATTTTTACCTATCTGTACAAGATTTGGCGCTTTTAGGAAAAAGGTGCACAATTAAATACATGTAGTAACTATAACACACATCCGCTGAGCTATAGTACGGATGGATCAGCATGACAATAATTGATTTTTATTTCGTAAAGATAGGGCACGTTAATGCATGCATCGTCTACTATAACAACAGCAGATGGTACAAAGCTAAACAAAAATAAATGTATCTCATTTTTTAAATTTTCAATCATCCCACCCCCCCAATTCATTTTCGTGTATTTAATTGCAACCCTCACACAATTAATTACTTCACGGGATGGACAAGCAAGTGACGACCAACGTTCCACGTCGGCAGTCGATCGCGAGAAGGCTCTGCACTGGTAAATCTTGGCTGGTGAAACGCACACCTTTTGAGCACATTTTATACCGTAAAGTACCGGTGTTTTTCTAGCCATCACAAGATGGGGTGGTCCGCGAGACACTGGTGGCGTATGACCACCGCAGCGTGTCTGGTTGTAGTCATCGGGCTGATGTCTATCGAAGTCGGCATGCTGGTCAAGCAACGATCTACCAAGAGCCCGGTGCGTCCGGTAACTACCACGTAAGTTGCAGTTAGAATGAAAATCCTATTTTATGTGTGATATTCAATTGCTGGATACCGCTGCAATAAATCTGCTGGCGTATCATAGACCCTTGCTGTGCAAGGAGATCTTCAATAGACTAAGATGCCTTTACGTATCCAGACAATTTTTCTCTTAAAACTTTTTTTTAATGTCAGGAAGATTAACGAATGGACCAGGCAGAAGCTGCAACATGTTGAACAGAAGAAGGGAACGGACGACATGTCTGCTCCCAATCCCTGCCAACCCAACCACCGCTTCGTGTTCATAAAGATCCACAAAACTGGTAGCTCCACCATCGCCACGATGCTGGAGCGCTACGGCTACCGGCGCGATCTCAACTTCGCGCTGCCCAGCGGAGCAGTCCACTACTTCCCCATGAGCAACCAGAGGTACCGTTTTGACACCCCGCGGCTGGTCTTCCAGTGGAACCTGATGGACTGGAGCGGCGCCCTGGTCTGGCCGGCGCTGGGCGGGTACCAAGTCTTGGTGAATCACGCTCTGTACAACCGTACCGTGGATGAAATTCTTATTCCAAACGCCGTATATTTCACCATGATAAGGGAACCCATCGCCCGAACCGAATCCTTCTTCAGGTACTTCCTTTTCGACCAGGCGGTACCCCACAAGGCCAACGAAGACCCTCTTGAAGTCTTCATGAGGGACCCCCAAAGACACACCCAGAAAATGAGCAACAACAAATGGAACAAGTATTTCAGGAATGGCCAGTTTTTCTCTCTGGGGTTGGAGCGGGAAGATTACAAGAATCTCCGGGTGGTAGAGGCTGCCATCAACTCGTTGAGTCGCGGCATGGACCTGGTGATGCTGAACGAGTACTTCGACGAGTCATTGTTACTCCTGAAAAAGCTCATGTGTTGGGATTTCCAAGACATTGTGTACATCTCCAAAGCGGTTCGGAGACCCAGCGGAAACCACACAAGCATCCCGGCGGGGATGAGAGACAAAATTCTCCGGTGGAACGCAGCTGACCTGAGGCTCTACCAACACTTCAACCGGACTTTCTGGACCAAAGTCCAAAAGTACGGTCCGGAATTTGGGCACGATTTGGACACGTTCCGGGCGATGAAGGAATCCGCAACGCAAGCTTGCATGGCAACGGGGAGCCGCCAATGGGATTGGCACAACTCCAGCTACTGGGAATTGCCGCCAAATGCCAGCGAGAAATGCCAAGATTACGCGAGAGATGATAAAGCTTGGGTCATGCTTGTAAGATCGCGCATGCGCGCAAAAAGCAACACTTTCATCAAATACAGAAATGGATAATAAACAGAACCTTTTTACAATCAACTGTTAATTTTGAAGGGCGTACTTGATATAGAAAAAGAACAATTCTCAACAATAAAAAGTGAATGCTGCAGATTTTAGGTATTTACTAGTTCTATGTAAATTGGATGTTTTCGTAGTTCATAAAAATTAAAAAACCTTCCCACCAAAATATATTTTGCCCTGGTAACTTTTATTTAAGCTTTCCAATTATTCATGTCAGTGTTAAGATCATCTACTCAATGAGGTGTCGGCTAAAGTTCATTGTTGCATAACATTACATAACATAACAATCAAATGTCATGCCCTTTCAAATTAAGCTGAGCTCAGTCAAGCGAAGGGAATGTATACATCTGACGACAAACTGGTTTCGCACATGAAATGTTCAAATTAGCATAGCTCAACGACAAAATGTGCAAATGCAACGATTTTTTTCGTCAAATTTGCTTAAGGGCCAGTACTTTAATAGCTACAAATCGACAGTTACAAATAATTTTTAAAAATAGGTGAAAATTGCTGTCAAATGTGGTTGTTCTTTTTTTTAACCCCCCTGTACAGGTAAGACAATAACATTACTATGATGAAAAAATTACATTAAATGGCACTTTGAACTGCAAAATCAAGGCAGAGAGTCATCATATACAGCATGTACTGTACGTTAAGTTACCTACCCTATGAAGCAAGCAAAAACAGTTCTGTCTGGACTGCCCATTATCTTCAGCTCCAATTCTGAATAGACAGGAATTCTAACAAGTACTTCCCAACACCTGCCAAAATGTTTTAAAAAGGAAGAGGAAAACAATTGTTGATATAGAATGTACAGAATTTGATTATTGGTAAACTTTAAGTACATGTACATGTAATGTTTCGTTTCATTTATGCCAATTTCAAAATTTGGCTTCTTTGGTGCCCTTTTGAGCCACTTCCATCAACAGCTCCAACATACAGCTTATCATTAACTAGAGATTAATTTGAAAAACTAATATTTCATTCTCATTAATTAATTCATTTATCAAATGATTACCATTAGTTCAATTAAGGGGTCCATGCATCCTGTCAAACCCCTGACCTTTTAATCAGGTTCCAATTTTAAGACAAAAATTTAACAGAAAACAGGTGAATAATCACAATCACAACTAATTTGAACTGATTTCAAGATTATAGGCCTACTTGTACATACACTGTAACATGTGACCCTCCATTACAAATTTTGCTGTTATGACTCAATGAGTGGAATTAGTTAAGAATTGTACCAGGAAAACATATTACAGCCATGACTATTTAATTCACTTCTTCATTATTTGATAAAACAGTTTTATGCTATCCTGAAGGGTGTTCTGATCTTCAGTGTTCGCAGCCCAAAGGGATTTCACTACGTTTGGCACAACAAAAAGCATTCAAAATGTTTTCCACTAAGCCATAATCAGCTAGCATTAATATTAATACCAGTCATAAAACAAACAATTAAGTAATGAGTCTGTCTACAAGCAGTCTTTAAACATGCTGAGTTTAAAATATTTTAAAAGAAAAAATATCACTATTAGAAACAAATGAATGCATAACTGACCCCCAGTCTTCATTGAATGTGACATTGTCAACCTGTAGCTGTTGTTGGTTGGTGGCATGAACCTGTTGCACAGTTGGTCGTTGCCCATTGTCATGGAACTTTCTTGTGAAAACTGCAGAATACTACACATACATTGTAATTTTTTTGTCTTTTAGGAAAAGAAGCTTTGGAGTGAAGTTAAATTATCAAGTATCAAATGGCAATTTCAAGTGCTATATACGTGTACTCTATGATTTGAATGTGTAAATTTCCCATGGATATAATTGCTGTCTCAGTGAAAAGTTATTTCAGAGTGCCCTTTCTGAGTCAAGTTTAAATAATACCCAGGGGCCAGGACAATCATGAAATGTCATAGGTCTCTCTCAAAGATGGCCATCTCTGTAGGAGAACTGCTACTGCGTATTTTACATACGCAATCAAGCACCCATTGCGCAGTGTTGAAAATGTTCCAAACAAGCGTGCTTGTTGCTCAATATGTCGCAGCCAATGCGCGTTATGCAAGTTAACGCTCAAAATGCCGATGCACGTGGCTGGTCTGTAGGAAATGACGTCATTTGAAAGAGACCTATTTCTACACACATTAGTTTGTCCACAAGTATATCTGCTTGTCTCTGAGTGACAAATACATGTACACATATAATTTTAATTAAGCGTAGGACGTTTGGACGTTGTGTTATTTAGCAAAGATTTGTATTAAATGTACGTACCCCTTTCATCCCTTTACAACCGTAGATACAAAGTTTTTTTAGCAAAAAACGAGGCTGCCATAATCCATATCGTACAGGCATCGCGAGTTTTGAATAACAAAAAAAAATCATACGTGACGTGACATGCAAAGCACGTGAGCGCATTATGGGCGTGCAATCTTTGACATGCGCACGCAGTACGCTCTCAATAGCCATTCAGCATCGTTTACGTGTACATCACGGCCAGGGGTTAGTAAAGGAACACGCACGCGCCCATGGAGTCGAGGCTGGTTCTGAATGCCCTTTTTAGTGGGGAATTTTCCAAATGAAAATCAGGCTACAAGTGTTTGATTTCCTTAAAAAAATTGCATAGCAAACACTGCTATGCAATATTTTTCTTTGTATAGCGATTCCCTAATTTTGTGCAGCCATTTTTTTTACGCAATATACAATTGCATGAAATCACTGAATATCCATTAAGTTATGGGAAAATTCTCCTCCTAAATACAGGGATGTTTTTGGACTTTGACCACAATTACGAGAAGTTACAGGCACTTCAATACAGGTTGAGTAAAAAAAGAAACGAAACCCAAATGTCGGGACTACTTTTTATTGAAGTTCTGCATGTAGCAGTTTCAAAATCTAGGATATGAAAGCCAGATTCATAGTACAAAAAACATTCAAATCACTTATGTACTTTTCAAGTTACGGAATTTTAAACACAACCACCGTTTTAAGGTTCTGTCCACGGATCACAAAAAAGATCAGTGTTCTAAAAAAAGGCGTACGTTCTTTCAGCAAAGCGAGAACAATTCACACACATCCCTATGTGATTTCTTTTTGTTTTGTTGAAAGAACACTGATCTTTTTTGTGATCCGTGGACAGAACCTTAAAACGGTGGTTATGTTTAAAATTCTGTAACTTGAAAAGTACATGAGTGATTTGAATGATTCTTGTACTCAAAGAAAGCTTAGGAATTGGGCTTTCATATCCTACATCCTCAAAAATGGTCCCAACATTTGGGTTTCATTTTTGTTTTTACTCACCCTGTATAATGCAAGCCACTGCCAAATACATGTTATTCAGATATACATACAGGCTTCCAATTGATGTGATGCTCAGAGGGGTGAAATGTTTACCTGTGATGGAGTGGTTGCAGTGTTATTCTGTTCCTCATCACCTGCCTCGGTCCAATCGATGACCCATACTCTCAGTGTTTCTATGGTCCACTGACCAGGTCTGGGGTCCCGATCATGCCATCTGAGAAACAAAATCTGACATGCTGTAAGGCAGTGTTCAAATTACTTGGCTCAGGCTGGTAATTACTTACAGGCAAAATACGCCAGGCAAAATCCACTTCTGACAGGTGAGCATGTTATTGCCGGAGCCAAGTAACTTGGACAGGGCCTATATAAGAATATTACTCATCCTACCTATATTTTGCTACTCAATTTAAAAAAAAAAGTAATACCAAAGCATAACAAAAATAAAAAATACAAAAGGATGTTAATTTCACACGTGTGTTACATATATAATTACCTAATTGGAATTTCTTACAAGTGGATTGGCTTGACAAACAATATCCTATGTTTTTTCTTGAAAGAAAAGCTTTTATACAGTCCTACCAGACGAGAAGTCATCCTCAGCCAACATCAGCGAGTGGTGAACTCATACGACTGAGCCCAGTATTACGCTGCTCAAGTGAGCTCAGGGGGGTCACCTTACACATGGAAATCTTGGCAAAAAGAAATGCTTCGTTGGGTTTCTTGAATTTTTGTGATGCTAGTGGAATGCAGCAACAGGACACATAGTTAGGAAAGCATTCCGCATGCGCCGATGCCTTCCATTAACATGATTGATGTTGATATTGTGTAATGATAAATTTATAGTCTGGAAAAATTTCGCAGTGATAGACAATTTTCCTACTTATAAGGGCAAGTACAAGTGTACTAATAAAGGTCCAAAAGACTTCTCTTTTAATAGCTAAATGATCATTTATTTTGATAAACTCCAATTGATGGAGCCCTTAACATCCAAATATCAATAGAAAAGAGATTTACTTTAGCCAGCTCCCATTTGACTTTCCTCCACCATTCCCAAGGTACATGCATTTACTCCTTGGCCCTAGCTGAAAAACTCTGTTCCCGACTGGATACTCGTCACAATAACTCTAGACTCATTTTTAAAAATACTTCCTGGTGAATGAAATCTGCCAATTCCCTTCTGGATATTTGTCAGCTCCCTGCTGAATACACTGTGCCAGCTCCTGACTGGGTACTTGTCATTTTGTTACAGAACGAACTCCGCCAGGTCCTAACTGGAAACTTGTCACTTTCTAAAATGGACTCTGCAAGAACAGTTAAGATTGACAACTCCCCGCTGAATGAACTATAATCACTGAATACTTGGTTCCCATTTACTTGTTAGCTCCCTATTGAATGAACTCTGCCAGTTCCTAACTGAATACTTGGTGGCTCACAGCCTAATATGCTCCGCAAGTTCCAAACAGAAACTTATTACATGTATGTGTTTTTTCTGGGGGGGGGGGGGGGGCGGTGAGGGGCGCTAAAAACTAGAAACCCTAGGCTGTCTGAAACAAAGTTAATTACAGCAACACAATGATGACAGAAAGACATATTTTTTACAGATCTTTTACTTCTTTCATTCAAAGCAAAAATGCACATGACTTACACTCACTTACAATGTACAAATCACTGAACACAAAGTACATGCACATCATAGGAGAGACAATTTTTTCACACCAGACACTTTATTAATTCATGCAGAAGGTATTGAAATTTATGGCTGCATAGCTACAGTATCAAGATAAATTCCCTTATATTTTAGAGACTCATCTAGGCGTTGCTCTTAAAACTAGGGCGAACAAGATGAAGGCATTGTCTGACAGATCTCAAAAATCCAAAAGAATACACGCTTGTACAGTACCACCACTTCATTGTCTTCAACTCATCCAAAGTAGGCAACTTGATCCACGCATCAGTAGCAGTTACCCATTCACTAGCTGTAGATATTGCATTTTATTTGCAATCACCCAGCAGCGCACTAGGCTTGGTAGCATTTTGTCAGAGATACACCATTTTTGGTCATGTTCGGCGCCTCAAGCTCCGGTCCCTGCTCATCTTGCCCTTGATGCTGCCATCCAGTTCAACCTTTTTTTGGCAACAGCCTGCAACTTGGACGAGGCCTCATGGTCATCCCAGGCTTACCAGTCTTAAGTAGGTTGCGGATGTTGTGCAGCTGTCACCAATCGAGTGCTGATCTCTTGCCCTTGACCGGGGAGGTTGAAGGTCACTACGATCCGTTAATGGTCAAGTCCAGCAGAAGTGGTAGAAATAACAAATGGCATCCCGATTTTCAGGTTGTAGTCAAGCAATGAGTTAATAAAAGTGTTCTTTTTGAGGGAAAGGTTTTTTTTCACAGTGGCTACAATTACAGAAGCAGGCTAAACCACCGCATGTGTCATTTGTCAATGGAATAGTTCTTGGACTTTACAATGTACTTCACGTTTGAAAATCCTTCAAAGCCACCATCCTTAAGAATGAATAAGATGGTTTCAAGCAAAATTTCATTTGCAGAACCTTTAAAAATAAAGAGATTCAATGCAGTACCACTGGCACACAGAGGCAGCAGCTCACACCTGATGAGCTACAAAACTACTTCAAACAATCAAGCCTAGTAAATTAAAGACAATGTGAAGAGGTACGAGCATTTTGGATGTAACTTTTATTTTTCATATGATGCACATGATACAATTACAGTAAATGTACCAATGATTGGAAACATGGACTTCTGAACAAGACTGTTAATTAGTTTATTCAGACACAATCCCAATTTACAATTATTTCGGCTGAATAATGTTAGTTGTGTGTTTGTCTTTACAAAAATTATTTCATAATTTTTAATGTCCACTTAATCGACAGAGCTTGTTGATGTTTTTGTTTGAAGCAAAGATTTTGTTGTCGTCGGGGTTTAGCCATCTCAGATCAACGGATCTGGTATTCTAACAGTCTGCCCACTTCAATCTGGGATTGGTCTCAAATCCTCTGGCTGCAGCCCTCCTCGTGTGAGCCAGTTTGTGGCTCAGTTGACCGATGGCCAAGCCATATATACTCTGGGGAACTGGTTGCAAGGGTGGCTGTCCGAGGGTGGTGGTCTTCTTTCAGCCTGTCGATCCGCATGATTTTAAAGCTGTGCACTTTCAGATGAATGGCATTTCTCCACGCTTTACAGTTGATAACCAGCGTCTCAAAGTTCTTGATGTCGCATTTCTTCAGCTTGACTTTAAGTTGGTCCTTAGTGGCTCCGATTGTCCTTGCCCCGTCTGCCAGCTTGCTGTACAGGAGGGCTTTCAGTAGCCGGGCTTCATCCATTCTCAGCTCAAGTGACCTTGTGATGGAGTCCGTCAGAGACTGAGCAGCCTCTTTTGTATGTGCTGCGAGAGCATAGTCATCTGCGAACAGCAGCACTGTGCAGGAACCTTGGTCTTGGCTTTCAGGCAGCGCAGGTTGAAGATTCCACCTTCACACCGGAAGTTGACGACAATGCCATGGTCGCAGTCGTTGTATGCATCGGGGATCATGGTTGCGATTAGGATCCCCAACAGCAGCGGGGCAAAGACACAGCCTGCTCAGTTCTCCACACAAAACAGTTCCGACTGCCCGCCACCGTCTGTGACGTGGGCCTTCATTCTGTTGTGAAAGTCCCAAATTATATTTGACAAGCTTTTCTGGACAGCCCACACACAGTACAGTGTAGCAGTTTTCACAAGCCCTTTCGACTGACAGAGTTGAATGGTTTCGAAGGAGACGAATATCAGATAAAGGTCCTTATAATGCTCCCTACATTTCTCCTGTAGTTGACGGGCCGCGAAGATCATGTCCATGGTTCCTCGGTTGGGGCGAAAGCCGCACTGACTCTCTGGACTAAAATGCTCTGCCAGGTCAGCAATGCGGTTGACGATCACTCGGGCCAATATCTTTCCAACAATGATGAGTAGAGAAATGCCCCAGTGGTTGTTGCAATCGGAACGTCCCCCTTCCTCTTGTAAAGGTGGATAGCATCTGTGAATTCCTGCGGGACCTGTTACTTTTACATCAATCACTTACAACACTCTTAACACGTACATTGTAACACATGCACGAATGATTGGAGACATGGAAATATTTCCACCAGACTGTTTATTACTGCACTCAGGCAGATCACATTCACACTTAATTTAAGGCCGATTATTATTAGCTGATGGTGTGAGTTGAGTTTTTCAAAGCAGTGTACAAGTAACAATATGAGGGAAATCACCAAATTCTGAAGTGTTTTTATTTTAATGTTATTCACCATTGCACCTATCGTTAAGTTAAAGTCTTGTACAACAGAAGGTCACACAATTTTGTTGCCATGCAAAGTTCCTGTTGACATCAATGGCCATTTCTTTAGCGTGACTTTTAGTTGGTCCTTGAATCGCTTTCTATGGGCTCTGATCGTCCTTTGCCCTGTATGCCAGCTCGCTGTATCTATAGGAGGGCTTTCGGTAGCCGGGTTTCATCCACCTTCAGCTCAGCTGACCTCGTGATGGAGTCCGTCAGAGACTGGGCATGCTCTTCTGTATGTGCTGCAAGAGCACAGTCATCCCTGCAAATAGCATCACTGTGCAGGACCTTGGTCTTGGCTTTCAGGCGGTGTAGGTTGAAGATTCCACCTTCGCACCGGAAGGATCCTGTTCGTCCCCCAAGTTGATGCTGGCCCATGCACTGACAGTAGATGATGGCATTACTCACAGGTGCTCCAGTGGAATTAGGGCACACACCGCATATGCGCACTGGTTCGCATGTACTGGCTCACGCACACCTGATGCAAAGTACCACACTTAAATTTATTCAGAATGTGCACAAATCCGTGTCATCTTCGCATGAGCGGCAGGTGTCATCGACAATGGACTGATCCAGTAAGCACCGCCCCATGGTATTCTGACCAATCACAGCTGTGATTTATGTCCGACATGCGTGCACAAAAGTCCGACGTGCATGCACGCAAGTATGATGCGCGCGGCAGGAAAATGCAGTGTGGCATTGGAGAGAAGCGCGTGTTAATTTGCCCACGTACGCAGTGGGAGGGGCTTACTGGATCGGTCCATTATTTAAGTGTTCCTCCCAGTTGTCTCCCCTAACTTTCTGTTATTAACCATTGAGGAGGTACATGTAGTTATTGACAGCCTCCATTGGTTATGTATCCAGTGGAGATATCACAGTGACCAAAGGTCTTTATATGGTATTTGCTTAGAGGCATTTTATTGCTAATATTTCCATATCAAATGGAAATACCTCAAGCGTGTGTCTCATCACATGCAACCAAAGTCAAAACAAAGTGCAATATTATCTAGTTGATACATTGGTTGTCTAGTGAGCACCATCTTGAGTCGATATATCAGCTTGCTGTACGTCGCATAGGCCTACCACAGAGTTAATTTGGCAAATTTTAAAAACAAAATCTGGAATTTGTTACATTTTTTACCCCCAACTTTGCTAATTTTTGTAGGACTTCTAAGGACTACATGTACGACAGACATACCTCTGCACTGATTCATGCTGTCGTAATGGTTTCAAGTTTGGCCTCATTTTGCTGCACCTTCTGCCCACCGATTTGTTAATGTGAGAAGCCAGACTTTTGAACAAATCACACTGAAAATATACTGATACTTTTAGCTTCTTCACAACTCGCAACAAACCGTATTCAGGACACCATGTACCGGTATTTATAGTCTCTCATGCAGAAGTCTTTAAAAACTCATTTTAAAATCTCATTTAATTCGGGCGATTCACAATGCGGTGCGCCACCAAGAGTGTGCCATGGAGGGTTAATTTTTCCCAGTGCATTGTGGGAGATGGTCGACAAATTCGCAGAGTGGGACATTTGAAATTGTCACTTTTTTCCGGTCAGTAGTTTCGTAAGCGTATGATTCGAGGATCTGTTTGCCCTTATCTTTTCCTTTTTAGCAATGTGGCGTTTTTTGCAAGACGGCAGAACGCTATGCCCCAATCTATAACATATTAGTTCAAGTTGTCTACTGACACTCATTCAAATGGGCCATGTTTTGTCGACTGTAAACTTGAAAAATTTACGCTCCATGGCAAACTCTAGGTAGCGCACTGCATTGTGAATCGCCCGAATTGAACATTCTTACATGGGTGCTTGGTTGACTGACACTGCATACCATCGATAGCACAATGGATTGTTCCTGACAGCAACAGTTTTCCCAACAGACACCTGCAGAATGACCATTGGGAAGGGGGCAAAAATTAATCATGGGTAGGCCTACATTATAAACTTGAGATACATACTAAAGCACTTGCCAAACATGCCAAAATTCAAATCTCGGAAGTTGCTGGTGAGGTTGTTTCAAAGGTTCGCACGATAATACCACCGCATGTTCGGATGCACCAATACAGCAAGATGCAAGTGGGTATACAGCGAGCTTTATGGCTTTACGGTGTAAACTGCAGCTTTCGCGAGTGTCATAAATGTGAAATATGTTTTGTTTTTCCATGTGGCCTAGTTTTCATTTTGAAAATTCCCCTTAAATGACTTCAAAACCTTTCTTTTTCATTGTCTGAGAAGTAACTAAGTAATTTTTGTAAAGTTGGTTACAGGTACCTGATCCCATCATCTAGAACCTGTTCCTGATATTAACGGTCGGGTACTCGGGTACCCGGTCCCGATGCATGCACAGCCCTACCTAATCATACTTTTCAATCTTTCACTGAACAATGTCGTATTTCCATTTGTATTCAATTATAAACAAAATTCGCCAAAATTTGTACAGCCATTATACAATGACAAAACAGAAAATGTACATGTACACCTATAGATCTACATCCAGACACTGTAGGAGGGAATATTGCAAAGGCTGTTTCAGATGCCCAATGAGCAGGGGTAATAGGAAATGTACTCAAGGACTTTTTATAGAATTATAAATACCTACCATTCCTATTGGTTGAGAGACTGTCACTGGTTTTAAACTGTTCATAAAGACATGGCTGGCTGGTCTTTATCACTTTTCCAATGTCACATGAAATTTTGACTCCTATGAAATCGGGTACCAGCACCTTTTTATTGGTTGAACATTCACAATCCTCACCTAGGCATGTGCAATACTACCAGTGAGTCAGTATTTTGTAGTCCTAAATTCACACTACATCGGTACATCTGCGTTGTGCGCCACATCACGCAGCACGCGCAAAGCGCGCCTCAATCTCCATATAAGGAATTGGTTGCCAGAGGGCCTTACCATTGTACAGCTAGAGGGGTGTTTTGTTGATCGAAATCGTTGAAAATTGATAATGTTCGACTTGTTTTGACTTCAGGCCCAAAAAGTTTTGATTTTTTGACCGCAAATGGGAATAAATATGCGCTCGGTAGGTATTAAACACTATGTTTAAGACCGGTTGGACTCCCACCCGGCAGTCTTTATAAACAGAGTGTTTAAAATCCTCCCAAGCACACATTTATTCTCTTATTATCATATTCATAACACAGAAATTACACAGGGTGGTTTTTAGCAGTCTGGTCTTTATTCCAAATATGGTTTTCCTTGAGACGTTGCTAGGCGTGATTGCAGGTGATTGAAAATGGTTCTATTGGCCTCACAGATACAAACAGCAGTGCTACATACATGTACATGTACACATATAAATGAAATTTCAAATATACTCACACATTGATTGCAGGACTGCTGCATTGTCGGGGTAATCGTGTGGTACCCAGGATAGCAACAAGTGACAATGGTACTTGGTGAACTGTGTACAAAACAGATAATAGCTCAATATGAATGGATATGTGGAAGTTTGTTGAAAAACATATTTGGAACCTATGGCCTCCAGCATAAATGAAGTACAGACCTATAGGCACACTGGCCAATATGTGAAGCTTTCTTATCCTAGGTTGGCAATCATGAAATGTGCTCATCTGTTCTGGGCCTGGGAATGCCATCCTCGGGGGAAGGGGGTGGGAGGGGGAGGGAAGGGGTGGGAGGGGGGGGGGAGAGAGACATGTCCCCCAAATAAATTTCTATTGGCAGCATCCCCTCCAACAATTTTTCCCACTAAATATTTGTACAAGATTATCACAATTTTCTCAATACATGTATTGCACACAACTTGTACTAATCTTGTACATAGATCTGTATTACTTTTCAATCACCATAATACAACAGTACATTGGGACAGAGAGCATAAAATAAAACTAGGCATGCATATACATATTTACAAACTGGAGAACACTTAACAAGTAACTGTTAACAATTAAGTAATAAAAAATTCCAACTTAAAAGTAAGAAATAAAAGATCAAAGAGATCATGTTAAAATCCTCCCTTACCTCTGATTCTTCACTGTGCATCCATCTGTGGCCTCCCACTGCACCTCCTGTGCACATGCTGTGTCTAGATAGAACACTTGAAACTGGAACATAGAAAGAACAAAAACAACTGTCACTTTTAAGGGGCGATGCATTTTGGTCATGTTGGTCCACTTTATACGTGTACAAATTTTGTTTAAAGCTATAGTCCATCATTTGCAGCCATTCGAAAAGTAACTGGCGTAATTATTGTTGAAAAACAAACTTGGTTGAAAGATAGTAAGGGAACTAAACTCCCTGTGAAATTATTCTTTCTGGGAAGCTGTCATTTTGAAGTAATCAACGAAAGAAGGCCTTTCCAACGGTGCGTCTTAAGACGCACCGTAGGAAAATTTAAATTAGTACAATGTAGTTCGTTTTGTTATTCGGCGAAGCGCGTGCAAGCATTGGCACGACGCACATGCGTGCGCGGTTGCTATAATTTGTCGGATCCGTGCGCAACGTCGCGTATAGCTGCAATTCAAAACAATTCAAAACATGATTCAGTAACTTTTGATTTGAAATTGAGATCCTAGAATGCTGTTTTTCTCGGAATATACAGCTGAAGCTTAGCTGAAACTTCATCAGGTTAGTTGTTTAGTATCCTTCATTATGATTTTGAACACTTTTGTTGCTTGAAACGAACAAAATGCACAAATTACAAATGATGGACTATATCTATTACAAAAAAAAAGAGACTAAGCCTGTACAATCATGTAATCATGCTAGGCCTGAAAGCCTCAGTTTAAAGGGCCCATGCAATGTTATTTTTAAAATGCAATCCTTGAAAATGCACCTTTGTGTCCCATTAAACCCTATTTCAATTTCCGTTTTGCCATTGTCAAGGTATTTTAGTGCCTTTTGGTTTTTATGCTAATGCAATTTTCCATATTCATGAGCAAAAGTGTGATGTTATTTCCACAAGATGGTGGATTTTCCAAGATGCTGGATGGATTCTTCAATTTTCTAGACTAATTTGCAAAAAGTCCAAAGGAGCCATTACCCTTTCTACATAGCTACAATTTTGTTGGAAACAAATAAAGACAATATATAGACAATAAATGTGCAAAATATATTGCAAATGTATGAATTAAAAAAAAAACAGGCGGCCGGGGAAAAAAGAAGCGGGCGGGGGCGAGAAGCTGGTTTATTTTCTACTTGGCCTAAGGTCTTCTACTTTCAATGGGAATCCAAACAGAACAAAAAGGGAAACTGGCCTCGTTCACAAAGAAATAGATGGGACTGGGATTTGAACCTATGACCTTCTGAGTACAAACGTAGCTCTGTCTAGCCCTTTAAGCCATTTTCACACTAAACAAATCTCGGGGTTGACGCAGGGTTGACGCAGGGTTGAAAACATGCTTCGTTTCACACTTGAAGAATTTCAACCCTGCGTCAACCCCGAGATTGATTTTGCCCTGGGTTGAACTCAACCCTGCCCCAGACCAGGGTGGAGATTTTCAACCCGGGTTGAAATTCTTGCCAGGGTTAAAAACAGTAGTAACTGAGCATGATAAGCTTGATTTGCATGAAACAAGTGTGAAACGATGCGGGGTTAAATGCGGGGTTGAAAAATCAAAAACTCAACCTTGGGCGGCACTGAGTTCGCCCAGGGACTACCAAGGGTTGAGTTCAACCCGGGTTGAGAGGCTCTAGTGTGAAAAGGGCTATACAGTGGCAGTTCCTCAAATTGTCAATGCCTTTGTTCAGTGGGCACCAGAAGAGTATTTTGGAGATTGTAGGTCAGTGTATACCTGCCTCCATCACATTCTTTGTTTAAAACCTAGAAAGCAAGTAAATGAACTCACAGGAGTATTGGTTCCAATGAATCCAGCCTCTACATCTGACTTAGAAGCAACGATCCTGTTAAGAAAAAATGACAAAAAGTTGAATACATGTACTTGTATAAAACTGTTATCAATAAGCATCGCAAAATACAAAATGTTTATTTTGTTCATACATACATTTTTTTTGGGGGGGGTGGGGGATTCAAAATACATGTACTTGTAGAAGAAAATAAGACGGACTGAGAACAATTTCTCTATAACATAAGATTTCTCAGTGGTCACATGCTGTATCTCCACTCCTTACAAGGCACCCGTACTAATATGGAAGAGGTGGGATTTGGGAACTGTTGAAGTATTGATGGTCGTGGTGGACGCGCAATACTACGCTGAATCGCACTGCACCAACCGTAAACTGCGTACGAAAATCGCAATTTCTACCCCAAGTAAAAACTGTCAAAATTTAAAAAGGTGTCATTAGAATCAATAGAATTCTGCTTCAGGCTGAAATTTTTGTGAAAAAAAAAATCATTTTTGAATGATAAAACCACCCTTGACTATAATTAGCCTTGGTCAATGCTCTTGTCGTTATTCGTCCCGTACGCGGTCAATCGTCGGCATATATCCTCACGCGCTATGCACATGCATGTAAAAATACAGCGCGAACAGCGACCTCATGCGGCCACTATTTTTTTATGCAAATCAGTTGAGGACGATCTCAAGCCTTGGTTCAATCGTCGGCAAAAGCTTATGTTTTTCTTTATTTTGCGCTGGATTTCTAGCGCACGACCTCGTATGCGAATACAGATAAGTGTAGGCGGGGCTAATATGTGGAGTGTCCAATCACACCTTGGTAAATCTGGACGTCATCAAATTATTTGCAGCTATTCGCCTTTTGCGGACGTGACAGGAACCACAGTTTTTGTGCATTGGTGCCGTGTGCAGAGACACACAACGTGTACGTGTATGGATTATGTACGGTGCCACGTTTCCCAATGCAAGTTTCCACGCAACGATCGACCAATAAGAAAACGACATTTAAGGTCAGCTAAGGCTATTAACATAATGAGCACCACCCCCAAAACCTCACATGGACGATTGAACCAAGGCTCTTGATCGTCCCCAACTGATTTGCATATAAAAATAGTGGCCGCGTGAGGTCGCTGTTCGCGCTGTAATTTTACATGCATGTGCATAGCGCGTGAGGATATATGCCGACGATTGACCGCGTACGGGACGAATAACGACGAGAGCATTGACCAAGGCTAGACTATAATTTGATCAAAACTAAAGAGGGGCCCTACACTATACACGATCGCCCAGTAATGGGTCTACGTATTAAACCGGCCGTACCTCCACACACACGGCATCATTGTCGTATCATCACATTCACCGAGGCACAGCATGTGAAGTCCCATCAAGACCGCCACCCGCACAAACAGGACAAATACAGCCTTGACAGTCATGTTTAGTCATGAATCAGACGATTTGAAAGTTAAATAACAAATCACGATGGCTAAAACAGACTTATGACATGGTTTATCTTGAACTTGAAGTCAAGTTGAAGGAACATCAACAGATTGACACGTGTGTTGCTATGCTTTCATTTGTGCCGCGTCGCGCGCAGTTAAGTGGCCGTTCGACAGCGCCCCCACGTGTTTCAAAAGAAACATTTTTACCCGATCTTAGATTTATACTGAATAAATTGCTACAAAGCATTATGAATGAAAAATCAAAACAAACCAAAAACCATCTTATAAGAGAGAGACAGAACGAAAACAAGTTGCCTTTAGGCCCTTTAGTTTAAACGAAAGGACATCCGGACGTCAGTGTGGAAGGATCATATGTAACTTTTTTAGCTCCCAAGTTGCAGGATATTTTCCTGTTTTTAGCCATTTTTACCAAAGCGCACTTCAAAATTTAGCTTGCTATACTGCCACACTGACCTGTGCGTGATAACCGCCAAAATGGAGGTGATTGCACAGTATTGAGCAGAAGCAGAAGCAGAAGGACGAGTAAAAAGTAAAGCCACTGCACGAACTAGAACACTGTGGCTGAGCGCTAAGCAAAGATCTGGCGCTAAGCCTGATGAGGACACAACACAAGAGGGCGTTGTAACCAAAACAAGTGTCCCATTCCGTTTACATGTACTTCGTTGGGTTGCACTTCGGCAGGTTTGTACTCTCTTTTTTTCGCCTTAAGGCGTTCGGGGCGGTATTGTGAGTGACTGAAGTGTGCATTGTCATGTGCAGTTATTAAGTATCGTCATTTGGCATGTTTTAGTTACTTGTTCGTCTAGAAATCCCCCCCCCCCCAAAAAAATTGTGTCCGGAAATTGGGCTACCTACCTAGCTGGAGTTACCCAGCCCTGAGTTTTATCATTGGGTTGTCTATTAGGGCTGGAGCGCATTTTTCTCAAAACTTGTAGTATTTGCAAAAATAATTTGGAAAATGTTCAATTTTGTCCCCGTTACACACTAATTGCAACTGCAACTCACCCCAAACTTGCCTGGAATAACCATTACACAGGTCCTTGAAGTAAAAAACGATCCACGATGAAGATTCAGCCTACAATTGCAGTGAAAACAGGAGGAATAACCGCTAACTTGACAACCTTGCTGGATTGGCCAGGACCGCTATTGTTTTGTGCACAAAAAAATTTGTGTACAATGAATGGCGGTCGATTAACTGGCACAGAGAGCGATCGCTGTCAACTACTCGTTTTGCCGGCTGCGCTGGCTGTTGGCGCGTGACGTCACGCGGAAGCGTAACACCCGATGACTGTTTCATGCACTATTGGTTGCGGTTCCAGTACCAAAGCTGTGATGCGAGTGGTAAACCTTATACTAGTGCATGAAACAGTCATCGGGTGTTACGCTTCCGCGTGACGTCACGCGCCAACAGCCAGCGCAGCCGGCAAAACGAGTAGTTGACAGCGATCGCTCTCTGTGCCAGTTAATCGACCGCCATTCATTGTACACAAATTTTTTTGTGCACAAACCAATAGCGGTCCTGGCCAATCCAGCAAGGTTGTCAAGTTAGCGGTTATTCCTCCTGTTTTCACTGCAATTGTAGGCTGAATCTTCATCGTGGATCGTTTTTTACTTCAAGGACCTGTGTAATGGTTATTCCAAGCAAGTTTGGGGTGAGTTGCAGTTGCAATTAGTGTGTAACGGGGACAAAATTGAACATTTTCCAAATTATTTTTGCAAATACTACAAGTTTTGAGAAAAATGCGCTCCAGCCCTAATAGACAACCCAATGATAAAACTCAGGGCTGGGTAACTCCAGCTACTACCTACCCTACCTTCAAATGCCATGTAATCGGCCTTATGTATTCCTCAGGTATTGAGGCACTACATATACATGCAAATTGTGCAGGAGATGTTTCATTCAACATTAGGTGCCATGCTAATTGCTATGGACGGTATTCTGATTTTGTAAAGATTTTCCCCTGTTCCAACCACTTTGACCTTCCACACAGTTCCAGCTCTCACTAACTATTCAACACATAACATTGTAGATGAAAACCTGTGCTTTGTGTTGCCATTAAGCTTTAGGCATATGACTTCATATAAGTTCATGTTGCATTTGTGGGAAAGATTTCGATATACGGCTTAAACTGTGACATCACACTTATGTACCAGAAAGTATTCATATCACATGTGAACAGTGAATGTAAATACACTGCTGCAAACTGCTTACTGAGTAACTGACTGGATTGACCTGAAATATACAAATCAATAAAATCAGCTGGTCTTACGTATCGGTCTTAAGCAAGACCGGTCTTAAGCAAGACCTTTCCTACAGGCAAATGACTCAGCTAGCACATGAAAACAAAACATCTAGTTACCATGTAGTTACCAAGAGTTTCCTCATAGCTTGGCCAAGCTTTCTGTCAATACCCCTTGGCAGTTCTTGCAGTGTACCGTGGTTCACCCCCAAAGTACAGTGGCAGCTATCGGACTATCGGAGGGCTGTGCCAAAAACACGGGCGAGTCACTTTTTTTTACAATACTGAAGTGATTTTGAGGATCAGGCATTCAGGTAGAGCAAGGGTTAAAGGTATATATTATTTAGTTGCAGTCTGTTTCTCCGTCTTTGGCAGAATCTGTGCCCAGAGTGACCGACGTGTCTATGAGGGAAAATGGCAGAGGTGCACGTCATTGGTCAGATTGTTGGAGGGAGTGGGTTTCCAAGCCACAGTTTGTTCTGCAAATGGGGAATACACGCAGGTAATGTCTGAAGTAAAGGCGTTGCAAAATCACTTTCTTAAGTATGATACGTCATGTATTATATAACCGACATACAGATCCTTGTCACTTGATTGGTGGAACTCACATCACGTGATATTCGTTATTGCTCCCATTCACGCCGGGGCTCAAAAGTCCCTTTCGCCCATGGGGAATGGGAAATACTATTGAACAGTTAGGATCATTCTTGTTCCAAGACGCGGTATTTGTGTGCAAAGACATGCTGGTGTGCACGTTCAGTGTTGCGCGTAGCGCGTATTGTTCCAAAGAGCCAGCGCTACAGGATCTATATGGATCTATATGTCAGTTATATAAAACAAAAATTGAGTGGCTTTCAATTGTGAAATGGGAGGAAATTTATCGCTCGGTAAAATCTGGAATCTTTGCCTCGTGAAATGGAAAAGTCCAGATTTTACCTTGTGATAATATTCCTCCCATTTCACTCTGAGCCACTCAACATTTGTATACTATTAACCGTCCTGATGCAAACATACATTCTTTGCACAGTTGGCCTTTCAGTCAAAATCAGTCAAGTGACTGTCTTTAACGGTTGAGTGTACCGTGCCTTACTGAGCAGGATTAACTGGCTGCGACTGTTTATGTAACTTGACACATATGCCTTGACTGTAGGTGATGGATAAGATGGCTGTGCCTACAGCTGCCTGTTATTGTCTGTTGACTGAATTTGACCAGTCCTAGTACTCGCTTGAAATGTGATCTGACTGTAAGTGACTAGCCTGTGTAATGACAGGGGAAGAGGATTGGTTTTTGACTGTCTGTGACTGCTCAGACCGCAGGAGGGTCAAGATACAAAAGTCAATATACGATATGCATTTTGATACTTATTGTGAACTGTTCATTTTATAGCTGAAGCTTGTCATTGTCAAACTCTGACTACATCGATCAGCAAACTTTGTCAGAGTCTGCCAACATATAAAACTTTCTTTTAAATGAACCCCAAACAGAAACTGACATTTGTGCATTATAATTATTTTATCGAAGTTAAAAAATTAGTATACAAAGCTGTTAACCCATTTTCTGAAAACGTACACGTGGATATGAGAGTGTTCTGATTATTGATGCCTTGTGTTTCTAATGTTTCCAGGGGGTGCATGGAAGGTGATAGCTGGAGCTAGGGAGGGACAGACACAGGTTGATCTTCCACAGAATGATGCCTTCGCTGCTTGGAGTCATCCCATTGACATACATTTTGCAACAAAGGGCCTTCAAGGTACGACACTAAGTACAAAATTTGAAATGAGAGCAGGCATGCAGACCAATTAACACTCAAGTTTTAGCACTACAGTGGAACACCACTATAACAAACATCGCGGGATCCACAGAATTTGTTCGTAATAGCGATCATTCTGTATAGCGATTTTGAGCGGCGCCCTCTTTTGACCATTGTTAGTGAACTGGTTTTCTCACATCCCGCGGCTGCACGCAGAATTCCAATCCCTCTATTGAAGTTGAGGATTTGGGGGATTCAGGAGAGGTCCTAGAAAACAAATGCCAAGAGTGCTAGGGCCAATGACATATTCTCCACAAAACAACTACATGTACTTTAAGAAACCAGTTCAGTAACTTTCTACATGTAGTTGATACACGGATCCTCTACACAAGGATATATGACTTCCCCAAATTTCTGGTTACATGCGTGATCGGCCCTTACGCTTCGTTTATGCGAGGGCGCACGCGAGACTGCACAATCAAATTTCTAATTTCTGATGTAGGGCGCCAGCTAGCTGTCGGACGCGCGCATTGTTCTACATGTTCTATGCGTTGTTCTATGCAAGGACGTGGCATATCCCACATGTAGACAATCCGTTCCGTACATTTTGTACACAAGCTAAGTTGAGTCATTTATCCTTGTGTAGAGGATCCGTGGTTGATACCATATTTGACTTTGGACCCAGAGATCAATTTCTGTACAAAACATTTTGTTGGTAAACTTCAATCCAATGTTCAACATCTCATTGCAGTGCATTTTTTCGTAAATCCTTATCTTATTTTTTTCTAACTTTCACTCGGGATGTAACACACTGAGTATACAATATTTATACGTCGGTGAAGGGCAAACCAAATTTGATTTACATCACCCCAATGCAAAAATCCCATCTTATGATACCTTATCTTGACTAATAATCCATTGCTGTGCATTTTTTAAGGTAAATCCTTATCTTGGTTTATTATTGTTTATTACACAACAATCAGGTTGGCCCAAACTGAAATTTGAGGTGTACCACCAGGACGAGTTTGGCCGCAACGAGCTGTACGGCTACGGGTTCTGCCACCTGCCCACCTCCCCCGGGATGCACAACATTGAGTGCGTGACCTGGCGGCCTGCAGGAACGGCTCGTGAACAGATCGCCCAGTTCTTCATTGGCGGTGCACCACAGCTGCGCAACCCTGACATGGTCCACAGTGCCGAGCGGTACGCCCTGAGCACCACAGCCATGGGAAAGGTCCACCTACAGCTGGGCATCATCTTCAGGAACTTTGACCGGTATGGAGTGGAGTGCTGAAATGCCAAAGATAGTTGAGATAGTTGTACTTTGTACTGGATTAGAAGCTGGTCAGAAACTAGGAGCCAATGGTCCTAGTGTGTGGGCAATTGAGTAAAGATAGAATCCAGAAAAAAAGATGTTTGCAGAAAATTTTCAACAATTTTTGCTGCATGGCTTTGACTTGAATGGGAGACCCACTTACTTTGCAAATATTTTTCATTTCTTGACCCTAACTCCCTAGGCCTTTTTGCGAGGATGTAGCCTCAATCCTGCAAAATCCTCCAATTGGCCTCATGGAAAAATAGCATGTTGCCTCAATCCTGCAAATTCTTCCATTATTTCTTGAATATGGTCCGTGGAGGGGTGACCACTGCCTGAATCCTGCAAAATCCTGCGGCAGTGACTGTCAAAATGTTGAGGCTTGGCCAGTGACATCCTGGAGCAGTACGGAGGATTTCAAGCATAATCCAGGCCTATATTTATGCATGGCTGAGCAAAAACAACACAAGGTCCAGCCCAAGACCAGTTTTGCCATGTAACTTTAATCCTGCAAATTCATCCACTTTGGCAAAGAGGGTTTTGAAGGATTCAGGGCGGTTAGGGTTAATATTTGTATGAGATGTCCACACGCCTGCTCACTTTAAGCGCTCAGTCAGCTCAGCTTTGGTGCTTTGTTTGATTTCTGCTGCACAACTGGAAAAGGACGTGAAAAAGTACCTGATTGAAGTACTGCTTACCATCAACATCAGTGCGAAAGATTGACCCGGTTGACCTACTGAAGAAAATCTGTCCAGCGAGAAGTCCAAGAAATTAGAGACCGCTGGCACCCTTGTATAGGGTACTAGCTAACCTTGAGACTGGACAATGATCTCATATAGGAGGGAGTTCTGTCCCTGCTTCTTAACTTTTACCGGTTGCAATGTGCCATGACTATTCCGTCCCAGTATCACTAGTTGGCCAAAAGCAGACCGGCGGAAGACAGTGCCTACTTAGTGTGCCTGTGTAAACATTTAAATTAACTTGACCCCATGGCAGAGGTCACAAGGACAAAGATGCACTGAGTGACCTTGTAGGTGAAGGTCATAGGTCAGATGGCTCACCGTTTGCCTATATTCATGACAACACATAATGGCAAATTCAAATGGCATTTTGCTTAGTTTTTTATGCCCCGCGGCGAAGCCGAAGGGGCATACTGTTTCCGCCTTGTCCTTCCGTGGGTGGGTGGGTGGGTGGGTGGGTGGGTGGGTGGGTGTGTGGGTGTGTGTGTGGGTGGGTGGGTGAGTTTGTCTTACATACGCAGTGTGGACTTCCGAACAAAAGACGTCCACATAATGTAGGTAGCACCGACGTTGTGTGGACTTACCCCACGTCCACACAGTGTTTCCCCATTTCTGGAAAACAGGTTTAGAGGCATTTTTGGGTAAGGTTTATTTGTAGCAGAATGAAGAGAAACACTAAAGGGAATCATAGAAAAAAATTGGGTTGAAAGAGTTTTCACAGTTTGAGAAAAATGAGTTTTTTCACTGGTTTTTCTTAACTACACGAAAGCAATGGAAAGTCCACACTAGTCATGTGAAACAAGTATGGGTGTGTGGGTGTGTGTCCGGACAAATCTTGTCAGCGCGATAACTTGAGAAATACTTAACATATGAACTTCAAATTTGGTTTGTGGATTGTTCTTGGTAATCCTAAGAAGCCTTTCGCATTTGGGGCCAAAAGGCCAAAGGTCAAGTTCACAGTGGCTAAAACAATAGAAATCTTGTCAGCGCGATAACTTGAGAAATACTTTACATGTGAACTTCAAATTTGGTTTGTGGATTGTTTTTGACAATCCTAAGAAGCCTTTCGCATTTGGGGCCAAAAGGCCAAAGGTCAAGTTCACAGTGGCTAAAACAATAGAAATCTTGTCAGCGCGATAACTTGAGAAATACTTTACATGTGAACTTCAAATTTGGTTTGTGGATTGTTCTTGGCAATCCTAAAAAGCCTATTGCATTTGGGGTCAAAAGGTCAAGTGTCAAGTTCACAGTGGCTAAAACAATAGAAATCTTGTCAGCGCGATAACTTGGGAAATACTTAACATATGAACTTCAAATTTGGTTTGTGGATTGTTCTTGGTAATCCTAAGAAGCCTATTGAATTTGGGGCCAAAAGGTCAAGGGTCAAGTTCACAGTGGCTAAAACAATAGAAATCTTTTTTTTATTCTGAGATTATAGGGATTAGGGATTAATTCATATAAAACCTACAGAAGACACTAATGCTGTCAATGAATGTTCCATGTGACCAAGGTACATGTAAGTTGATGTTAAAAGAGTGGTGTTATGTCATGGGAACAGTCACGGTTGCGGGGCATTTGTGTTTGTAAACACACCTGACTTGTTTTTGTATGCAAACTATAAAGGGAATAAATGTGTTCTTGGACAGGTTTTAAACAAGACCAGCGTGGAGAATGGACGCTGATAATGGCCCAAGCCGAAGGCGAGGGACATTATTGGCGACCAGGCTGGACGCTTGTCTTAAACAGACCTGTGTAATACCGGCCAAGCACATATTCATTCCCATTCATAAATACTTTTTTGGTCAAAAAGTCAAAACTAGTCTAAAATTATAAATTTCCCAACGATTACGATTTTGTTGGAGTTTGTTCAACAAATTTACTTCATGTTTTCGAAACACCTCTCTAGATAGTTATGGTATGTGCCTATTGCGAGTAGTCGTAAACAACTCCTTATATGGAGATTGGTGTGTGCTTTGCTTGTTGTGTACTGCACAATGTGGCGCAGAACGCAGCAGTGCCAGTGTGTGAATTTAGGACTTTGAAAAACGGACATATTAGTACTTGTGGTTTTTTTTTAGCAAGTCATTTTTTTCTAATGAAGCAACCCTGCAATCTAAGCTGCAATCCTCTGAAAAAAACGCTTTGATTTGTGTGTTGCTTTTGCACACAAACAGATCTCTGGATTGCAAGTAGACTGGTTCCTAGTCTGTACATTATCAGGGAGTAGGGAAGGAACTGAATTATTGTTAGGCCACGTAAAATTTGAAATTGGTAAAGAATTGATTCCATAAAAAACGGGCCAATTTCTTTTTAAGTCTCAGTTAAAAGTGAATAAATTTTGTACTTGTGTTTTGCTTGAAGAAGGAACAATGGAATTTCTGTTTTTGCTTTGTGACTGCACTTTTGCATGGATGGATACAGCTTACTCGTTGCTTTATTCCACTAAATGTACCATTAGGGAGACACGTTATCGTAATTTCTTCGATAATAGGGAGACACCGGTCATTAGGGAGACGCATACTGTGTCCCTAATGTCACAGCACCCCTTTAGAGGCAAAATTTTAGTGTCGCAATTAGGTTATATTTGTTGCTCGTGGTCTAATTAGTAAAAATACAGAAATTCGTGGAAAAAGGACAAGGGAATATTGGGTTAGGGCACATTTAAGTTGGAAAAAAATGTGTGCACAAGTCTATGGGAAAGTCTCCCTAATGACCCATTCCCGGGAATTCATATTATTCCTAGCATAATATATGTGAGACAAACGTTTAATTATATTCGCGAGTTCAACAGAATATTGTGAAATGCCCCTCTTTCTAAAAACAAAATGCAGTGCTGTCTGTGACATCAGTTAAAAGGCAACACAAACCGTGAATATGTACATGTATGTACAGTAACAATATTGTATTTTTTTTCAGTTGATTGTAATTTTGTCTTACATGAATTTAGTGGCAGTAAAATCTTTATAAAACAAATACCTTGCACTTAATAAACAAATCAATAATATATGGAAAAAAAAGTTTGTACTGTTTCAAAAATTACTCCTTATTTTTTTCAAGGTAATGGACACCATTTCAAGACGAAATTGAGGTTAACCGTTTATGAATTTGAATGAAAAAAGGTTTTAAAATGTGCGGGGAAACCTATTGGTAGGAGCACTGCCAATATTAATTATAATGGGCGATCCTTAATAATGAAATAGACCTACTCACCAAAGCAAGCTCTACTAGAAACCTGGAAAAGGTACTTACTATATATACATGAAGAGTCTCGGATGACCGATTGCATCAGTTCCTCAAGGAGTTTCAGTGCCTTGTTCTTGTGTTTTCTCGTTATGGCTCAGGAACCAGACATGCCCGTGGAAATCCACAAACTCGTCCGAAATAGATATACATTGTATCTCTATGTCAAATAGACCTTTACCTCCGGGGTAAATGGAAATTTAAAATATGCTATTTCTAATAGTGTACATCAACACAACAACTTTATCAAACATGAATGACTACATCATGGATTCTGATTTCAATTTTCGACAGTAATTGAATTTTAATTTTTTTTTTTATATTATTCTACAATTCTGGATATGATTTTGTATATATATCATATAAGTAATCATTGCTCACTACAATGGTGGAGGTGCTTTATATCTTGTTTCATTAAATTAAACAACATATTTAAGAAATTTATTGTGCCTGACAATTAGACGAGGAATTATTCTACGAGGAAGCCATTTTAGATCGTGTTCCCTGAATCTATTTTATAACTTGTGAACTGTTGAATTGGATGGTGCCAGACTATTTTATGATTGGAGTGTGTTTCAATTCTCACTTTCAGGTTTTTTTTTAATGTGGCTTGAATTACACATTTTAAATTATTCATCACTGGTATTAGTTTGTAATGAACTTCGTTGCATTCATTTCAGTCTATTCGCAAGTAAAAAAAAATTAGACTTTTACTTCGATTTCAATTAAAATGGCCGGCTCGTGAATAAAGCCTATTGACCAACTTGTATGCGTGTTTATTTGAATATTATGCATATGTACACGGTGGTGCAAAAAGAAGGAAACACTTTAACAGGAATTCTAACCTACTTAACTTATTTGAACTGTTTTCATAATGTAGTGAAATATAGCTCTTCAACCATAAATGGTAAAAAAAATCAAAAAAAAAAATCGCCAGAATAGTGTTATGCAAATTTGAATACAAGTCTCCAACATCACTGTTGTCCACGTGTAAGTCTAGTGTAGTGGGTTTTTTATCTTCAACTGAAGCTCCGGAGCTCAGTCAAGCGGATAGAATAAAGCCGTCCGTGGACAAACAGGTTTGGCAATTTGGAAATTTGTAAACTACCATATGTCAGAGACAAAAAAATGCATTTGCAATATTTTTTTTCATCACTCATGCTTAAAGATCAATATTTTAATATAGATTTTCCCGGCCAATTTCCTAAAATGTTCATTCACTTCTGAAAATCGGTCATTCATTTTCGTCTGAATTTGAGAATCGCTCTGAACACGCGTT